TCAATTAAATAAAAATACAATTTCTCCCTCTAAATGACCGACATCTCTGAATAGCGGACAAAATTTCAGCGGCCTAGAGTGTCCGGTATTTTCAGACGTTTCACTGTGTTACGCATAATATTTCATAAAAATTAGACGTCGAAAAAATAACACGAGAAATATGGAAATTGTACGCTTGGGCCGTCGACTCGACGCCTTCGAAACGGAAGTAAAACAATAACACTGAAACGCGTTCTCGATATTATCGTGTTTATTACGATCATGATTATTTATTTATTTTTTAAACACACGGTCCAGGGCACAAGTACAGTTATTTAATATGGTACATTATATAAAAACTTGTACACATATATAAACATTATAAAAAACATGTGATAATTACAATAACTATGAGTGATCCGATTGTGATTAAAAGTCAATGGCATAACAATACTAAATTATGACCGAAAAAAATAACATATTACGGATAATTGGAACAGTTAAGCGCCGGTTGATAATTTCGCTGGAAAGGAATGTAAAATGTCCATGTCGTACTTTAGACCTGCGGTCCTTAAACTTTTGGTGCGCGCCCGGACCCTCGATGAAAGACCTTTAGGAATCACGGTCCTCCCATCAACGCAACGAAAATGTCGGCCGGATTCCGGAATTGAATGATCGAACTGCTATATCATTTATGCCAAGGAGGAAACCGTCGCCGATCAAACCACGTAATAATTTATAAATAAACAACACGTCTAAGTATGTACGTCTCGGACTCGGGATGATGTTGATGTTCGACAAATATCTACCTAGGATATAATAACATAACATTGTTAAATAAGCATACTGCAGTCATCGAAAAGAGAGTAAGAGAGTTGGGTAACCCATATAGTACGTATATCCCGTGTGTATTACAATACCTATACGCGTATAGTTAATACGCATGGGTATGACAAAGCAGCGCCGTATAAACGTGTGTTACAATATGCAAATACGACGTTGTATGTTAAGACGTTGATTATTTATTTTATCAAATAATTGTATGTAATATTATGGTCTAACGAAGAAAAAAAAAATAAACGCTCGACAACGACTGCTACTCGCCCGTACAATAATAATATACGTTTAATAATTGGAATGAAATATGGTTTAAGCGTTAATAATAAAAAAAAAAAAAAAAAAAAAAACACTACTAGGTACCGATATAATATATTGGCGTACCGGATATACACGTATATGTGTATTGTATTAAATGATAACAATCGATTATTTTACGAATACGCGTACGAATAATATAACAACATAATGTATAGTCTAACAAGAGTATGCACGGTATTATATCACATGATTACTTTTTATACGAGAGTAATTTTAATTCGAAATTATCGTTATATAACATCGCGTATACCTGCGTATATAGGTAACGATAAACAATAATAATAATAATACCGTACGTACTTACTCGTACTTTCATTTCGACGTTTTAATAGTAAATACCGTATTATTCTCTGCGGAACGTTTTTGAATAACGTTCGTTTGTTTAACACGTTTTAAAATTTTTTTTTTATCCTAGAAATGATCGGCTCAATATCTTCATCCGTCCTGGAGATGACATTTTCAAACGGTATTCGTACGCAACGGTGGACCGTTGTTAACGAAAACCGATTCGGGACGAAGTTTCTTCTGTATAATGTGTACGCACATTATACAGAAATACGCAATACGAAATTGCAAAAACGACCTCTTTAATGTACCAGCCGGATAAAATTTCCTTTCGGGAAGAGCACTACACTCGAAAACCGGAGCATGATGTCTGGTATAAAAGTTGTTCGCAAATGAAAAAAAAAAAAAAAAAAAAAAAAAAACATAAAATAATAAACAACATTGTAAAACCGATACATTCCACGTTACGCTCCGAAACTAATGCGTATACCGAACTGCTGTTGTAGCGCAGTTGAAGTTTAATTGGTAATATTCGCAGTCTATAGCTTATGTAAATATGTAATCACAAATACCCGAGTAAGTATACCCATGAGTACACGCGATACTATTAAGTCGTCTGTATACGTCTATACGTTTACATAACTCTATTTATAACACGCACGCGCAGAATCGGACTATATTATGTCTTTTTAAATTGTATAACTCAAGGTGTGTGATATAGTTTTTTAAACTCGTTATTTTTTTTATTTGTAAACTTATAAGAACCCGTCACCTTATTTTCTAATAACGGACGGCCTGCAGCGAAAATGTGTTCGCGCGTACAACGAGAAATAAAAAGACCTTTAAAACCGGTTTTGGGGACGAAACATATATTTGAAAATTATTTGTAGACGACGACATTTTGAGAAAAACCTCAAAAATGTTAGACATTATTATGTCGATTGAGGGTGAAAAAACTAACGTTTTTGTGTATCGGTTGAATGGCCCTGATCGTATAACTCCACTTTAGTTTGGTGTTTTTAGAGAGAATGACGCATTTCGCACAATTGGTGGGCCACTATTGTAGGTGAGAAGCTATATAAAGATATATAAAGGAGAATTTAATGTATATCTGTACGCAACGGTTAATAATTGCTAATGAAATACGATTATGAGCGAAATTTGGTTACACGTGTTTTGAAAGGCCGTAATATTTACGGTTTTCCTCAAAATTTGATATTAAAATAAATTCTATATTATACTAAATTTCTTTTTTTCGACCGCAAAGTACGACTGTTCGGTCTAACAGTGTTAACCGAAAACCTTGCACCTAGACACAAAAAAATATGATGGGTGCGAGTAATTTGGAGAACTCTGAATCGTTTATTAACAAAAGTTGGGCGAAACAAAGCTAAACTTTTCAAATTGGTTTTCAGGTGTGAGGTTATTTAGAAGAATCATCGGAGCTATGTGAATGTGGCGAAGAGCAAACAATGGACAACTCAATGGTATGCTGCAAATGCCCAATCACCTGCAATGAAAAGGACCTCACAGAAGCAAACTAGAACCAGAACCAATTTTGATAAAACAATGACGGCCTATGACAATTTAAACAGTGGAATCTCAAATTACCAAAGCAACGAAAAAGTTACCAATAACTTTACCTAGATTTTATAAGCCATTTTTTTTTGCCGTTTAGCTAGTGACCGTTTTTTGTGCAAAGATGATATAAACATAGTAGTTTTTAGACTTCATTTGACTATTGTAGACTACACTAAAACAATAAAATATAATAATTTATTAAATAATAAAATAATAAAGTAAAAACAAAATTATTAAATTATTTAACGACCAATTTGTATAATTTTTTTTTTTTTCTATGTATTCCCTCGTTTAATTTTTTATATTCAGTCGTGTTTACGTTTTGACTGTGATGAATTTTTAATTCGAAACCGGTCGTAACTTTATGATAACACTCCAGGCAACGCATTCATTATTTTATTTTATTTTAGATATACATTTTTTATTTATATATTTATTTACGATAATAATTTATTGTGTGAGCGATTATATGCATACACTTATAGGCAAAACTAAACCACCAACCTTGGAGGTGATCAAATTATAGACACATCATAGACCCATAGAGCGCGATACTTCCACAGTCCTCTTTACACGATACTTATAAAATAAGCAACTACATATTTTATTTACAATTGTTATGTAAAAATGTATCGTAACTTTTTAATTTTTTATTAACACGAGCATTGTCAGTAGGTAATTTGTGTTTTGCTTATAGATTATGAAACACGCGTGGACACATTATTTATTATTTACTATGAAACAGCTTATTGGGTATGTTTGGGAATGCTAAAGACCCTATAGCATCCCCCTAGTTATGCCTATGCATACACTAATCGCTGAAAACTGAAATGTCGCTGAAAATCACTTTTGTAAATGTAATATATATGTACGTATATATAAATATGTTTCCGCGAAATCAATTGCCGTTTTTTTTTTTTTTTAGAAATATTGCCCACCTGCAATAATACCGACTTTATACCCAATATCGCATTGGTTTTCGTAGCCTTTGACATTTTCATCTATGATGTGGCCTCTAAAAAGAAAAAATATTCCGGGGGCTCTTGGCGCGCCAAACCGACACTGCGTATGCGTTTGTCAACAGATTTTCCGTAGGTCTCTCGGGAAGTAAATTTTCAGTTTTCAGTTTCAGAGAGCTTCGAAAAAACGGCCCTGCCGTTTTTTTCTTTCAGTCGCGTGTCGACGAAAAAGTCTTGTCCTCAACGGTGAAAAGCAAATTTTCATTAGTTCAGCCTGTTCGCAGACGATTCGGAAAACCTGTTCCTGACCGGGCGGTCGGCAAACGGTCCGCCGTTTTACGCACCGGCTGTCCGCGCCGCCGTAATAAAAACCGCCGATTAAATCTCGCATTGACATAATAACCGTCCCGGACGGCCGTACATTAGAAACGAAAAATCGCGACGCTGTCCGTATGTTGAGCTGCGAAATATATTATCGTTAATTGAAAACCAGTTATTTATACCGCGGGAGGAGAAGGAATGGGAAAAATTTCGATTTTAAAATACTTATACGTTCTATATTTATATTATGCTCACATCAAACATTGTTCTTTTTTTCTTTTTTTTTATATAATAATGTTATAGATATTTTTTTTTTTTTCGACGAGGGTGGACGTGTTCTTGACACGATAATCGTAAATTATTTATTTTGTAACGCCGCGACGGCAATTATTATGTGGCAGGTACACGCCGTCCTGCACGCCCGTGCACGGAGCGGGCCTATCCCCCGCGGGGCGTTTACGGTTTCGTTTTCAGGTTTTTTTAGGTCCACCCGCGAACCGAGTACATTGCATTATCATTATTATTATTATTATTATTATTATTATTATTATCGCCGCGGCACAGTCGTCGAAACGGACCACTTTCTAATATTCCGCGTGAACGTGTCTCCGCCGCGCGTTTTCGAGCCCGGTGGGACGCGCCCGACGCTAAAGTGGGAACAAAGTCGTGAACCGAACGACCGCGTACCTATATATAAACCGCCGGACGGACCCGTCCATGGACAATCCGCTGCATTCGTTCCTGTCCGGCCGAACGCCAGCCAAACGAGAGCTTTTTACTGTCGCGTATTGTCACGTGCCCGTATTCCGCGTCTTTTGTGTTCGCCGCCGCCGTCCGCTCGAAATAACGACGGCTGATAATATCATCATCATGATCGCGCAGGCAAGTGAACAGTCGAAAACCGTTCGGCCCGTCGCGCGTTTTTGTATTATTGTCGTAATGCGTTGTTTTGTTTTGTTACAGTATCTCCTGGTGGCCGCCGTCGCGGCAGTGGCCATGTCGGTGTCCGTCACCCAAGACGAATACGCCAGGTACATAGCCCAACAACAGGAGAAACAACCGGAAAAGGGACAGCTCGTCCGGAGACCGGTACTGGTACAAGTCGTCCAGTCCGCCGCCGGTGGCGCTTACCCACAACCGACCCCCGCCGCGTCCTCCGCTCGTCCCGCGTACCAACAGGCCGCTGCGTACCAGCCCCTGCAGGCCTCCCCGGCCCCGGCGTACCAGACACTGCAGGCCTCCGCATACCAGCCACAGCCGGCCAAGTATCAGGTATCTTCTTATCCGCAACCCGCATACCAACCGCCTCCGCAGCAAGCGTACCAGCCGCAGGAACAAGAGTACGAACAACCGGAACCGCAATACCAACCGCCGGTCAGAGCATCGCAAGGGCCACGTCCGAAAGCACCCTCGAAACCCAAGGCGTCGAACAGGCCGGAAAAACCGGAAGACGAAGAGAACGACAACAACGTAAGTGTTTAAATATTTTTTCTTTTTTTTTTCTTTATTGAATATAACCTAATATACAGACTACAGAGTGATTATTTCATCACGAACCAGTGATAGTCTTTACCACGATTTCGTGTAAATTTGATTTGACGTTTTTTTATCCGTCGTTCAATAATTTCGTTTAAAATATTTTCAAAACATTAACTTTCACCCGTACCATACCCGTAGACACTTTTTATTTTCCAACTGTAGCAACCTCAACATTCGAAAATAGAATATTTTTGAAAAATATCTGTTTAAATTCAAACTAATGCAATAATTGAATTAAAAAAAAAAAAAAAAATGAATTCATACTAATAGATTTTTTTATTATAGTAACACTTGAGTCGAGAATGGCCAAACTAACGTTTTTATAGTGACAGTGTGATAATATAGAGGTCCTAACGTTTAAAATTTGATGTACTCGTGCTCGTAACTCGCGATGATTAAAATTACAAAAAATAAATAGACCGAAAACGAATATGTTTACGCTCATTTCAAAAGCGTCCATTCTGACTTGGGTCTTTTACGTCACAGGCGTGTTTCGTTTATAAATCTTATTTCAATGTGTACAATACGCGATCTCCTCTACAATAATATTATTGTGAATCGTTCGACGCGGTTTTCACGACGAGATCGGAGTAATAATAAGTATATCCAGATAACCTCCTTTCACCCCTCCCCCTCGAATAGTGTTCCACTATTAATAAAAATTGTTTAGCCTACAGAAAGCGCTCGATAACTACATGCGGGTAGATGGGTGTTCGCGATTTTTCGTATTTAAATTTCCATAATCGTGTCTAAATCGCGTTATTCAATCGGCCGCCGTTGCGCAACTTTCTATATGCGCAGGACACACGATATAATAATAATAATACTATTAGGTATTGGTTAGCAGGAAAACAAGCGGTTATTATTATTATAAATCCAGGCGTGTTTCTGTGTATTATCGAGAGCGGTGCGGAAGTCGTCGAACGGGGGCGGATCAAACAAAAAAAAAAAAAAAAAAAAAAAACTTAAACCAGTTATATTATCATATTATGCGCCTACGTATACACGCGATGTAACGAAAATATCGTAGATATTGTTATATATATATATTAGAAAGTAGTATCAAAAAAAAAAACAAAAAAAAAACGTTGTCTTCGGACGACCGTTTCGAAATTACGAAATACCATGTTGTCTATGCGTAGGGTGTGGATATAATACGGGCAGATAGGCGGTGTGGGCAGGGTGCGGGCGTACGCGACAATTGACGATCGGCTGCTGCAGAGTTGCAGAGGCCGTGCGAAATATAATAGCGTCGCGTACTATTTATACGAGAAAAACCGGAATAATATTACAATAATCGTAATAAATAATAATAGAAAGAAAATAAAAAAAAAAAATCATCGTTTTTTAAACCGTTGTGTACCGGACATGAACGGGTCCGTGTCGGCGGTGTCACGACTTAACCCGACCGCGTCATTGCGTAACGTCAAAGCTACAAGCCCGGCGTGCGTCTCTGTGTGGATCTAGACGATCGTTAAAACGCGCGTGCAGCGAAAAAAAAAAAAAATAGGAAGACGTTCACTTTTGTTTCACAACCGCGCGGACAAATTATCGTACCGGCCGCCCCCGCTCGTGTTTGGTTGGGTTAGGCAACGGGGAAACTTTAGAAACGCTTGCGCTATTCGCGTGTGTACATCATTATGAATACGATAGCAGACGTGACCCGCGACACGGAATTGAAGAACGTCCCGGTCGTCGTTATGCGTCGTTGCCGTATACCTACAGGCTTGGCTGAACAGTTTTTTCACAAGAGAAAAAAAAAATATCGATTTCATACCAAACCCGTCCCGACGATAAAATGCCTCGGAAATCTTTTCAACCACACAATATGAACGATCGCTTTAAAATTATGCGATTGTACTCCATACGTTTGTGTGTAACTCTAAACGGTTCAAAGGTCGTGTGGTTTTTTTTTTTTTTTTTTTGTAATTTTGTTACGCTTGAAACCCTTCGATGCCCACATCGTAGTTACCGTTGGAATAATAATTATTATAGGGTTCAGCGTTCAGTTTTGAGAGAAATTCTCCCCCCCCCTTTTTTTTTCCGGACAGTGAATAAAAAAGTAGTTTTTATTATAAAAATGTATTATATTTAATTTCTATCCTGCCGGTTAAACATTATTTTTTAATTTTTACACACGACTTTGTTTTCGTATATTTCGTGTTAAATTATCACTTATCAATTGATCGCAATAGTTTTATACGCATTCGCGGTACACAAATATGAAACAAATCGACAAAAGTATTAGCTGGAGAAACAACGGACGACGGCGATTTGAAATAAGATAACTAGATTATTGTTTATGTGTGAAATTCATAAGATTCGTAAGTTTCTGTTTCCACGTACAGAAATATTTCAATTTCAAACCATCAACGAAGACAGTTTACCTAAGTATATGGATGTTCATTTTTATTTTAAAACGAATTTTTTAACTTTGTGGAAATTAAACTTTTTAGCACATTTTTTTTTTTAGGAATTGCTTTTTTTGTTGTTAACTATATCGCTTTCAAATCCGAACCCTAATAATAATTGCCTATACAGACGATGATAAAAAATACGTTCAATAATTATCCGGTTACAAATAACCAGCAAATATATACGTCTATAGGTATCAAAGGAAATGGATGATTTATTTCATAATACGACCAAACCGAAAACTTACAATTACAAATGGTAAAATTTAAGCGATTCGATGCGACATGGAAATCATATTTACGGACGATATTCGATATAAATCACATAATTGTTCCCGTACCGTATTTTCTAATAAGCGCATCGGTAACGATTCATGCAGATTCGTCCGGACTATTTAATAACAAATCGCGCGTTCGTCTTTTTTTATTTTCCATTTCCCGCCCGGACGTGATAAAAAAAAATAATATCCGAAACACCGTTGGCACAAAATTATTCTAAAGATTACGTGTGTATCATAATAATAATAACAATAATAATAATAATAATAATAATAATAATAATATTATATAAAAACGGCCGTTTAAATAATCGGATTTTTACATGCACGGGACTTTTACACCGGAACCACACGGCACAGTGTTTGAGCGAAAGAAAATTAGATTATAACCCGTTCGAAATGATTAACGTTCACTTATTAGACTTCGTAATAACGTATTGTGATAACACATTGTGCGGCGTGCGAGTGCGAATGACATAACAATATCGTTCGCAGTTCTATTCCGAGGACGTCATCCTAATAACGCAATTGCCGACAACGACTCGCCAAAAACTCGTGTATGTCCGTGTTGGTTTTTTTTATTTTTTTATTTTCTTTTGTTTTTTTTTCCCGGTATAATTTCACACTCGTAAATACCGAAATTGTATTTTCGAATTTTCCCGTTAAAATCGCGCCGCCTCCGGTATTGACCCGTTATTCGCGCGTTTCAATTCGACGACGCCGCGCCACTGCGTCTGTCTGCGGATATTCACCGACGAATTATTATCACCCGAACGATAATTCCGTGTTCCGTTAACGCGTTCGGTATTTTTATATGGGATATATTATTGACATTATTGTTTGGTTACACTGTCATAATTGTCACTCATCCATGTGTTTGTCGTGTTTACATAATACCGTAGCCTAACGCTCAATACCAGTTTTCGTTCGACATCAGCGACGACGAATCGACCAACTACCACAACCGCAAGGAGCAAAGGGACGGCGAGAAGATTTCCGGAAGTTACAGCGTTGTGGATTCCGACGGGTTCATCCGTACCGTCACGTACACCGCCGATCCCGAAGAGGTATTTATTGCGAACAAACGTGCGCAACGATAACACCGCCGTAAGCGGTGGTGGCGGGGCGCGGGGGTTACCTCCCCTCTCCTAAAAAAAAAATTAAAAACATCAAACCTTATAGTGCACGCTTAACTGTGTAACGGAGGATCGGCCTCCGGAGGATTTCGAGTCCCGCCTCCCCCACCCCCCCGAATACCCGACCGCGACCCCCGTAACAAAGTGCCCGTCTGAAAACGTCCGCGCCGTTCGTTCCTACGGTTTCCGAGCGGATTGTCGACTTCGAAGAACGCCGTCGCCTCGCCTACGGACGTTGCACGCCGGCGGTAACGTCTTTGATGTCGACTTGTTCGAAACCGTACGGAAAACGAGTGGGTTTCGAACCGTTCCGGTTTCCTCCCCCCCCCCCGCGTTTCGTACGTTATCCGCGTACGCTCCGGGCGCCGATCCTTTTGTAACGTCTCCGCTGCGTGCGAAACCGTTCGCGTTAACAAACGGCTCGCGTACCTGCACGCGCGGGTTGAACACGTTCTCTTTTGCGCGTGATATTGTCGTTGTTGAATAACAACACATTGCGCCCCGGGTATTCCCGTACGCGGGCACACGCGCGCGACGCACAACAGTCGCGCGGTTATCGTTATCGATTATCGTCCGTCCGTAACGCAATCGTTACAGTATAATAATTGTTCGTCGAACGTTTTTCGGTAAACTCCAACGGTAAACTTATAATGCGTATACGAAATTATCAATGAACAACAAATAATCGTTTTGACGCCGGTGTCAAATTGCATAACAATTTTATGTACATTTTATTTTTTATTTTTTTTTTCCGCTTAGACAACAATAAGACGTATTATAATAATATTGCACAATAAAAATTAATGATTTTTTTTTTTCGTCGTTCGCTTCGTAAATTTTTACATTTTTTTTTTTTTCTTTTTGTCGTTTTTTTTTTACCCGCGCGTTACTACAAAATTTTACAGGGATTCAAAGCCGAGGTGAGCCGAGAACCGACCAACATTCAAGTCAAGATTCCCACACCGGCACCGCAAACGCCCGCGCCGGCGTCTCAATACAGGTTACCGGAACGAAAGGCCCAGCCCCAATACATCACTCTGCCGCAGGTACGTTTTTTCTTCTTCTTCTTCTTCTTCTTCTTCTTTTTCGAAGAACCCCGATAAAAACCGGTCAACGTTAATCGAAAGTTGTTAAAAAAAACAAAAAAAAAAAACCAACAACAATTCTACCGGGGACTTAACGATTAATTTTTCCGTCGCAGGCCGACGAACAGGAATCCGCGGCGCCGGTCGATCCGATTTCCGGTTACTATCAACAGTTGCCGCAACAGCAGCAGCAGCCGGCCAAGGCGCCGTCCCACCGGTTCGCCGCGTCCAGGCCACAGCAGGCCGGCAGCAAAGCCGCCGCTCTGGGCTACGCCACCGCGCCCACGCACCCGCCCGTACTTTACCAGGCGTACCAACAGTGAAAACGGTCGACAGAGGCCGCCGGGTCGCCGCTCATCCGGCCCGGAACACTCGGGCCTCGGCGTCCCAACCGCAATCGGCCATCAATCCGTCTTGACGGGGACTGATGTCCAGGCCATAAACGTAGTCCGAATGGTTTTGGTGGCTCTGACACGGTTCCGACGACGCACTGTAATCCCATATCCTATATCATAAGATAATATATTGATTATATATAAAATACGTATATAGAGATTTTTTTTTTTTTTTTTTGAAATAATTATATACAATATACTATTTTGAATTTGTATTGTATGTACGGTATTGTAATTTAAAAAAAAAAAAAAAAAAAAAAAAAAAAAAATGTAATTATTTGTTATTGCGTGTGTACGCGAGTATAATAATATTATTATGTACTGCGCCTACTTGGTTGTGAAATCGTACGAAACCGAAGCCAATTTAGACCAATGGTGAGGTGAACATTGTACGCGTTTCACGGCATCCTGGCAACCCTGGAAAAATCACGTATAGCGGATTGTAAAACAATTTTTTTTAAATTTTATTTTCGGTCCGATTTAATTTAAACAGCGCGATATAAGTGGAAAAATAAATATCAACTGACTTCGAGCTGGAATATCGGTGTTAGCGATTTCCGTATATCCCATATCCGGATCAACCCTTCGGAACCACCGGTGGCCAGCACGAACGGCTGAAATCGGTTCCACGAGCAGCTCAACACTTCGGCTTGATGAGCGTTTATTTTGGCCCTCGGTCGCAACGGCGACGAACAGTCCCAGATGCCCAGTGTCCCGTCGCCTTTTTCGGAAATAAAAAAAAAAAAAATCCGCAATCCATGTTTAGTGCATGTTATAAAATATTTTGTTGTCGTTTCTGCAGTGTACCAACCCGAAACCGACGCGAAACACGAAGACAAAAACGGTGACCATTTAACTTCGTAAACCAATCTGTCGTGTCCCTTGTACGTGGTCAGTGAACAATACTTGTTGGGATCCCACTGTAATATTATATTAAATTATCATAAAAAAAAAACAACAACAAACAAACAAACACTACAAAACGGGAATTTCAAGTTTGTTGTTTTTTTTTTTTTTTTTTTTTATAAACATTTTACTACTCATTGCTTACCAGTTTAACTGAACAGTCCCACGACGCGGACAATAGAAAGTCGTCGATAGAATTCTGACACCAATCTACGCTGCAAACTTCCTTCTTGTGTTCGTCGTAAGTTCTCACAGGTTTCTATAAAACACACGGTACGATTATCGTTTACATACTGAATTAATTGTCAATATATAATACGAGTATTTCGTTAATTAAGTATATTGTATTATTTCGTTTTACTTGGGGATATTTATAGTTCCACATCTGTAGTGAACCGTCACCGCTGCCGGTGACCAACAGACTTTCGGCGGTTCTACTCCACACCACATCGAACAGACCGTCTTCCCAAAAAATTTCAGTATTTTTGGTCATCAGACATTTATCGGCGTCGTACGTCACCAGAAACAAAGTGCCTCCGCCTTTAAATCCGTAGTATTGTGTCGTGGCTATGGCCAAAATGTCCGACCGATTCGGTGAGAATTTCACAGCGTAACCGTGTCGGTTTACTGTTTTGAAAGTCGTCGTCATTGGGAATTCGAATCTGTAAAGTCGAATAATACCTATATAAGTAAAATACGTGGACAATTTGAAAAAAAAAAAGAACCAAAACGATCCTGTTAATTTACATTTAATTGAGTTGATTTTAATTTATTTATATTATTTACTAGATTCAGTAAAATCCGGTGTCTAATTTGAATTTAATGTAAACCGAGATCTAAATTAAAATAGTAATAATTATTGCTATTAGTACAGTCGATTTAATCAAATAAACTTGTTTGAAAAATTCTATTCTAGAGTTTATAAATAAATTCGTTTGTTACGTGCCCGCACGCTTTCCTATAGATAAACGGTAGAACGACAGGACAATACCACGTGCAGACCCGAAACATTATTGAACGTAACGAGCCGAATAACCGAATTCGGGTCGGGGAGATAACCGAATGCTACGAAAGTACTGACTTGTGTAATACGTAGGGGCAAAACTCGGGCCTAAAACCACTAACTACAAAATAATACATTGTCTACATTGTTGTACGATTTGTCACGTACCGGCCGATGAGTAAAATGTAGATAAACTCCAGACGTTAAAACGAATATATAGTTTTCGAACATAAAAAACGCATCAACCGACGATCAATACCTAGATAATTTAAATTCCAGGATATATAAAAAACGTCACGAACGAAATGATGTAGATAGCCGCGACTATGAACGGCGGGTTGCGGGGGCACAACGCCGTCCGAATTATCGTCGAATTAGACGAGTCCGCCACGATCTATTGCGAGCAACTTCGCGTCACGCTATTTCACTTATTTTTGGACTTGTGTTTTTATTTGTGAATTAAATATATTGGACTTGGAATATTTTTGATGATTTATATAAATTGTATTGGACTTTGAATAATTTTGTGAAGAATATTTATTGGACTTAGAATTTTTATAGGACTTGAATTTTATGTGAAATATTATTTAATTTTTTTAACTCGGGTTTGAGTTTATTATTCAAATTTCAATTTCTACGTCGTTCTCCTACGTTGCCACGTTACACGTACTACAGTGTACTGTCAAATGAACCGTACCTTTACCTAATATTAAAATGATTTAATTTTAGCTTAAATACCATCCATTATAAATTATTTAAATCTATAACCATCTAGGTACAGGTGTGCAGCCAGAAAATTTTTAATAGGTGGGTCGATATTTGGGAGGCTCTCTCCTTGATATATTTCGTAAGCATATTGTAACTACAAACATATAACCAAATAATACTTTTGTATCTTATTGACAGATTTATTTTCTGATGCTATATCTATCGGATAATATGTACTACATAATATAACACTTCTGGTATTAGATAGTAATCATTAATCATTAAACAATTTATATCACTATATGCGAGTCGATTAGGATGATATTCGGTGGTATAAATTTAAACACATAGGATAATGGGCCCCGCTGAGTATTTTGGGTGGGCCGGACACATTTTAGGATGGGTCAGGCACAAGCCTCCCCTTAGGTACTTGCCTGTTAAATTAAATTGATATAAGATGTGTTGAACAAATTTATAATTGAATTTATTTTTTTATTCAAGTGTTGAAGTTAAATAAGCATTATTTATTTTGAATTACTTTTCTTAATTACTTATCATTTCATCTACGCGTATGGTATAAGTGAATGCATTTTTTACGACTAGGTATATATATATATTATATAAATTAAAAATTTAAATTTAATTAAAACCGGTAATTAATTTAAACTTAATACGTAATTGCATTCATATTTTCGAATGTAAACATAGTATAATGTAAATATAGTATAATGTAATTATAGTTTGTGTACCATATTAAATGGTTTAAATAACTCTTGGGTAACGCTGAAATATTTCCACAACCTTAATAAATAATAACAATGTAACTTTGATGTTTGAAAATAATTGATTTACCGAAGGTATAGTAAATTTCCATTTTTTTTTTCTTTTGTAAAATAAATAATACTCACTTATTTGATTGTATTATTCAAATATTTGTTGGATTTTATAGATCGTAGATAAAGAACGTTGAATTCTAGCGGCATTTCTTTAAAAGTATTTTCATATATTTAGGCTTAATTCAAAAAATTGTACATGTTTTTTTTTAAAAAATATATCCATTATTATTATCAAAAATATAAAAATATTTACATCGATTGGGGTACTAACTCTTATAGTTTTGTAATAAGTTAAAAAAAAAGAAAAGAAAAAAAGGCTTCTTGAATAGGATAAGAAATTGAGGGTTTGTAGAAAAACTTTATGCGTTCGGAATTTCAACGAAGACATTTTTACAGGAACAAATTACAAAGAACTTAAGGGTCTTCATTTAAACCAATTATCTCATGACGATATTACAATGGTAAAAATGAAACCCTACGCGGAAGTTTAGATACCATCGATCAATCATTTTCCAACGCTAGAGGGTCACATTCAACCAGAACTTCGATTCAAGTGTTTTGTTTTTTGTCAAATATAAATAATTATGATTCCTTTTTTATTCCTCTATTTTATAGCAACGCTGAAAGTTTTTAAAAAGACTACGCCTAACGGTAATTTTGTACATATGACCGTTAAAAAATAACTAGAATACATTTTTTTTTTCCATAGGTAAAGTCACTGTTTACGTTGGCAAACGAGATTTCATCGACCATCTGGACAGTATAGATCCGATCGACGGAGTTGTCGTCGTCGAAAATGACTATTTACAGGGACGAAAAGTTTTCGGAATGGTAAAGTTTATTAGTGTTTCAACAAACGTTAAAATTAATAATCTCTATACATTTTGTTTTCAGGTATCCACAACTTATAGGTACGGTCGAGACGAAGACGAGGTTATGGGTGTTAAATTCAGCAAAGAAATGGTACTGGATAGAAATCAAATCGTCCCGCCTATAAAAGAAGTCTCGGAATTGACTCCCATTCAGAAAAAACTAATGAAGAAATTCGGTAGTAGTAATGCGTTTCCGTTCGTGTTCCACTTCCCGGCAAATTCGCCGTCTTCGGTAACTTTGCAGCCAGGTGACGATGACAGTGGCAAGCCCTTAGGAGTCGAGTACAATATCCGAACGTACGTTTCGGACCAGGAAGACGACAGAGGAAATCAAAGGTCTACCATCGTGTTAGCCATTAAAAAGGTATAGTCTTTATGGATATTTAACGGTAATTTAACGCGTATAAATGCCATGTAAATACTCAGTTACAATACGCTCCGCCAACAAGAGGCCAACGGTTGCCGAGTTCGTTGATCAGCAAAGGATTCACGTTTTCTCATGGGAAAATCAGTTTGGAAGTCACGTTGGACCGGGAAATATACTATCACGGAGAGAAAGTCGTGGCCACAATCGTCGTAAGCAACAGCTCAAGAAAATCCGTAAAGAACATAAAGGTGACTTGAAAATAGATATAATAATATTATTATCTTAATCAAATAATTATCAGCGACTGCAATAAGAATAATAATTATGGCATAGGTGTACGTGGTTCAACACACCGAGATTACAATGGTGAACGCCCAATTTTCGAAATTTGTCGCCAGTCTGGAAACCCGAGAAGGTTGTCCTATTACACCAGGAGCCGCGTTCACCAAACAGTTCTATTTGGTTCCGGTGGCGTCCAGCAACAAAGATAGAAGAGGCATCGCGCTGGACGGACGACTTAAGGTAAATATTTGAAAAAAAAAAAAAACGATGTATGCGTAAATTAAAAAAAAATCGTTTTATTTGTAGGACGATGACGTTAATTTGGCGTCGTCCACGTTGATATCGGAAGGTCGAGGCCCAAGCGATCAGACTGGTATCGTTATCTCGTATTCGGTCAGAGTAAAGTTGAATTGCGGCACTTTGGGCGGTGAACTCGTGACCGACGTACCGTTCAAACTCATGCATCCGAATCCGGGTAAATATCGAACATTAAACATATTATTATTATTGTTGTATACAGGGTAAACGATTTACAAAAAAAAAAAACCGATTTAAAACGTCGACTGAAATTTTTAAAATATAAGATACATGTGTAATATTCGAGCGTAAGTCCGCAAAAACCATATCTAATTATTATGAATGGTGTATACAATATACTCATACTATTAAAATAATTTCTTATTATATAGCGTCCAACGATTCGACTGTACAGCCCAAACAACCGCAAAAAGGCGTGCTGAAGAAGATGAAGAGTTCGGACAGAATGAAATATCAAAAGAGTTTTGCGGACGACGACGAGGACAACATAGTGTTCGAAGATTTCGCGAGACTCAGGTTGGCCGACGAATAAATACGGAACATAAAAAATAAAATAACGGACCGGGAAAAATATTGAAAAAAAAAAAAAAAATATAATAATACTGTCTATAATATTAAAAATATATCGTTTTGAAAATATGTGTTTTGTGCTTAAAATTTGGTAGGAAACCGGGGATAAATATTGTAACATTATTATTGCTGTCATTGCCGAAAAATTATCTTTATTTTCATGATATTATAAGGATTAACATCTGTATTTAGGAATAATTAGATAAAGTGGGGGGATGGGGTGGGTAAAAAAAAAATAACTTTTTATGTGCGTTGAAAATGTATTTTTAATACAAGTTTTCATTTATTATTTACACGCTTAGTGGGAAGAGAGTCTCAGTCTCCGTAGCCCCCGTCTCCCTTGTGTCCGCCCCTGCCTATATTATAATATTATGCAATATTAAATCAGAGTTTATAGCCGTCTTCTATTATACGTAATACATAACAATATAATATACAGGCCGTACTCGATATTGAAATATAAATATTTTCCGATTTATAAGTATAATATAATTATTAAGTATCCACGCCGTCATAACCTGAAATACTGGATTCGATTCCCAGACGAATATCCCTTATAAAAAAAAAAAAAAAAAAAACCGTTCGGTTTATAGGGAGAATATGTCATCGGCAATAACCTTTACGGCGATCCCGAACCGGAATATTCGGTATCGGTATACTGGTTCGATTTCCGTTTTTCACACCTTTGACCCCATCGGCTAACATTCACATACATATCCAGTTTTACACCGACACCTACCCCTCCCGACGAGGGATTCGCAGTCGCACGCATTTCGGAATACGTTTATAATTGTAAATGTTTTTTTTTCCTCTTTTTATTATTTTAAACTATTAAATTCGTGCTTGACGTAGGTATAGGTATAGGAGCCTACTTGAAAAACGCGTACCTATATTTAGAAATAATAATAATAATCATATTACCGATGGACAATTATTCACTTTATAACAAATAATAACATATAAATAAGTAAATATTATTATCGTATAATAATATTTTATCGACCTAAATTATATTGTAATAATTGATAAGATATTAATGTTATATAGTTGATATTGATAATTATCATATTTATTAATTATAATGTTATAATGTAGTCAGTATAATTATTATCAAATATTAAGTTTTAATATTATATTATTATTATTATAAATAAACTAAAAATTCGTAAAAAATAATTTACAACTTTAATATTATAATTTATTTAAAATATATTATACCGGATGTAGTTTTTCTATAACTATAACTATAGCTGAGTACTTAGGTAACTGAAAACCTATCCGGGAAATCGATTGACAAAGAGAAAACGTCATATTATTCGTAATATAATCAAATAATACCTCGGTACCACTGTTTTATAATAACATACAAAAAAATACTGTTATTTTCTGCAAATAATACAAATTATTATTCAACGGGTACCTATCAATAATAATTGTTAGCAACAAAATTACTTTAATTTTTTTTTTTTATATAACGTAAACTAAATTACTTTTAAAGAACCAAATTATCAATTTTATATCAACTACCGATTGCGTGATTGTATAATATTACATTAGGTAGGTATTATTCAAATCCATTTAAAAATGAATTAATGTTTCAGTAACGTTTAATAACAAATATTATTATTTAGCATATAAAAGCAAAAATAAAACTGTCAGGTAGGAAACTACATATTTTGAATAAAAAAAGAAAAAAGAAATATTTGACAATTACATAATATTATAGATTTATAATTTATCTACTATACCATTATAATAGAAAGTTCGATTGTGTGTATGATGTAAGTACGCGATATTTTAATCGCGGTATTCTTTATCATTTTAATTTTGACCGAGATATTATAATATTTTTATTACATAAAACAACAAAATTATGATTATATTAAATTCGTTAATGAAAAAAATATAATTATAAAAATATTGTCTCGAGAAAAATTTTAAATACTTGAACAACATTAATATTTCCCTTATTTTAAATTATATTTTGTTCGCGAAAACAATATTGTTGTTAAAATTATTAATGAATACTGATAAAACATTAAAGAAAATTAATTTAAAAAATAATTAAAAAAAAAAAAAATCATAAATTATAAGTATTAAAATTGTTTTGTTTTTTTAATAGATAACTTAATGATATAATTTAGAATGCTTAGTAAAGTTACGAATTTCAAAAATCATATACTTTATATACTTTACATTGGTATAATGACAATGGTTATAAGAGATACGAAATTGTATCGATAGTCTATACGTATACAAATAAATTGTATCTAGTTTAACTACCTAATAAATAAAATAAACTTAATAATTATGTCTGAATTTAATCAGATAATATAATTTGTTCATGTACAATACAAGTAATAATTAGACTATAATATTATAATCATTCCGGCTAAAATTGATCTATATATTATATACATATAGGTGTTGTAATTAAAATAAAATAATACAAAATATGACTTACTTAAAAACTTTCAAGACGTGTACTCCTAGGGCTGTAATATTGAAAACTGTTGATTTCGGCCGAGGTGTGGTCTGTAGAAAAGGCTCGCCGGGCATAGTAAAATTGATCCCCACTTAAAAAGGGGTTGTGTACACATTACATAGTGTTGACCCAATGACCAAAGGTTGTTTGGTTCTCTGGCATAGGGGTCTGGTTCCCCTCTGCAGCAGTATGTGTGCACCGTAATTTATGCTTCTGGGCATTTTTATAATTATGATTTACTGTTGCGCGCAATACCCATCAATCAACCGAGAAAACGGTTGTTTATACAGCCGGACATCTCTCTCTCTCTCTTCTTTTTTCCATCGTAACCACCGTGTGATACATAAGAAAAAATTCTCACACACAATGAATTGCTATGGTTAAATGCAATTTCGTTAAAATTATAATAAAAAAAAAAAAAAAAACGTTCGTCTAAATTATCCATACGAAAGGTAGGCATTGAAATATTGTGGAATACAGTAATAGCGACGCATTGAAGGAACGGACACGCGCTGTATAAATGCATATTTTATAACTTTATGTGATTGTAACTGATTCCAATTTTACTGACAAATTTATTTTTGTTTTTTTTAAAGTAATAAATATTAAATAATTGTATGTACTTTACATGATCCACGTCCAACTTTTAAAAACAGAATATTTAAATCATCAAAGGTATTTTTAAATTAGTTTTAAATTTTTAGTGATGCATTATAAAGCACGAATAATACATGTTCAAATGGCATAAAATGATTTGTATCATAAACATCTTTAACTGAATCACCAACTGCTAACTCCAATCAATTATTTGTACAATATAAACTAAAAATTAATTAAATGTTTTGCTACAAAATTGTTTGCCCCTAATAATACGAACTAGTTCCGACACATACAAAAGATATATAGTCATGCTTTAAGTAATACGCATTGAAATCAGACATCTTTTCGCAGTCAATAAGTTGACTCGCAATGTTTTTTGCCGACCAACAAGTTTAATGAGGTCCAAAATAATGAAATAGGATCATCACAAAGGATGAAAATTTTAATATATTCACAAACTGCATTTCTTGTAATAGATTCGTCAATTAAACCTGCTAACTCGGTTCCAGTTTCCACTATATTGGAAATGATTCTTTGTTTTTAAAAATATATCATTAACAATATGAATAAAAGTAAATCTAGTATGTAGAGTATAGCGCCACCAATATTCATACCATTGAGTTTTGTAGTTTTACACGATTAGAATGACCAGTAAATGGACGATAATGTATATATATAATTTGCTATACGAAATATTGAACTAGTTGATTTATTCATAATAAATGCTGATCCTTCAGATTGTTTGGAAAGGGCATCCGCTTTTTTCCGCGTTAAAAAGAAAAAAAAGCTGTTGCGGATTATTATAGACAATTTTGTTTACGTTGCTGAAAATTCTGATACGTTTGTGGGACGATTGTAATGCTGTATACCCGCGCATTTTCGGAATTTAGCCAGTATACGTTATAAATAGTAAAATAGAGCAGTCGGATATACGATAATAATATACTCCCATATATCTCTGACGCGGCCGTTCTTGATCAGGAAATTGTGCGCGACAAATTAAGCGGAAGGTTCGGAAATCGAACCCAAATGTCTCGCAGGGAGATTGCTCTAAGCGCAGTCAATTTGAACAAAAATCGACCAAAAAAATTTTAACGTATTATACAGAATATACCTAACCTAACCTAACCTTATTATTGTATACTGTCGAAATAATAAATACGCAGACGTAGTGGTTTCTGGTGCGAGTTGCAAACACGATTTTCGTCTGTCCGAAACGGCGCACATTTACTGACTTTTAGACGTCCGGACACTTTTTCCGACAGCAACGCGATATTGTACAGCCGTAGAAAGTGTCCCGTGGCGTACGCAGTGGTAGGGATTATAGGGTTTAAACCTCTCCACTGAAATTTCTTCCACCTCTCAATTTTTTTTTTTTTTAAGTTTTAATAATGATAATTTGTACAATTAATTTTAGCACGATTAAAAAAAACATCTGTGATAATCATGCGCACAACGGTTAACGACGTGAAGATATAATAGAAAGCTATATATTTGGTGAAACATATCAACATAAATATATATTCCTCTGTGGCATATAGACGTGTTGTTTTTAAGTATGTACCCTATCGCATTCCGTGGTGATACGTAAATTGTACCGTAGCAACGCGACGGTCGAGGCCTCGATGGTGTGTTTACTGTCGGTATAAACAAATATAAAATTGTAATTGTTTAAATTTTAAAACTGGGCATTTTCGATTAGTCATTTTATTATATGCGTTTGTGGCGTGGTGTTACGTTTGATATCAAAATCACTGAAACGGCTATAAAACTATCGAATTGAGTACTTACGGGGGGGGCCTCCCGCGAGTCGACGGAAAACCTATCGCGAAAACCGCGACCGGACCGAAATCATGCGTACGCTACCGGAATCAGTGCGTGTATCATCGGCACGCGAGTGCAGTTTGAACGCCGCGAACAGAAACCGAGACGAGGGAAAGGTGTCGGAAAAAATTACGACGACGTCGCCGGTCGGCGACAACCGCTACACCGGTGCGCCGTACATACGTGCGCGCCCTTTGCAATGTCGCACACGATATTGTTGTCGTATTCCGCGACGCTCAGTGTCCGATAACACGCGATTAGGTACCGCACGCCGCCGGCCGCCGTTTTTTTCCGGCCGGAGAGAATAGCCGTGGCGGCGCAAACCCCTCGGCCGCCGCAGACCTCCTTTTCTATTCTAATTATGCAAAGTCGAAACATGACGAACGAAAAGAAATTATAATAATAAAACGAGGGACGGCGTTACGGTTCCGGTGCCCGGCCGGCCGGTTTTGTTTGGTGATTTATTACAGTGGCCGTAAACATTGAGGCTTCACGCGCGCGTTTCTCAATACGCGGAAACCGGTTCCCGCCGGACAGAAGAAACGCACTAGCCATTTGTCACGGAACCAGTCGCACCTATACGCCTGTATATAACATACAGGGTGTTCGCGACGGGAAGTACGGGGTGCGCGCGCGAACACACACACACACAATACCTGCAAACCCTTTCCGGGATCTCGTGTGACCAACGGTCGCGCGCAAAACAAGGGCGCCCGTAAGTGCATTGTAATCCGCCGGGGAATTACCCAAGCCAGCGTAAACATTGAAAGGGATTTACAAAACGATATTTTTATATTATTATTATTATTATTATTTTTTTTTTTTTTACGCTTTGCTGTTCCGTCTCGTACACACGTATATAATGTACACGAGATGTAATAATAATATATAGTCTTATTGCCACCGCGACGAACAATAAAAAAAAAAAAAAAAATAGCGCGCGATAATACCTTCGTTCATACGTATACGGTCGGCCGCAAGGACTTTATTCGGATTAAAACGAAATAAATAAATAAAATAAACGAATATACAAGAACGTGACGTTGCGGCGACTCGCTGGATATAATTTTTTTTTTTTTCATAAAAAATTCGGTCACACGGTACACCTTTATACATACGTGATGAAAGAGACGACGCGGAATTCACCGCGAAAAGAAATGCAATATTTACTCCTTTATTTAATATTTACAATATTTTTAAGTACCGTAATAAATAATAATAAAGTACAATTATTTATTTCCATTTGTATATCGTATCATACTTTTAATTTTTTCGTCCCGGAGGAAATATTCCCGTTTGAGAGGGCCGTCCAAAGAATCGATGGCGGGAGAGAGAAACGTCTTAGTTTTACTAAGATGATGATTGTTTTTTTTATCGGAAAGCACTTTTCGATTAGTCGAAATGCTCCGATTTGTTCATTTCATATTTTACCTTAAAAATTGCAGAATTTTCGTCAGACGGTACTCTATATGAATCATTAATCGAATTTTTCGGCAGTTCGTCCCCGGTGCACTTATTTTGTTTTGTTTTTGATTTTTATTGATTCCTAGATTCCGCTTGCTACAAGGAAAAAATCACGTCATATTACTCAGCTCAGTTATTTCCCTTCGCAATGATTTATCAGTACATACATACAGTATAAATATAAACTATATAATCGTCCTGTATAATATCCTACCCAGCAGTATCGTTTTTTCTAACACATGAAACATTATCATCACTCAAATAATATGCTGAAAAACAATTTATTTTGTTATTAAAATAAAACAACAATTTTAGAGTATCGGGAAAGTAACGAAAATTATAGGTGTTAGGTAGTATAAATTAATAAATATTCTCAACGTCTAAAAACGTATCGTCAATACGATTTTCAATTATGAAAAACGTAAAAGAACCGCGCTCGTTAATTACGCGGGTATTCCTCAGAGTGGAATTGCAGAAGTTCCTGCATACAACAAATGATAAAAAAAAAAAAATAAATAAACATATTACCTATATTATATTATATTTACCGTATTTTCACTTTTTTTTCAGAAATATTCACAAAATCGTTACACTGACGTTACGAACCCATTTCAAGATATATACATTTACATTCTTCAGAGTAAATAACATCGCGCGTATAGTGTGTACACGAACCCGACAGCGATATTATATTACAGTTATTAGTATGTATCTATACATTGATGGGAAACGTCGTTGTAAAAACGAATACCTACGTGTCGAAAAAACGCTGTAAACACATAATAATGTTGTTACCTAATCCGTGAAAGCTATATATATATCCGTATAGCAAAAACGTATTATTAGAGAATTTAAAAATATATTTTATTTGAAAAAAATACACAGATTTATACAAATTATCGTGAATTCAGTCAAAGAAACGAAACTGTCCGTTGAGATAAATCGCAATGGTAGATATTAAATTATGTCGGCAAAAAAAAAAAATCAAACCGAATCAATGAATTATTTATCAGATATATTGATAGTAGTATGGTGGTCTTTTGGGTTTCCATGGAGAAATAAGCATGACTAATGTTATACGTTACCCTTAACTGTTTATCACTCAGAATTGTTTTTTTCATTGCAATGATTAATCGTTGTTTTCAGTATATTATAATAATTAAATTACTCTAGGTCCTTCTTCTAAATCTACCTAACCTTTCGAACTACCCAACTATACTACAGTGGTCTACCTATAGTGCGAATTACGTCCGGTATTTTTTTTTTTATCACAAATACAATATAATTTCGATAACAGCGTAATTCGAATACAGTGTTCGTTATTTTATTGTATATATAAATATATAAAAAATAACATAGTAAAACCAATACCTTCTTCGCTCCGCTCAGAATCTAAATTGTGATAGCGTTGCTTTCGTTGGAGTGAAAAAAAATTAAAAATTCAATACACTGTGACGCCGAGTATATCTAAATGTTTTGGCGGTCTACCATTTTTCAGAGAAAATGTTTGCGATTCTACTGATACCAATATGTCGAAAGTGCTAAATTTTGAGTTGCGGCAGTCTCGTCCTAGGGGTGCGGACATTATACCGATCCGGTGTTGATAGTCGGAGTCTAATTAAGGACTGGTGCGTTAATTAATGATATGATCGTGTTACTTGAAACGATGATGGTCAACCGTATACCATAGAAAGCAGGGGTTCATTGCGGAACCCTTTTCGTTCCCATCGAAACCAGTTCTGGACACTAGGCGCATTTTTCCCCCGCGGGACCCTCTTCGAGCATTTAATTAAGAGTGCGCCAAACTGGTTAATTGTCTTTTGTTCGCGGCCTTTACCGATGTTTATTTAGCGGCTATGGATCCCCGCGAACGTGTTTATGGTAATTATGCGTTATTATGCACCGTAATCCTATACTGTAACAAATGTAACTGCACTATAAAATACTTAATGTTTTTTTTTTTTTTTTCTTTCATCGAAATACGTACGTATTATTCAATTACCTATGGCCGAAAACTAAATTAAATCGTAACGTCCGTGCCACCGCGCCGCCATGAAATCGAAATCTTCCGCAAAGATTTCTAAAACGTAATTGAATTACTGTATTATGAACGCGATTCGCGGTAGGTAAACATAATATTAAATTAAACATTGACTCGAAAAAGAAATATAATCTGTACATATAAATATCGTTGACAATGCATACAATTCTATAACTCTATACAATGTTCAGTCGATTTATTCTATGTTGGAACATCTGATTTCTGTGGCGGCAATATACTCGTATTGTACATAGGAACTTAGATTTAACAAGCTAATCAGAATTCAATATATTAATTGACAATTCGGAAATTTTCGATACAGGCTCATAATAATAATAATATTTACGGAACACCTTGGCGAATGGAGTATAGATCAAACGAATATGTTGCTGTCCCATTCATAAACATAGTTCGCGCCAACACTGTAGAATCGCAATCATTCGCTCTACAAATTGGAAGATCCAATCATATATATCTTAAAAGTTATCACGATAAACATTTCAAATTTCCTAAGTCATTTACACTTACCATATGGTTTACATTTGTATTTTTTATTCATACCTAACACATTTAATAAATGAAAATATATGAACAAATTTGTATAGTAATTGTTTAGTATGGCATGATCTGGTACTATGTGTGTTTCATCAATATTACGCTTAGTATGAGTTTTACCAAAATCACACATGTAAGATCCCAAAAAAATTGCACATTCCGAGGCGACCACCTTGGTTCCTCGTGTGGTAGCTCCGCCACTGAATTTTTATTTTTTTCACGTTAAAAAAAACAATAACACAAACTCATTTTTAATTATCGATGTACTTTCTTATGATAAATCATATTTAAATAATGTTTTGAAAATTTAAAATTGTCATAATCACCAGAGAGAACAACTTTTATTTTAAAAAAATATATAAAGCGTTACCAATAATGACATAGTATATACTTCTCAGACGTTCTGTTATTGGTTATAATGTGGGGTTATAGTTAATTTTTTAATACTGGTGTTAATTTAGAACTTAAAATTAAGAATTTAAAACTATCATATTTAGGTTTGTGGCTGACTTGCATTTTTTTTAAAGTATAATGTAATACTGACCCAAATCAAAATACGGCAATGTTCCATTAGAGTTTAAAACTAAAAAGTGTCTTCACTTTAAATTTTCAGAAGGGAAAATAATATCTTTGTGTTGAGCCGTACATAATTTAAAAGTAAATACATAAAAAGACAAGAAAACAACGTGCAAGTTTTATTGATAAAACTTAAAAATTGACATCACCCTGGTCAATATTTAAAATTTAAAATTTGTTTTTCTCGAAACAATAAAAATATCATATGGCATTGTGGCGTTCTCGCTCCGACATTGTGGACAATGTGTGCACTGCGTACACTGCGTGTATATTGCATTTCTTACCGGAAACGTTGACAACGAGGGTTTAATGGATTTTTATTATTTATGATTTTTAACAGTCCTTTATGTATTGTACACTAATATTATTTCACGAATAAGTACGTCTATCGCAATATTTAATCAAAAATCGAATAAAACACGTTATCATATCACGGCGGTGTCATAGCGTTAGGAGAATACAACGCGTGTATCGTGACACGTGCACGCGGGACAATCGCGTGTATTTCTATAGCCTTTGGAGATTTTTATTTTTTCATGTTTTCGTTTGCAGCGGTATAGACAATAATTGCCCGCTATCCGTGCGGCTGTCGCAACAATGTTATTGCGATCGAATCGGAAACCGCCGACCAAAATTTTGAAATAAAATCCGATTACTCAACTGCAGTATAGCAATAATAATATCCGACCGACCTTTTGTATCGCGACAATTTACTAATAATAAAATAAAATATAATACGAATAATAATAGACCGGCGGCGACAGCGTGTCTCGTGGAAACTCGCGAAATGTGTTTATTTTTATTATTATTATTATTTTTTTTTTTTTTGTGATTCATTAGGTTTTTAACGCGAACTCTATATCAACGACACGTTTATGAATTTAGACACTCCGGATACCACGTTCAAAAATATTTATTCTCGTCAGTACCTACCCATATTTACAGTTGGCGTATTTGTTCGCACGTTTTTTTACAAAAATCAAACCGTTCAATTTGGTTTTATCTATTTGAAAAAAAAAAAACCATAAATTACATTTCATCCCTCCTACCGTCTTAGGTTTTTTCTGAGTTTCTATTACTATATCCGTCACAGTGGGATCTCGATGCGATTACAGGTGCTCAACACCTATGGTATTATAAAAAATTAAAGTGGACATTTGAGATGGCTACGCGAGACATTCTACGTAAGGGGTGGTTGTTACTGAAATTGGTACGACGTATTGGAGCGTGGATAGAGCACAAGAGCGAAAGGGCACGGATGTTTACGGTCGACTAACAATGTCGGACGGTCTACTATGGAGTAATTTTGAAAAAAATAAATGAAAGATTTGCTTCCAATCGTCTGTTCGCTAACGTACCCGGGCCCCGGTGGTGTATTACTACTGAGTGGATTATAAACATGTACGAATCCGTTGGACCCGTTATCTAGTTGCGTTGAGCCGGAGGCCGTATAAGAGCACATACACAACTGACCCATTTAATATTTATTATTCAATATATTGAACGTACTATGGAACAATATATGGGTCCCGATGCGTGTTTATAGATATTGTGTTCTAGAGATTTTGCACGCGTTTTAATTATACTTAGTGACTTTCGACCCAAATTCACGCGGTTTCGAACGTTATCGCGTGCCTTTTGAAAATGTGAAAAACCAAAGAAACTTGTGGTTTCGAGCGGTACCCGCACGTGCGGTTTTTCACACCCTCCAGTTTACCGCGGACGGATTAGCAGTGCATTGGTTTTTGGATGAAACTTTTTCAATATCCACGAAAATACCATAATACAAGTCCGACGAAAAATATAAATAACACGCAGAGCTCTGTTTTAAAGTGGACACTATTACGACTGCGCGAAAACTGCACAAACCGCGGCGCGACCACAATATGTAGCGGCGTTTTTTTGTGTTTTTTTTTTTTCTCTTTGCGAAATTCTGAACGGAATGTCACGTTACCGACGTGGTAGAACGAACAGGAAATCCGATACACATACCTATAGATATCGGAACCGATTTCATCGATCAGTGTTCTCCCGTGCGCGCACACGATCGAACGTCGACGGCGAACGATTTATTTCTGTTTTATCGAAAATACACCTGTAACCCAACACATAAATACCCGATAACGATATCGAAGCATAAAAACGACGACGGAAATCCGGAAAAACGACCATGTTTCCCGGCGTGATCGATTATTATCGCCGATTTTGTCAGATCATGTTGGTGGTGTTGTTGGTAAGTCGTATGTAACATAATAGATATAAACCATTGTTAATTCTTTTGTTCACGTCTCGTGTGTTTTGCAGACGTCTCGTTACTATCACGTCACCACTTCGATCACGGTGTCCGATCGAGACGATTTCGACGGTACGTAATACCGCCTCGTTATATTACGGGTACGGGTACGGGTATCCGCGGGCTGTCGTCGATGTAAACGAAAAACCAATGCGGACAAATAATAATATAATAATCGAATTAACGGCGCCGCGAAATAAATCGGCTTTTTTTTTAACGGATTTTTACAGGCCAAGACGCCAACGACGACGCGGACACGCTATCGGAGAAAGCCGGCGACGGGGACGCGGAAAACAAGCATTTCATGTAAGTGACTATTTTAATCCGGCGCGGCAGCTGCGTTTACATTTATTGCGGCGTCTCGGTCCGTGGTGTTTATTACTTCTGAATTAACGCCGTACGCACGGGTGTCCCAGCACCGTATACTGTCCGTAATGTCATTACGGGCGAGACGGTTTCGATTGTAAACGACGAAAAAATCGCCCGAAATAATAATAACATTACACGCGTGTCAGCCCCGCTTTATTGATGTTCGACAGTGTATTGTGCTCGCGATTTCCCGCGCAAATATCCCATGCACAGTTCGCCGATGCCGATCGAAATATCGAAATGTTATATACCCAGGCGTAATACCGAAATTGATAAGATTTCAACGCGTCCCCCCTGCCCGCGCCCCTTTTGAACGGCCCGGTCGTTCGTGGCACAAACGTCGAATACCGGATCGATATCTCCGAAGATCCGCAATCGGCCGAGATAACTTTTGTTCCGTTCAATATGTTTGGGGTTTTTTTTCTCGTGATAATTATTATTACTAGAACCTATTGCGCTATTATGATTCCTCTACATGTTTTGTGAGATTAAAAATAAAAAGAATTTACATTTAAAAAAAAATTGTTTTCACGAAGTCTAAGATATCCGTTTCATAAATATATGTGTTCTGAAACACAACTTTGGTGTTAAATATATTTTGCAAGAACGTACGAATACCACATAATTGAAACTGAATCGTCGAAATTATTATATACTCGGTCGGTTTGGCTTTTCGTAATGACATTAGTGACGTAGGTATCTGGCATTATATATAATCTTTTTTCGGAATTATTGTATACTACAGGGACGTGTATTCGTTGAAAAGTGGCCCGCAACAGTTAGAGTTCGGTCACGTGTTCGAGGATCCGAACGTCTGGGAACAAAGGTACGAGAAAAAAGATTTCGACTCCCAGCGACACCAAGGACAGGTGAGTTCAGAATATAAACCAAAGTCCGACTTTGTGGTTTTCGAGATAACATGTATGCAAAAACAACTAAAAAAAAGAAAAATGCTAAAATAAGAAACAAACAAATTAACAAGATATGTTCGCGTATAAATCAGACGAGCCGATGTTATTTTTTTTTGTGTTGAAGGTCAAATGGGGCGACAAAGACGGAAGTTACGGTGAACAGTATTGGGACTTGAATCACGGTGGTGCCGGAGAATCGGCCTACGATAATGTGAGTTTACTTATTGATTTTTGTTCCATACTTATTACCTATAGTATATTTATGTTAAAACCATTGGCGTAGCCTGTGTTTTGTTGAGAGGGATGTTTTTATTTTATGTTTAAGTGTAACTTTGTAACTTTATTGTGCGAATGTGGCACATAATTCACAAACATAAAATATATATTTAACAATTATCTGTATGCGTAAAACACATCTAGTTGAAATCTGATTACACACATAGTAAAAATTATATTTGTCGACATAAATATATGGCCGAGGGGTGTGTTCGAACACCAAAACCCTCCCCCCCCCTTCGCTACGCCGCTAGTTAAAATTGTATAATATTCGTTACAAGGGAGAAAACGGACCATACGAATCGTCTCCGCCGGAAAGCGGACCATACGAACCGTCGAATTGGGAAAATGGCCAAGTAAAAAAAAAAAAAAATTAAAAATTAACCTATATATTAATAATATTGATGCGATGTTTAACCGCCGATGTTTGAAATTTAGGAAAGCCGTCACACGGCCGTGGTTTATAAGCCGTTGGTCGTCACGTTCACGACCACGAACAAATCCAATAAGAAATCGCCGACCGCCATCGTCAGAAATGCCCGTCACAAAAATATGCCGAACAATAAATTGCAGCAGATGTCGGAACCGACGGCGACGACGACGACGGCTAAACCGATGACGACCGGTAGAAGTGCCAACGATAAAAAAACCGCACCCGTTTTGGTTTTCGACATGAAGACCGGAGTGGTCATGGACGAGGCCACGGGTAATAAATTCGTTCTGAAACCCATAGACGATTGATTTCGATCGCGATACGTAATAATATTGTGTTTGTAATAAAAATGGTGGGGAAAAAAACGAGAATGGATTCGATAATAAAATGCAATACCTATACTTATTGTACTCGTATTATGTATCTATACCTATCATTATTTTCGCTAAATTACGTATACTTAAATAATAGTTCAATTCGGACTCCTCGTACCGTTAACGCCGTTATTATATTATTATAATATTGTGTATTTTGTTCGTACAATCGATTTGTCTTGTTACGTTGATATTATTATTGTCTTTGTATACGATTCACGAAACATTTATTATTTAATCTAATAATTTTATTAAAATATTTATTAGATAACGTCCGCATGATTTAAGAGGTTTTTCATTCATTGAGCTAGATAATATTACAAGTGTGTGGAATATCACAATTTATTTTAAAAAAATTATATCGCTTAAAAATCTAATAATCCAAAAAAAAAACCAACGTTAATGCAATGTAAAATTTAGGTAAATACTCCATAATTAAAATACGACAAACAAATCAAAACATAACCTCCTTATTTACTAATGAGACAAAATATTTATTAGAAACCATTAACCTCTAAAGAAACCTCTAAAGTTGATTATCGGAACAAGATTTCTGGTATAAAAGTTGTTGCATACAAAAAAAAATAACGAAAATACGGATTATTGGTAATATTAGTAACCATCATAGTAGAATCTTAAATAAATATTATCTATTATTTAATCAAAAAGTTAGCCTGCAGTAGTGCTATTATTGTTTGTTTTTGGAAATTATTAACTACTAAATTATGGCGAAGCCCACCGCGGGTTTAGTTGAGTTCAATAAATACAAGGGACGCTAATTTTTATTAAGTCTTATACACTATAAATCCTATTTTTTTAATTTTTTTTTAATTCGAACACTGAATAAGAAACGAAAAAAAAGAGGTTGATGTTCTCTCAATCAAGTGCTAGGAAAATGTATGAATTTATTTATATAAGTTCCTTCAATGATTACATAAATACTCTAGTATCTATCTTTGATGTCTCTTCATGTATTCTCTGTCTATGATCCATCCATTGGTTAATAGGTTTATGATTTATAACCACAAACCAAAAAAGAACTGATAACGGGTTTCAAACTGTTGTAGGTGGAAAATTGGGAAGGTAAGATAAATAAAGTTATTTAATTTAATTCGGTTATACTTATATATTTTAAAAATTGTTGTCAATATTTGATCTTAAAAAACGTATAAAATAAAATTACTACAATAAACTCGTGTTTTTATTTTTTTAACCACTTTAAGTACAATTCTTCGTGAACCTCGTTCGACCCATGACAAGATATAGCGACACGTTATGAGAAATAAAATAATATTGTTAAACTCAAACAATACACTACAGACATAAATGTCTGCCCTAATTATAATATTACGATAATGTGCGATGACTGCACAGTGTTATCGTGTATTATAAAAATATTCAAACCGGTGTACACGAATACAAAAGAAAAACCATCTGCAATAATATAATTTATAATAATAATTAGTTCAGCATCTAAACAGGTAGTACGTTAAACTTTGTGAATGGATTATGATACGAATATTATTTTCAAATGACAAAAAAAAAAAAAAAAAAAAAACACGAACACAAACAAAAACCTGTGTATTTATTTTAAAAAAATGAGGCGCGGGACGAAATGTTAAACCGAGTTACGGCTCGTGCAGAAGACCTGTTCGTTCTGGTTCTAAATGTATTACATAAACTTCTAATACAAATCTGCGATTGTCATTTCGAGACAGCAGCTATACCATAGTCTATTATTTATTAGATAGGCACCTATACACTATAAAGAACGTTTTCGACTGCGGTTATGTTAGCAGCTGCAACTGCAGACGTTGTTCAATCGTATTATTGCCTACAATAATAATAATTCGAGGCAGATAATATACACGTAATAAGTATACGAATACCTGCGGGCTACGGCTGATAATGATGGGCCTAACAACAGTCAATTTACACTTCGTACAACCCGATTCGATACGGTTGACACTTGTAGAAAAAAAAAAAAATGTGCAAGTACATAATATTATAATATAAAATATAATCTAATTTCGCGTTAGTCCGCGATCCGGTGCCGAGTCTGTTGACTCTCTTTTCCCACACGACTCAAAAGATTTATAAAATAAAAAAAAAAAAAAAAAAGGACTTTCACTGGAAAATATAAATTTATTCAACTTAATACTATTATCAATAATAATACACCTACTTGTAACCCGTGTAATCCGTATCTAATGTGCAGATAATACACTTTTGTGATATGCGCAGTGCAGTCTTGTAAAACAACATGATTTTTTATTTATTTATTTAAATTTAATAACAGGCGTGAGACCGATTTGCAATAAGTTTAAAACATTAGACACATTATACATAGTTATAGGTAGTTAATAATAATAGGTAGTTAACTCATAATACAGTGTATGATATTAAATTCATATTACATTTTAATTAAATTGTATTTGTATATTTTATTTATATGCACTTTAAATTTAGGTAGGTACCGATCTTTTTACAAGACTAACTAACTCGATTATGTGTACAATATACATTTATATATACACCAGGTGATCCATTTAAGTGAGTACACAAATTATCTCGTTAAGTATTAACTTTTTTCGGAATTTGTTTTTTAAAACATTTAGGAAAAAAACAGCTCTACAATTTTATATTTATATTATTTTTATCATCTTTATATTTAGAGGTAAATTCACTACTTACTTTTGATTTTCAAATGGAAACCTATATTAAAAAGTCCATAAATAGTTGGAGTATTTGTTAAAATAAATTTTAGCGTAGACATGTTTTATTTCTGTCAATCCATTTGACGAGGTATTCCACTTTTAAGTATGGGTTGTAGGAGAGTGGTAGTGCATTATTAACACGCCGCGCGCCGTACTGCCACACAAATACAAACATTTTCAAAAAATCAAATTTATTCAAAATCTATTCGTACAGATAATAGTTACTATTAATTCGCCATAAAAGAATCATCCGCACACTCTTTATGCATATAGGTAAATGCATGTGAGTAGTAGTACGTAGTTGTTTAGAAATAAATTAACGTGAAAATGTAAAATAATAACAATAAAAAGTAATAACATTATAAGCGTTAGGTGATTTTTTACACATTATATAAATACGAATTTTATTATGTGCGCGCAATTTCGACAAGAGAATAATAATATAATAATAAAATAATTGTCACGAGGCTCGAATGTTAGAAAATATGAGCATAATCGAAAAATAAAATCTAATTTACGTTTCGAATACGAACAATACAATAATACAATAATAATATTATTTCATATAAAAAAAAGATTTAGATATTTTTATTTTTTTGTAATACATTTTAAAACAACGTTATGAAAATTGGGCAACTTAATTTGGCACCGTAATATGCAGACTGCAGCAGCGAACAAAATATAATTGTTTTTTCACTACCCACCTACTTGCTTGCCTACCTATTATATATGTTAACAATTAGACCAGAAAATCGACGAAAACCATTTGACATAAGCGAATAACATTTTTGATTTATAACCAGAGGATTAGAAAAAAAAAATACAAAAATGTATTATGTAAATCAAATTATATTTGTTTAAATTACTGATAAACAAGATACCAACTCATATAAACTTAAGTTATCCATATAAGTTATAATTATAATAATAATTAGTAAGTAATAACCCCCACTGTGTCAGTGAGTCGATGAAACCGAAAAAAAAATATATTATATAATTTTAACTGAAAATCCAGAAACATTTTTCTCATTATACCACCAACTAAGATTTACAGAATACAGGATACACGACGACAGCTTAATAGTTGATAAGAAAATCATCTCAAACGGCCCCAAATTTAACTCCATATTACATTCCTGACGCACAATAGTCAAAGCGGTATGTTTTATACTACAAAATGATATATCATTATCATGCATAATACACGAAACATGTGGAATGGTTAAATTTAATTAATAAATTATTACAATTTTGGTTTTACTATGATGTGTGTTTTTAGTTCTGTCGTTACGAGTTATACTAAATATATATAAATTAAAACCAGGTAACAATAATAAATAAAAAGTATAACTATTGAATTATTTTTTAACATGGTTTATTTTAATTTTTATATCTATACTTTAATCGTTTACGATAATTTTTACTAATGATATAAATAAAATAACTTCACAAATCATTATTAGGTATAATGTTTAAATACTGGTGGTCCAATAATTGATCAATAACGTTAGTTGTGTATAGTTATTTAATGTAAAGGCACACAGTTATGATAAAAATCCAGTTTAGAGTATATTTAAGAGCGAAAGAGATTGGGCGATCGCTCCTTTCGCTTCCTCCCTGTATCTGCCACTGGTATTATCATTAAATCGTGCTTTAAACAATAAACACCCGCAAGCGGCATGGCTCCGTCACTATAAGGATTCGAATTTTACCCAACTTGTTTTGTGAAATTTCATTTATATCTGTAAGCACTGATAAACTATTGCTGACGAAAAACGATTCGGAGCAAAGTTCGGTTATACATGTTTTGAAAGGCCGTATAAGATTTACAATTTTCGTTAAAATTTGATATTAAAATTCTTATGAAAGAAATATATTACATAAAACTCAATTTGTTGTCAAATAAGGCCAAAATATTTTTTAACTAACACCTACATTTCGTACATTTCCCCGTTTTTCCTCCATTTTTGTTTCAGTTTTTTATTATTTGTTGAGAAAAAACTGGAAAAATCGAAAAATGATCTCTTTAAAGTACCACCCTAAGAAAATTTCATTTCAGAAAAGAGTCTGCATCGTATACATCGAAGTAAGTTTTCTGTTAGAAAAAGTGTTCACATTAAAAAAATAAAAAATAAACATCTTTGTAAAACCAATACATTCTTCGCTATACTCAAAATCTTTACAAAATCGAATATAACAGACGTTTTTCTCGATTGTTTCTCATTATTAAGAGTAAAACAAAGAAAATAGAAAAATGATCTTCTGATTGCACAAATTATAGTAATAGACACCTATTTTCTACCAGAAACTCTTTTAGGTGAAAATCGGGGTAAAATTTTTGGTAAACAAGTTGTTTACAGACAGAAAAAAAAAACATACATACAGTGAGAAAAAATGTTGCCTGCAGTAGTGTTATTAAGTTGGTAGGGGTTTTTTTTTCGTAAATATTATTAATTTCCGAGTTATTTTTAATAATTGGTTCAAGGGGAGACAACTCCCTCACGGGTTACCTTGTGTACAATAATCTCAAGGAACGCTCGTTTCGTGTAAGGACTACACGTGTCCTTCTTCATTTATTTCTTCGATTCGAGCACTGTTATTAGGTACCTATACGACGATTTGTATTCGTATTACACACTACAATTGTGTTGGTTCGGTAATACGGTACGAGAGGCGGGAGCGTTTTATAATTGTAAAATAATATCGTGTCTTTCACGCGAAAATACAATAATACATCAAACTGACGTTATACGTATACACAGGCAATGACAATAATATCGAATATTCTCCTTTTCTAACGTACAGAAATAGAGGGGACCGCGGGAGAAACCGCGGTCTAAACTGCAGCGGTTCTTGCAGATGACAACCGAAATCCGTAAAAGGACAATCTGTTCGTTGTGGACCCACGACGGAGCAGCAAGTGATCAGCTATAAACCACGGTGAAATTAATTTCCATAATACTGTTAATGTGGTGTTTACAACATTATCGTTTTCATTTCGTTTTTACCGCGGCAACCGCAAACGCAACAGCAACATAACGTAGTGCTGCCGAAAGCGATTTAATCACAATAATGCAATATGAATATTGTTTTTTGGTAAGTAGATTTTCGCGATTATTTCCAGACAATATAATTAATCAGAATAGTCTGCGATTTTGATAGTATTATACTATATAAAGACGATTATTCTATTGTATTTCAACGCGATCGTTATTGTGTTGCGTGCGTTTCGAACGTAATAATATTCGAGACTGTTTACCGCCGTTTCAAAATTTAACTTAATCCCAACATTTTACTGAGTAAAAAAAAAAAAAATGTGTTGAAGTTAAAAACGTGTTTTTCTCTGTGCTTTGAAAAAAAGCGGCTTTTCTGTTTTTTTTCCCCGTATCCTTTTAACCAAATATCGAATAAATCGGGACTATTAAGTGAATTGGATAATTAAAGTATGTGTACTTTTTTATTTGTACAGCAGACCCATATTTATATACCATTAATTAACATTTTTTAAAACATAAACTTATGACCGTCTTTTAAAGTTTTTAGTAAATTTCAAAATATCGAAATCAAATACTTCCGTTTTCAAATAATTTTACAAATTTGTACTACATTGTACACCACTACACTACACTACACTGCAGTTACACAACAGATTCAATAATTATCAAAATGCAGACTTCAATATTACAAGTATAATAATGTGTTTATTTTGAAAGCGGTAAATTGAGTTTTTAAAATGGGTCCCGGCTTCGATTAATACGTATGCCTCCTGTTATTATTATTAACTATCTATATTATATTATGAACTGGAAAGTTATACTCAAATTATTATAACTGTAATATTGAACATTGAATATTCAAACATTATTTGTTTCTGTAGTGTAAATGCAGTGTGGTATAGTGGCTTACAATATAGTACAATTATTATTTGAAAACGGAACTAATGGCTATCGAAAAAACTAAAAACTTTAAAAGACGGTCATAAGTTTATATTTTAAAAAATGTTAAATAATAGTATACAAAGATGTGTCTGTTGTAAAATTACACGTACTTTAGTGGTTTTTGTTTTTTTTAACACTCAAAACGAAGTTTATACTGAGATTCTGAAAGTTTAAAATCACAAAAAACCTAACTAAATACATTATTTATTTGACTTCTAATGGAGTTTTATGAGATATTTAAAAAAAAAAAAAAACACGTCTATAGTTTGTTTTACCTAATACCTTTTTTTCCGGGATCCAATCAACCGAAAAAAGTTCATTCGGCACCCAATTTACCAATCCCGAAAAAAATTTGATCGAACGTTTTCTGAATAATTTTTGTTCAACTGGTTACTTAAATAGTACTTATATATACCTATAGATCATATGAACATACAATTTTTCGAAAAAGTCCGACCAAACGCTTGAAAATAAAATCTATACGTGTAGTGTTAATCGAATAGTAAATAGATAATCCGAAATTCTACTGTACGTGATTAGAATTCAAATACTCTGTGCAAAATCTATATAGTTTGAAAAAAAAAATTTCGCTACCGGCGGATTTTTATGTTTTTTTTTACGCTCGTTGTCGTTAATCCGGATAATGTTCTAGACTCAGTCTAGAAGTATAACTTTTGCAAAAACAATCCCGTTCGAGCGTCTTTATGTTGCGTTGTATACGTTCTAAAATGATATTCGATGAAAACCTTGCCGACGGAACCCCTTCGGCGTTAGCCTGTTAGAAGTACGTATAATATTTCCATCGCGTTAATTTCATTTCGCGTGTACCCCGGAGTGATTTTTTTTTATTTAATTTTCGGCCAGATATCATATTATTTTGTGAAAATGTTCGTATACCAAAACGGCCAGACGAAAATACGGACAAATAAATACGAAAAAAAGAAATGGCCACGAATAAATGTTTAAATTATATATTATACAATTAAATTAAATTTTTTTCGGGGATCCATAAAACGCAAGAACGTAATCGTTGGTAAAATAATGATAATCGTTGGGGTTTCTAAAACATTTTTGTTACTTCGTTTTCACATCGCACTTTTCCCACCGTTTTGATTAAAACCCCAGTTTTGATTAGCACCCCAGTTGGCGAGCGAAGCGATTTAGCCTCACGTTGGACCGGGAACCATTGGTTTTTATCATTCCGTTTAAACATCATTCCCGAACATTATATTTCCGATGTATACAGCAACCCTCACAATTTTTTTCTCAGACCATTTTTGTATTTGGCCGTATTTGCCTCCGGTCATTTTTATGCCATGGTCATTATTACCAGCGCAACCGAACAAGTATTATTATACTTGTTCGGTTGTACGTGGTGTTTATTGAAGCAAGATTTCTGGTAGAACACATTTACACATTTTGTTTTACAACGGAGGTCGATAAAACCGGGGTGCGTCGTAAATGTTTGTTAGTTTTCCCAATATCTTTTTTTCGGGGTTTTCCCGATCGTCGTACGGAAACCGGTTGGAAAGTCGTTGAAAATGGCCTCTCTAATGCGCCGGCTACCAGTATCCGAAATTCATCGAAACGTGTCTCTTGGGCGTTTTCCGATTGGGGCGAGATTTTCGGCGGAAACGTGTTTTACAGAGAGAAAAAAAAAAAGAAACGAAAAACGCGGACGCCGTCACAGTGAAATCAAATAATACCTAAAATGCTAATTCGCAACATTATTGCCGCAACGGACGATACCGTTGTGAAAACTATACCAGGTGTACACCTATTGAGGATCACTATATCATTACGATATCTATGTATACTTTGACGATAGGAAAAACCAACGATCGATAATTGTTTACGCTCACGTTCAGACGATCGTTATTTATCGACATTCAAACGTACCTACTCTCTAAATGGAAAATTGTACGCAGAAATGATGGTTTGTCCGTCAATTTTCGCGTGTAATTTAATGTACGAGTATTTTGCAATTTTAACGCCACTTATATTCGTGCCGTTTACCTATGTGTGTATACGTATCCGAAAAACCGACCGATTTCGGTTAAAGCGGTTATAATTTAATGTGTGTGTGTGTGTGTGTGTGTGTGTGTGTGTTATTGCAGCTGTATTATATTTCACCGGACGAATTCCGATTTACAAATAATAATAATAAAAAAAAAAAAAAAACTAACTCTCTTGTATTTCATTAATAGTCTGTTACAGCGGTAAAGACCAAAAATCGTCAACGCGTTCGGAAAACGCGATTCCGTAATAAAAAAAAAAAATAAAAATATTATTACATTTTGTCCTTAGCTCTTTATATCGGACGTGATGTGCGCGTTTGTTTTTCATTATTGTTTGTGTGTGTTTTTGTCGGTTTGTCACATTGAGATGCGGCACTTTCCCTCGGGCGTCTCAATCCGATAAAATAATAATATATTAGTGACGGTTTCCAAGACGAAAAGAACGTTGCGCGTGTTGCAGGTGAGGCAGGCGAGGGAAACACACGCGATAGATAATCAAAACGACTGTGTATACGGAGACAACAATAAAGAAAAGTAACGTGTCGTTTTCTTGGCCTCGTTTTCTTTTCGAACGCGGTCGCAGTGCGCGCAGGATATCGTTGCGTAACTGCAGTAACTGCGCCGTCAAAAACAAAACGAGAAAAAAATAAAAATGAAATATCTATGTGCGCAAAAAACCTAACCTTACCTATACAGCGTGGATAAATATCGGCCGTACTATGCTTACCGCGCGTTCGGATGCCGTGTTCGTGATTATTGTGTATCGAAAATATTATGCATTTCTGTTACAGGTGTTCCTCTCGACCGTGTCCGTCGCGGTGTTGTTCGAAGTCAAAAAAATATACGTCATCGAACGCGATTTCAAGACAGGTGAACGGTTTAAAAAATTGTTTGCATGCGTATATTATAATAACTCGCAGGGTTCGGGTTACCGTTTGCTTATATTTTCGGGCCATCGTTAAACGTATAGCGCATTGCTGTGAGAACCATAATTTCGCGTTACGGGTTCATTATTATATGAAATTTAAAATGGGATTTTTGTTTGCTTTTTTTTTTTTTTTTAAATATTTGTCAAGCGCTTATTTCAATAATTATTAAGCTTATAATGTAATCGTTCAAGCGCTTTTTCGTCGATTTTTAGTGCAATAATTTCCGAATCCTGATAACAATTATCATTATTATGCAGTCTTACAATCTCAGATTAGAGCTCTTGTAAACAATGTCCTGTCTCATACACATACACAAAGTTATTTTTCCGAAAAAATTCCAAAGAGTCCAAATTGTATTTCTCATACACGCCTTTTTTTTTTTTTCGCTTTCTTATTGAATTTGACTTACAAATATTGGGGTGTTAAACCAGTTTTCCAGTTACGAATCCAGTCGTACGAGTTAATCCCTTAAAATATTGTATTTATTATGTTTCACTAATAGTGCACAAGTAAGGGATGGTCATTCTTCGAGCGTGCAAAGATCCCGGTTTCTAAACATAATTTAAACAATTATCTATAATCATTCCATTTATACGATTTTGTACGATTTTGTACGATTTTGAAAAATGAATTAAAATCCTTAAATTGTAAATATTCGACGAGACATTTTTAAAAATCGTTCAGTACTATACTTATATTTTAGTGCTTAATTTTTAAATTTTGTTGTATTATAAATGTATGTATAAACGTATTATACAATGCTCTTATAATTAAATAAACAAAAAAAATAATAATAAATAGCTGTTCCGCCAAAAAATTTTAAATTTTGCTGTATTATAAATGTACGTATACATGTATGTATAAACGTATTATACAATACTCTTATAATTAAATAAACAAAAAAAAAAAAAAAATAGTTGTTCCGCCAGTCGATGCCCAGGCCACTTTTTTGTCGAATGAAATTTTTAGCATAAAAATTAAAAATTAGTATCATAGAAATATATTTTTATTGCCCACGACTTTACCCGTGTGAAATTTACATTTCTGTAAAGTATAGAGCAAGTGCATACCTCTATTTCGGTTCGAATTAATGCTCACAGGGAGCCATTCATTAAGAAGCTTTTCCACCTTCCTGGGAATATCCCATTTTGGTCTTTGACCGCTCGATTTATTACCCTCACTGTTATGAAACATTTTTATCTTCCCGGGAACATTACTCTATTATTACTCCGCTCGCCGTTGGGAATCTGACGGACAAATGACTACGACTTATATCGATCCATGGGGAGCACCTCACTGTGTTGGATCATAGCAGAATTGAAAATATTAGGCATACAAGGGGTGGTTACTACCCCGTGATTGAATTTCAAATGTAACCACTATAACAACTTTAATAAAATATACGGACGGACGGACGCAATAATGGACGGTGATATATGATTGCGTACGTTTGTACGACTGCGTACGATTTCTGTAGATAACTCTTAAAAATATTACGATTGCGCACAAAAATGAGTGCAATATTGCCAACATACACTATTCAGTTTCTTTACTATGCATCTATACAATTGTTAAATGTACGGATAATATACGAATACCTATAGTAGCTAATAAATATAGTAGATTAACTTTTATGTAAAAATCGTGCGTGAATTAATAAAAAATTATTTTAAGTTATATTTTATCAGGTACTATTGAAATAATACAATTTTGTATAGTCAATTAAATACAACATATCATTTATAATACAATACAAGTATAAATTATAAATTTCATTTTAAATTTTGAGTGGAGCGAAGAAGCTTATGGTTTTACAAAGATATTTTATTTTTCTGTGGACAACTTTTTCCTGCCAGAGGACTTGCTCCGATTTTTACGTATAGCACCTTTTCTGAAAGGAAACCGGTGTGGAGAGGTACCTTAAAAAGGTAATTTTTCGGTTTTCTCATATAGTTTTCTCAAAAAATTAATACGTATGCAATCGTAATAGTGAAAAATGTCCGTACGCAATAGTAACGCATCCATATACGGTGTTCTAGACTTTATTTTTTGTAGATAGTGTTGTTCTATATATAGAATTGTATCGTATTAACTGAACGCATTATATTTGAGTAATCGTTAAAAATAATCCATAAATATCTTCTTAAGTGACATTTTCTTTGAAAAAAAAAAAAAAAAATTAAATAAAAATACAGTGAAAACTCTTTATAACGAAAAACTTTATGTAACGTAAAAATTACTTAATAACGGTTGATTCTGGTTGGTTTAATTTATAATTCACGCATGAGTCTTTTATTGCCTTCTCCATTGCGAAAACTCTCTATAGTAAAAAAAAATCTCTTGGTCCCTTAAGGTTTTCTTACAAGGTGTTATCACTGTAGTAATAAAATATTATTGTTACCGCTCGCGGTGATTTGATCGTATAGGTCAATTGAGAGCACGTCGGCAAAACGTGCCGGTGCAGTCGCACACCGTGGCCCGGATCGGTGGACTGCAAGACTATCACCAGCAACAACAGCAGCAGCAACAACAGCAAGGGCTGTTCAACGTGGCCGTATCACCGCCACCCTTATTGCAATCGGCACCGGCGACCGCGCCTTTAGGTGGCCAACCACAACAGCAACAACCGTTGGACTTGGCGACCACGGTGGACTTGACGTCCGACGGCCGGGCATCGCCGATCGATTATCTGACGCCACCGCCAAACGCCGACTTCCAATTCCATAACTTCCAGCCGACGGGCATCGTCGGCGGTGGCACGGAGTCCGTCCCGACGATTCGGGCGGCGGAATCGCATCAGCTACAGTTCCAGCACAGCGTTCCGGCCGTACAAGCGCCGCCACCGCCGCCTCTCGTACCGTTGACCGTTCCAGCGTCGACGGCGCACACGTCCACCACGTTCACTCCGGGCGGTGGCGGAAGCGGGTTTCCGTCAGTACAAGTGTCCTCGCCCAGTAACCAGGTGCACAGTCTGTCGATCGCCAACGCACCTCTGCAGGAACAGTTCACGCCATACACGCCCACGTTACAGCAGACGCATCACGAGTCCGGGAACGTCCATCACCAGCAACCGCAAAGTGGTGGCAGCGGCGGACGTTGGGAATTAGGATTCGACGCCAGCGACATACTGACACCTCCGTTCGCCAGCGCTTCGGAACAGTCCTCCGGCTCTGGCGTCTCGCCGTTCTTCCAGCAAGATTTCCCCGGACAGGAGACCGCAGCAACGGCCGGCTCGGTGCGCAACAACAAACAGTACCCGGGCGGCGGCGGCGGCGGCGGAGCGTTCTTCGGTGGTGGCGGTGGCGGCGGCGGCGGCGGTAGTAACAACGGTAATTTTGATACCGCCGTAGCGACCGGCAACAAGTTCACGCCGCTGGACGCCGTCGTACGTACGTCTCCGTCCAACAACAACGGCGTTTACTGGGGCACGCCCAAGACGGCTCAACAACAACCGATCAGACCTCCGATATCGTTTGCCGAGCCCAACCCTTACCGATACAACCAGAACAACAATAACAACCACCATCACCTGCAGCAGCATCACAGTCAGTACTTGGACGCGTTCCAGATGCCGTTCACCGGTCAATTCGACGGACCGCCGCTGTCCCAGGGCACGGTGGCCGAACACGTGGTGCACAGCTCGTTCAGGATCAAGCGGCAGTTACATGACGGCAACGACGAGGTTTCGCCGTTAGCCAGAAAGTCGGACGAAGACGACGACGACGAGGGCAGCAGCGGCAGGAGCGCTCAATTCGGCGACCGGAAACCCGTTTACAGTTTCGTCAAGACCGACAGAAACGGCAATTTCAAATGGAGCGTCAGGCACGGGTACTGAAATATCATAGCAGACACCGAGACTACGCCCGCCACCCGAAACGATCGACTGTTCTTTCGATATTATTAACTATAAAGTCGTGTATTATTTTGTATTAAAAACGTATTTATATTTAAGAAATAACGATAATAAAATATTGAAAAACGATAATTTTTTTATTGTTATACGCCATTAGAAATAAAATTATTCTTACGCGAAAATGCAATATAGTATCTAGTTGTACAATACTCAAAATTAAAGTAACTACGTTTTTAACCAACGCGTAGGTAGGTAACAAATAATCCAATTTTTTTGAGAAACGATGTTTATAAAATAGCTTTATCTTAGATTTTGTAAGTGTATGGTTTATTTTCAGTTTTAAAAAAATTATTTGAAACAGAATAATTATGGCGCAAAGCTCCAGTTATTATCACATGAGAAAAAAACTTAAAGTTCTTAAACAGAACAAAATTAGATATAAATATTATTTAAATCTTCGTGTTACAGCCTGTACATACAATATAGATGCAATTTGACAATTTTTTTTCTCATTTTCACGTAATATATGCTGATCATAAATTAATACAATAATCAATAGGAGCGAGGGTCCCACACCGTCCTTGGAGATCTTGTCGATCAACCCCGGAACCAATTATTTGAGTTCAATTATTGAGTGCCCGCTGGTGAGATTTCCGTTGACCTTCCCGGAAATATCCCATTTTGGTCTTTAAATTACATCCTTTAATCTCCTCACCGTTGAGAAGCGTGTCGATCTTCCTAGGGACATTACTCTGTTTATCCCGCTCGCCGCTAAGGATAGATACCCCGCACAGCATTTCCTGTGTAAGTATTAAACGAAAACATTTATTTTTTTAAAATATGTTTCCGCGTGATTTTCCGTTTCCGCCCGTTTCACTATCACAGTTAACCGTTATTGCCCGTTACATACAAATTGAGTAAAAAATATAATAATGTTGATTATTCAGTGTTTTGCTTACTGTGACAACGAAATTATCATCTAAATCACTAAAAACCTTATTTCAACTATCCTTTAAGGGTGGAATTTTCAAAAATGCTTCCTAAGTAAATGCCTATGGTACCTAATGGTTTAAATTTCTAACCCCGTGCTCACCCAATTTTTTTGGTTAAATTTTGCATATACTCAAATTCTTATTTTTGGAATGTTTAAATGTAGTCAAAGCCGATATTTTCGAATACTTAGATTTATCATAACATTTAAGGAGTATCATGCGATTATACCAACATTGGTTTTTCAAATGAGAACCTATACTAAAAATTTCCATAAATAGACGGAGTATTACTTTAAATTTTGATGCTAAAATTTTTGATTTCCGTCAACCCATTGACGAGATATTTTGCTTTTTAGTATAGGTAGGGGGAAAGTAGTGGAGCACTAATAAAACTCCGCACGCCGTGCCGCCACACAAATGATACACCACTACTCTCCCCCTTAAAAGTAGAATATCTCGTTAACGGGTTAACGGAAATCAAAAATGTTGACACCAAAATGTAATCCCTCCGTCTATTTATGGAATTTTTAATGTAGGTTCTCATTTGAAAAACCAAAGTTGGTATCGCCATAGGATATTCCAAAAATCTAAATTTGAATACATGGAACATTGAACTAAAAAAATGGGGTGAGCACGCAGCACGCTTAGTGGATCATCCTGTATAATATTTAAACAATTTGTTTAGTAAAAATAAATGTTCATATAGTTCTAAACAAAAGTGGAATCCAGAAATTTGTCGTAGGAAGGAGGGACAAAGCAAAATTTACGAAAAAGCTATGTAAGCATGTCTAAGGGCCCCAGAAAGAAAAATACCGCTTCAGAGAGGGCTTGGGAGGGCTCTACGCCCCCCTCCTCCTCCCCTTGTATCCTGATTCTATATCGACGTCTCTTAAATGATTATTATACGGCACGTAACTATAATATATTCCTAAATAATAAACCAATAGGTTATTATTGTAATATTAAATAAACTAAATATCGCTAACAACAAATAATAAAAAATAACAACTATCCATCATAAATATACATGCAATACAGAAGTTTGTCAATTGATCCGACAACTTCAATAATATTATTATTTTTTTCATTTAGAATCCGAAAAATTCAAAAATCGGCGACCCCTCTCCCAACGTGAGAAACTACGACGCGATTGGTGCAATATACGCGCGGTATATGTATACGTTTGCGGCATTTGACTTTTGGGCGACCCATATATTTCATTGTTCGGCGCACTTTATTGAAACGCGAAAATGAAACGGAAAAAAAACCACGGAGTTAAGCACCGACCAGAACCATTTGTTATAGGTCCCGCATAATAATAAGAGCTTTTCGTTGTGTTCGCGATGTTATAAGTGATTTATTGACTCACGCATAGATAGTATATAGTTAGGTGTACTTTGTGTACCTGTGCACTTTGTGAAAGTACGGCGAACCGAAAGGCGAAAACGGGTATAACAATTATTAATAGGTAGGTACCGATATTTTGTACGGGCGCGTACAAATGTGCGATAACACTAACCGAAACTGCAGCAGAGGGGACACTGCGATGGGTATGTTAGGTAAATATCACTTATATACAGCAAAAGATTTTGATTAAATAGTGTTTTTTTTTTTTTTTTTTTTAAAAAAAGGCATTTCTGACGATTTAAAACCGTTAGACTTGTCCGTGAAAAGTGCGGTTTTCCATCAGTCACGTAATATTAATAGCATCAAGTCAAAAAAACCGTACAAATTGTTTTGTGAAGTTTGCGCAAAGGGTTTTGATAGACCATCGCTTTTGAAGAGACACCTGCGAACTCATACAGGTAAGATCTACGGATTTTTTTTTGTATCATGTTATGCTTTTTTCACAAGGCTGTAGCTGGAAACAATTTTCGGGGGGGGGGGGTTTAAACCGAATTTTATATTTACATTATATAGTTTTAAATAAGCTAACTAAAATGTTGATAGTAAAAACTATAGAAAATATATACTTACCTGGCTACCTATATTACAATGTATGTTTAATCTCTTCAGCCGAAAGTTATAGGACCAGTTATTTCAAACGTTAAACTAATACAAGTATAACAAATAGTTGGCTATTAAAACTCACGGTATAATTCTTATTTTTTCAAACCAACCCTCCCCTCTCAATTTTTTTTCTGCATTCACTCCTGATTAAGGGTATTAAGAAAAGGGATCCATGTATTAAATTAAGATGTAAGGAAATAGGTGTAAAATAATGTGTAAGAAAGTACATTTAGCATTCTTCCTTACAATCAATACCTGATCATTGCATTACATTGTAATCAAATTTTAATAACACATATATCCACTATGAAAAGTCAAAAAAAATCACCCATTGGGTTGATTTTATACACCAATAGACAATACTCCTTATTTAATTATCGTTTATATTGATATTTGATTTCGCCATTTTAGCGATAACTTGGCAACAAAACGACGTTTTGTAGACCAGTGTGTGTTACTTATAATTATTTTTAGATTCTGAACAAAGGGATGAAGAATGTATTGATTTCACTATGATGTTTGCGAGGTTTAGATTCTGAGTAATGCGAAGAATGTGTGTATTGGTTTTTCTATGATATGTACACGTTCATTTTTTATTTTTAGATTCTGAGCGGATAATGAATGTTTATTAAGTTCAGATTATTATTTTTTCTGTCTGAGCAACTTTTTACTAGAATTCTAAGTCCAATCAATAAATTATAAGAGAAATTGTTTGTTGTGTTTTGGATCAAGTTGTTTAAAAGGTTGATTTTCCGTGCAGTTTTCATAATAATTGCGAAAAACACGAAAAAACGTATGAAAACATACCTACAAAACAAATCGAAAAAAAAACCTCCCCTGTACACAAGTTATATCCGAAATTCTACTAAAAAGCTCTCGTTATTTTTTGATTGAAGCAAGATTTTTGCCAAAAAAGTTAACAATAATAAAAAAAAAATTTAAAAAAGCACACATCACAGCAACGCCAATACCATGCGAAATAAATTAATCACCAAAATATACTGTTTGTGCTTCAGGAGAACGACCTCATGCGTGCACGCAGTGCGGCAAAGCGTTTTCCACTTCCAGTGCGCTGAACACGCACAAACGCATACACAGCGGAGAAAGACCGCACGCGTGCCCAATCTGCGGCAAAACGTTTACAGCCAGTTCGAATCTCTACTACCACAAAATGACTCATTCAAAAGTAAAATTGAAAAAAAAATATCCAAGTCTAACCGAATTGGATATAATACCTTTTATTATTATTTGTCATAAAATATCTAATACTCGAATTGGGAGAAATATCGAGAGAAGACACTGGCTTCTAAAGCGTAGAAATGTTACACTCGTTACAATAAACGGCTATAATAAAACATATTTTAATATCCAAACTAGGAATAAATCGTATAAAAAATAAAATACGTATAGCATTGTAGAAACATTTTTATAGTAAACTAATTAACCAAAACTGAAAGATGTTTGTATTTTTTTATTACAAATAAATAATAGGCTAATATAAACTTATTTTATTATTTTCACTTCATATACATTTACTCCTTATAAATGTTTACTGAAGTTATAAAATTAATAATAGGGTTTTCATTTAATTAGGGGCACGATAAAACCTTTCAAAATATTAAAGAGAACTTTCATCATTATAGTTCCCCTCCCCAATTCGAGCTCTAACGTATTGATAATGATGATGGTATAACAAAATAATTATTATAATGAGTTTTCAGGTGAAACCGCACAAGTGCAACGTTTGTGACAAATCATATCCGACGCCAGGAAACTTACGGGCCCACATGTCGTCACATTCTGGAGAATGGACATACCACTGCAATACTTGTGGCCGTGGTTTCAGCAAAAAGATTAACCTGGAGAGGCACGCCAAAACGTGTCGTAGACAAAATATAAAAATATGAAATTTTAGATGAAAAAAATAATATTACATCTATTACTAATGAAAAAAAAAAACAAATGTTTTTATCAATTTAGTCTTACATAGTAAGATGATAAGGTAATAGGTGATAGGTGTTATATAAGACAGTGTGTGTACATCATAGGTGATGTACATGTCCTAGAGGTTTGACTGTGTGTCATCATGTAGCAGTTATTGGTATTTGTTTGCTGAATATAATTCCAGTTCTACTGATAATATGCTTATTCTTAGAATATTAAATACTCGTATAGTAAAGTTAAAAATACCAAAACTATAAGTGATTTATATCACGGTTCATAAAAAGCTACATTTTGTTTAACAAAAATAATGAACCAAAATAATTTTAAAAAACGATTTAGAACAGTTAGATACACCAATACGTATGTCCAGGGTCGGTGTGTCAGGGGGAACTTTGAGACGGCGGCCCCTAATAATTATAACATGTTACAACAAATATGTTTTCAATTATTTATGTAATCTATATGTAAATCTACTTTTGTCAACTAAATGTACTGTATGTGTATATAATATATTGTATGCGTGTACACAATATATTCTCTCCATCGTGGTATACGTATGAATTACGTTCTGAGGTGCTTTCGGAATTAGCGATGACGAGGGACGACGCGGTCTTAAAACGAATGAGACGGTCGATCAACAGTCTCTATTCAAATAGATAGGAGGTAAATAAAAGTTTGGGGGGTCGGAAGGGAATCATAGCGATAATGGTTTTTGTATGGAGCTCACGGACTCCATACAAAAACTGAGACTATTTTTACTAAAATACAATACATAACTTAATCTAAATATTTTTGTTTAAAAAGATATTTAATAAATTAAGCCCATGTAGGTATTAGGTATATGAATTTCGATTTGTTTGGTTCCGGGCCGGACGACTAAGATTTACAGGACTGAAAACGAAGACCAACTCAGTGAACCTAGAATGTTTTCAAACGGTACGACGTATGTACCTAGCGCTATCTATGTACAGAATCAAAAATCAGTTACTTCATAATAAGCTTAAATTTAATATTATTTTTGTTCGTGTTTTAAAATTTAACAAATCCTTTATTAATTATTTTTTACGTGTAATAAATTTTAATGTAATAGGTAATAATAAAATAAAATTACCTATATAAGTAGATAATAGAACAAATTGTTGTGTTCATGAATGTTCTTCGATAGCTGACCATTTTGATAAACTTTCGTTTCATTTCACTGTAAATCAAGAAATTATAAGAACAGTAAAAATTGTTACAAAGGAATTTGTGGACATAAGAAAGGCTTGGGATATGAATAAAAACTAAGAAAAAGATGGTAATGATTTAACTAAAATTTACTACTTTGTACTAATTTTATTATGAATAAAAAATAAAAAATATTTGGTTATGCATAAAACAACACATAAATTATTTTAAAATAATAATATATATTTTATAATTAGGTAACTCTTAGGCTGACCGCAAACCGGTAGAGCAAAAACGCTTTTCATTGACGACCAACCCACTGATAAAGCGCAGACAGAACAAAACATTTTTGCCTTTAGTCGTGATTAATGATGCTTTATTGAAATAGAACGTGCGCTATTTTGATTATCAAGCAGTCGCTGGATAATTGTATCAAAATTATGCCCAAAAATTATTTATGCTAAATTGTCTACATTGTAAAGGCAATTAAATGAAATCAACCAGGGCCTGAGATACATTCGATTTCAGGAGACATACTTTTGAACTCAATGAAATAATAGATTTCCATAGACAAAACAAATCTGCGGGAAGCGTAGTTCTTTAAACACAATTTTATTATTTATAAAACGTTTAAACTAAAAGTCATAAACACAAATTAGAGAAGTAAACTCGTGTGGTACTCGTTATCACTACCAGGTAACAGTTACAATCACCGTTGTACTCACGTTCGTCTCTACATCGTGGTTGTACCGAACCGAAACATTTGGAAGCCATTCCTCCGCTTCACTACCACCCCCTCCCCGCTAACCAATCAGTCGTTACCAGTCCTATATATTATCTTGGTCCGTGAGTCCGGTTTATCTATAACCTCCTTGGATGACATCACACTAATACAGCCATAGAGTAATATCACTATGTATGAACGCAGCATAGATATCTGTGGAATACAGCACGGCGGGGGGAAAAATGAAAATTGTACTTTTGTTGGTTAAAGTTGATATGAATATTTTTCACCATGAACCAATAAACCACGATCGAGGTAGTATTGGTAACAGAAAACGCAGTACATACCTTAAGCGGTCTTCTATTCTTTTGATTGCGATTTTTACAATGATCTACTGAAGTCTCGTGAGTTGAAGTTCCGCATGATTTTGACAATTCACCGACTGTTTGTAAAATTATTAAAATAAAATTATATTAAACGGTCATATTTCATTACTGAAAAAATTGTCGATAGTGTGTTATCACAAAAATTTGTGAATTTTGAGCCACCCGGAGAAAAAGACGTGACGTCAACTTATGGTTACTACATTTGTGTCTTCTGTCTGCGTCATTGAAGATTTTCGGTACAATTTTCTCCTATACATTATGTTATTATTTAACGACCATAATTTATTATAAATTTATAACGTACATTTTTCTGAACCGATAATTAATATTATTTACTTATACAATAATATCCGCTAGGTATGTAAAAACTCCGATCGTCCAGAAATTTGTTTTGGACGCGCATCTCCCGCGGTGGGTGGTAAGTTCGGATTTTACATCTTGACTCCAATAAAAATACTACAACGATGTTCTGTTATCTAGGTTAACGGTATTGGTGTCGCTGTGTTTGAGTTAATTCCTTATTTGCAGTAATGCAGTATGTATGTACCTTTGCCAAACTATCATATTATAGTGTCTATTGTAGTTAATCTACAAAATTAAGTGGTCGTATTTGATCTATTGATGTATTATATTACCTTACCATACCAATTGGCTTGGTTAGCTATTGTATAACATTAAAAGTTGTACAATATTTCACTTGAACAGATATTATTATGCAGAATAAAATAAAAGCATCCACTGTCCACTAAAAATTAATATTTTCTTTGTATACCTTTAAATTTAAATTCAAAGTTATAATATTATAATCATTATATTAATGTTAGACAACAGTATTCGTTTGAATATAATTGTTTTTTATTGTATTTGTATACCTTAATCTTTTTTAATTAAATTCCGCTTTTTTTCTAACATTCAAATAAAAGTCTGATAGGTAAATATTATTTATTTTGTTCCAAAGTTAAATTTTAAACTGATATTTTCACTTAGGTAGAGTTTACATTAAGTATTGCTTTTTAAAACTTATCAAATTCACTAGCATTCTAGAAACATGGATGAAATAAGTAAAACATTAAATAATAATTTGTTTATATTATCAATTTAATTCAGTTCTGTGCCCAAGAAACATGTTAAATAAAAAAAAATTGATTGATTATAATGCTATGACTGCAAATTTGGAATAAAACTAATTACTTAAATGAGAAAAATATAACTAAGTATTAACAAGAGACATAATAAAATGCAATAGTATAAAGGTTCAAGACATTTGTAATTAGTTTTGTGAAAATAAATTGAGCGAAATGAGTACAGCGAGAAGCGATCTTAAAGTTGATTTATTGACTAGAAATAGTCATTTGTGATTGAGGAAAAGCCTACCAAAAAATGTCCAATGGCATTTATGTGTTTATTTACAATTGAAATTAACCACAAAAGATTTGAACCATAACATAGGTATTGAATTAATATGTACATTAATTGGTCTGATTAGTATATATGTTCATGGGTCTGATTCATGTTTTTACATTTTATGATAGACAATTTTTCTCTACATTTTGGTGCAACAATATACCTCTGGCTACTAGATTAGCTAATATTGTATAAAAGGAGATATCTGGTTTAACATTTTTGGTGCAATAATATGCTATTTCCAGAGATATCTATGTTTTTATTGTAATTATATATGTGATTTTACTTAATTATTGGTTCTTTAATATTATTTAATGCATATGATGCAAGTATTTTTGAGATATATTTTTAAAAAAAACATGGATTTTGAGACAAACAATTATTTTATATTTCCACTAAATTATACTTTAATAAATTTAATTTATGTATTTAAATTTATTCAAAAATTATAAGACTAAGTACTCCAAAGTATATAGGTAAGTATGTTTTTTAAAACGCTATTTAATCAAAGAAGGGTTAATAAAACTGTTTTATGTCTCTTTAAAATTTAAAAAAGTGGAAATTACCCATTATTACTTCAGACCCTTTCATTTCTACCTAATTAATACCATTAAATATTATAATATTATAATTGTTATAATTTCAGAATTTTGTTATAAAAAAACTATTTTTAATAAAATACTCATGAGTTAACGATTATGATAATTTAATGTTAAAAAAAATAATACAAATTTTAATAGTTGACATCCTAAGAAAATATGTACAGTAAATCCAAACTGATTATTTTACTATGTATTTATAACAAAAATGAAGTTCAAGCAAATAGTTTTTTGTTCTAATAAGTAACAAATAAAAATGTTTTGTTTGTGGACATTATTCTTATTATAATTCTTTATTTCAGATAATTTAATGTTTGGTGTAAAATAACAATATTATGCCTTGGTGTGTAGTGATTGGTTGTAGGAACAATTTGAAAGCTACAAAAAGTGCCGGGAAAGATGTATCGTATCATATTTTCCCAAAAAATCCAGAACGCCGTAGTGCTTGGATTAAGATTTTAAATCGGCCTTTCAAGTTTAACGCAGATTCATCATACATCTGTTCGGAACATTTTATTCCTGACGATTTTGAATGTAATAGTTTGAAAGAGGAATTACTCAATATTAAAATTAAGAAGCAACTTAAAAAAACTGGTGAATATTGTATAGTTTATATGTTTTAAAGATAACAATAAATGATTAAACACTACTGAAAATGCTATTACCTATTTTTTTATTGTTATTTATAGCAAATTAATGATAACTAAATTTACTTTTTTAGCTATTCCGTCTGTTAATATACCTAAGTCATCAAGAGAAAAACTGCCAGAAGTTTCTATTGACCTTTCAAATAGTCAAAATCCAAATTATATTAATATTAATGTATGTATAGTTGCACTTGATTTTATTTAATATTAATGAATACCTATTTTAAATGTGTCGCAGTTATCTTGAATAGTAATAACTAACTAGTTTTTACAATAGAAATATTTGTCAATTTGTAATCTAAACCGACTAAACCAATTATTTTAATAATTTGTGTTTACTATTTAATTAAATTTTCTTCATCTACAGTTAAAAAATATGAGCGAAACTGATATGCACTGTCACTGTGCTGTTTCTATGTGCCCAAATCGGACATCTGATTCGTTAAATAGTAGTAATGATATTTTATTCCACAAATTCCCAAATGATGTAAAAGTACTTGAAAAATGGTTAAAATTCTGTAATGATTCAAATAATCAAAATAAAAGCTTAGTTGACTATCAAAATGCTCTAATTTGTTCAAAACATTTCCTTAAAGATAATTAGATATAATTAAATATTATCAAATTTGATAAAATTTGATACAGATATAAAATATATTTTTATTTTATTGTAAATTTTAATGTAAGAATCATTTAAAAATTTAATTTCTTAAATTATGTTTTTAGTCTATGGCATCAATAAAAGAATTGAAAAAAGATGCAGTGCCATCCATCAATAATCCGACAAAAATTCTAAAAAGCAATAAAGAAGAATCCATTAGATTAGAGCGTAAAAAACTTGTGGACAAGTTGTTAGCTGATTATGAAGAGCGACAAAAAAATGAAGGTCGTTTAAAAAGCATGGTAAACAAGTATCCTTGTTTTTTTTCTCCAAAAATTGACCCAAATGCCAAACTTGGTGATAAACTAAAATTATTAAAAGCAATAGATAATCCAGAATCTTATTGTCCTCCTAAAAAAAGAAAAATGACAACAAAAAGTATGTTAGGTAATGTAGAAGTACTGCCATATAAACAGGCATCTTCCAGTAAAGAACAAGTAATACAAATATCGGCAGTTAAAGGCGGACTTATGTTACACGCACTTCCACAAATTGGTGGTAGTCCTTCAAATACTTGTTTTGAAAATAATACTAGCGATGACGAAAATGAAATCATTATTGTAACTGAAGATGAAGCAACCTATGATTTCAATCTTACAGTGGACACAGAGAAACATAAAGAAAATAACACCGAAGTAATCATTGTATCCAGTTCAAAAGAAACTGAAGACATGGACACCGCTATGCATGTAGAGAGTGAATCTACGGATTCTTTGACTAAAACACTTTCCAAACCAATTGACAGTAACAAATGTTTTGAAGATCAATTTAAAAATAATAAAAGTTCATCCAATACAGTTTGCAATACTCAAGTAACATTATGTGAAGACAAAGGGTGCCAAGTAATTATTCCATGCAAAGGTTGTGAACAAAGAAGTCTTAAGATTAATAAACTTTTGAGAGAAAGAACAAGGATGTTGAGAGACCTCAATCAAAATGGTATATGGAAAGATCCCGACGAAATTAATACATTAAAAAAACTGAACGGTGTGTTATCTTTGTTGTTATTGCAATGTATTGGAGAAAAATATGGTAAAAAATCAAGAGCAATACGGGTGGATATAGTGCAGGATTCTATTGAGAGAATAAACCGTGGATGGTCAATGCAAGAGACATCAGAAACATTATGCCAAGTATTGAGTGCTAATGCCTATGATGAACTCGCGAGATCATTTTCGATAATTAATGAAGTATAATTTTAAGAAGGCATAATATATTATACTGTCCATTGAATATTAATTTACTCAATATCTTAAAAATATTTGACCACAGGGTTTAAACAGTTTTCTTTGTTTAATGTTGTATTTAAGTGTTTCTTATATTATTATGAGGCATACTTTTCTTTAAACTACTATTTGAACTTTTATGTAAATAAAATATTTCTGAAGGTTTTATATTATTATTCATGACAATATAGTTATGTTATTTAGTTTTGTATTTATAGGATTGATTATAGAATACAATTTATTTATATTATATTCATTATATAGTATATTTTTCGATAGGTACCTGAAATTTATTTTATTATTATTATTATTTATTTAATTTTTTTAACAACAATTTTAATTTTCTAAGTTTAATGCAAACAGAAATATATTTTTTGAAACAAAATATATCATTTTGTTGCCAATTAATAAAAAATTAAGTATTTACAATTGGTAGATTGATTACTTACCTCTAAGGCTTTAAATAATCTTAGTGTATAAAATCTAGGACTATCCTTTTATAATAACACAAAAATAAAGCGAAGACCCCAGAGAACGAGCCCAGTACGATTTGAAGTTAATATTTTATGTTATATTTTGGAAGACTTGTCAATTGTGTTTAAGTATAGATAAAGAATGGTGTTCACATAGAATATACATTATACTCTGAAGATCTGTTTTAAATATCATGGGTATATGGCATATCATATTTGAAACAAATAGTCTCAATGAATTAGCTAAAAAATATTAGCTATTGATTTGTAGTATGGGTTTTATGTCCATTGAGAACTAAATATGTATTTTTTGATATCCAGTTATGTTTTATTATACCTAGCTAATACTTCACATAAGGGCAATTATACCCCAAAACCAATTATATTTAATAAAATAAATGAAATTCTAATCTAATTAGCTGACATAGCTAAATTTAAGTTATATAGTTGGGAAACTGCAGTCCAAAGTGTAAAGGCAGATATGGATAAAATTAATGAATGGTTTCTTAAACACAAATTGAGACTAAACTTTAATAAAACCAAGTTCTTTACTTTTTCCTAAATTAAATGAGTTAAAAATGCATAATATAAATGACACTTTAAATACTGACTTTTGATATAATAAAAAAATTAGAAAATTCTAATACCTTGGAACTACCATTGACCAATACCTGAAATGGAATGTCCAAGTGAATAGCCTAGTCATTAAGATGTATAAGCTTAATTATTTTTACATAAATGTGAGAAAGATATTTGATAAACAAACACTATCTATGGTTTATTTTGCTATGACAGTCACTACTACAATATAGCATTACAGCTTGGGGTAGTTTTTACCTCAGTAGAGAATCGGGCCAAACTAATAATATTTTTAATTTTTCATTAATTGTATTAATTTTGTTAATATTCTATTAATACTGTAAATATAAAATATGTGATATTTTAAACTGTTTCATGGCCAATAAATTATCTTAATTATAGACCATGACCGGTCCGTAATTTATGAATCCAAAAATACTGTCAATCTAATGTTCACAGGTATGTTAAATATATTAAAAACTTTTGCATCAAAAGAATATTCTATATCTTTTAAGGCAACAAACTAAATCTTGAGCCACAACAGCAATTATTATATCTAAAAGAAAAAAGGATTTATTGTATTATGTTAACGTTAAAAGAGCAACTTTATAACATTAGCTTTTTAAAAAAAGATGTTATTTGAGTTTTAAAGAATTAAAAATTTAATCAAAACAGCAAAAGTTGATTATTATAAATTTGAACCAAATAAAGGTGACATTAATTCAAAATTAAAGTAAAGAATATTTATTATGATATTATCAGTGGTGCACACGTTGGGTATAATCCATAGTACAAAATTACGCTGCTGTATACTCTCACCGAGTTAAAAAAAAATTAAAAATTTGTCATGATATAGTAGGTATTATCAATGTACATTCATAGATACCACTTATGTCACTAAACCCAATATAGTAATAAATTGTTTATTTCAGTACTTATTGCTAAAATATTCACAATTTTCTCACAGTTTATACTTTTTTTATTTTTTTTCTTGTATAATTGATATCTATTTTTCTAAAAACAATACATACTACAACCCAAATATAAAATACTAAAAAATAATAAAATGATAGGCATAGGTTGTTGTAATACTAATACTCTCAAACAAATTGATGGAAACTATCAACTTAACCTTACTCCTTATATAATCTCTTTAATACACCAACTCAATCCAAAATGTAACACAAAAGTTCTCATTCTTCAACTAGAGCAAGATTTCTGTAGAAAAGTTGTTCATACACAAAAATAAAATATACCTTATCAATAGATACCTTGCCTACGCTCAGAATCAAAAATAGTCTCGCATAGTCAAAAATATTTACTTATTTATAACAATGAGTGGTGGTGCAAATAGGATGGTGGGATTTGGGAGTTATAATCCTCTTTAAAATTTAATACAAAAATTTGTATTAAATAATATCAAATGATATAATTCCTTAAAATTTATAAAAATTACATATTTTTAGCCTTTAGTACCTACCAGGCAGTGACACGCAAATGATTTTGTCATGCGTGAGGAATAAGGTAATTGTTAAGAACTATTATTATTTACATACATTTTTTTGTAACTGCAAAGATATAATATAAAATACAAGATGACTGTTAAGCATGCTCACTCCATTTTTATAGTTATATAATGTATAGTTCCAAATTCTAATTTTTGGAATTTTTAAGTGCAATATTTTTGCATACATAAATTTTTCATATTATGGACGATAATAATTTTGGTTTTAAAAAGAGAACTTCCATGTTTTGATATAAATTGTCAATCGGATGATCTTTTTTGAAAATGTTGACGTATTGTAATCAAAATCAGAACAAAAATATTTAGTTATTCTGTTTTAAATACTATGATAATAGCCATTCATAGGGATTTTGTACTCTCGTTTTATAGAATTCATGAGTAGACAATTTCTTGTTGTTTTTTACGATTATTATCCTTTGGTAGAATAACTCGGAAAAAAATTTTCTCTGAAAATACAAGCCACGTTTTAGGTTAAGTTAACTTAACTATTATAGTCTTTCTTTCTTATTCGAACTCTGAATTTATTATTAATAGATGTTAATATAAAAAATAATTATGATATTGTTTTTTCTGGTAAAACTGTATGAGTACATTAGTGACAAATGTTATCTGACACCAAACAATTTATGGAACCACATGTTGTCACATTCTGGAGAATGGACATATCACTACAATACTTAATAACTGCAGCCATGGTTTCAACAAGATTAACCTGAAAAAGCATATCAAGAAGTGTTGTAAACAAAATATAAAAATATTTTATTTTTATTATTTTAGTTTTCTACAGTAGGTACATCAAGTTTTATTTTTTTATAATTGTTTGTTCTTTCCTCAGGTATGGGGATGTGTTGTTTCATGTCTAAGTCTTTACATAGCGATGCTTGATTATAAGCTGAAGTATCCTGTTTAGTTAGTTCTCGCACGACCATAGTGGCATAGATTGATGGAAGTAAGGTGAATTCAACCATCAAAGATTTAAAAGAACCATCTATAAAAGGGAAAGACTAATTATTACAAGTAAACACAATAAATTTAAAGTAATTTGTTGTTTTATAACATACTAGGTAATGATTTGAATGGTTCTACATTTGATAATGTTTCTATATCAGATAACAATAAATCATCATCCAAGTTGTCATGATTATATATAGACCACTTTAAGTCTTCGGCTTTCGACACAATATTCCTATAAGTACCTTTCAGTGAAAATAGTCTGTAAAATAAATATTCAAATATTTAAAAATATTCTTAAGATTTTATTTATACAAAATTTGCATTACTTGTTTTTTTTTGATAGTTTCTCAGAAGTCAAGTCGTCCTCAGCCAAAAGATCTATATACCATTGACCAATTTCATTTTTTGGGTACCACACATCACAACCTGGTAATGGGTACACAACATCAAAAATAGTAAACTTAGATAAGTTTTCTTCAGATATTGGTACTACCGCTGGAACTTTTGCAACGACTAAATCAGCTTCTTCTTCTTGTGTTTCATCGATAACATCTCCACAGTTTATAACTTCAATAGGTTTATCTTTCCATTCACTGTCTTTGAATATCAAATCTCCTACAATTGGTTTCAAACCAAATTTTTGTATACGTCGCGATACAATTTTATTCCATATTAAACTCTGATAAGAGTGAAGGTATAATAATACTAAATTTCGTGGAATCTACAATATAATAATACGAAGTAATAATAATAGGTTAAATATTTGAAAAAAATTAATATTATCATACAATTTGAAAAGCATTAATATAAGATTTTGGACCATTAAAAGCCAATGAACGTATAATTTTAGCTTCAATGGTGTAATTTTTCTTTGATAGTTGTTTCATGGCCTCTGCAGGGTCTTTTGTGTCCCACCAAGCTGTTCTTGCGCGATCAGTATCTGATACAAATGCGCTTTCCATAGGCCTAGGTTTCAAAATGTTATCGATAGCCTAAACATAAAAATAAGTAGTTGTCTCTAAAATGTAATTTTTATAATATAATTTACAGATATTGTTTGAAATATTTACCTCACTATAGTTTCCACTAGCCAATGATTTTCCAATACTATAAGTCGGCGACACTATTGAATTGCCAAATCTTTGTAATCCATAATAGTTGATGAATCCATGCAATTTTAACATTTCAATAGCACTAGAAACTTCTTCATCACTTCCTTTAATATTTCTAAAATAATACAAATTAGGTAAATTGTAAATTAAATGTTATAATCAGCTGAAACAAATGACAAAAACAATTTTTTTTTAGTGAAACAGAATAATAAATATTTAAGAAGTCAAAAATAAAATATTCAAGTACAGTATTATAATATATAAAATAACAAGTTTCGTTATATTATTAATTATTATATATATACATACATATAAAATTTAAAAAAAATTATTACTATATATGAAGTAGCTGATGACTATGATGCGATAATAAGTTATTTTAAATATTTATCATGTAAAATTACCTTAAAACAATACGAAATCTATTTCCCTTTAGAGCTCCTAATTGAAGAGTAGAATCTTTATATACATAATTTCCAGTCCATATATTTTTGGCATGTACTTTTGCTACATTACTAGCATGTAATTTTCGAATCGAAATCATTTGAGTTGTATTCCCACGTTTATCTTTTGTGCCAGCGTGTTTAATCGTATTCACTTTGACCCTACAAAAAGAATAAAAATTATATATAATATACTATTAGTTGTTAATAAACCATATAATTATTGAACTTGGTAAATTAACACAAAATTAAAATTTAATTTACATTATTGATTAACTTCAAAAATGAAAAACTAAAATTCTAATAAAAACTTAAATATGTATTTTAGTTGGTGTATTGATAATATAATACATAAACGGATGTTATTTTTTTTTTTTATGGAAAATATTTTATGATCTTATATTAATTAATTATAAATGTATAAACTAGCTGACTAGTTGAAAGTTTAAAAGGAAATAAGTAAAAATTAATAAATGTTTAAAACTGTATAGAAGTAGGTATTATTTTATATAATAATTTTTGTTTCATGCCTAAAGTAATATTTAGAATGTTACCTTAGTTGTTTCGAAAGAATGCTCACTACATTTGTAGTATCCATGTTACATTTGTGTAAAGCAAAATGTAAATATTCAGGTCGTGACTTAGGCCACGTTACTTGTCTGTCTGAAATGTATTATTTTAATTAATTTAAATACTGATAATACCAACATATTTATGTGAAAACCGTATTAAAGATAAATATATGTATAATTTAAAATTATAAATAACTTTGTTTACTAACTATCTCTAACAATACTTGCTAAATTGATAGCGATACACTGTTTTTCCTGATCATTCTTTATGGTATTAGTACTGATACTTTTACCATATTTGAATGATAAAAATTTATGAATCGATGTGCGTTTTTCTTTAGTTAAACCCTCCACCTGAAATATACATACATTAATATAAAAAAAATTACTTTATCATATATTTAATATAATTGTTACATTAATTTCAATCTGTTTGGTACTACGTAAAGCTACCAAAGAATCTATATCCTCTATGTATTGCTCACATAAACCACTTTCGTCGACGATATCTAATCATAATATTAACGAAAAAAAGTATAAAATACTATAGATAGGTAAATTGATATTTCTAGACATTTCGTAAATACCTTTAATTTCATCCTCATCCTCATCCTCATTTTTTGGTATACTTTGACTTGTAAGGCGCACAATAGTTCCATCCAATGAAATTTCATTTACTTGGAAATCAGATAATCTAAATTCCAACAGTATTATTATATTAGCATATGGTGTTAGTATGACTTAGTATAATATACAATGCAATAAATTATAATAGGTACCTAATTAAATATATAAGTTGGTAACTATGTAAGTAAATACTAGTATAAACAAAATGATTAATAAATAACTAAATCCTAACATTGAAAAATGGAAAAAAAAAAAAGTTTTGATGTTTTATCATGTATGTACCTATGTTTTAATATACCAGATATTCCTGGAGCAGATGTACTATATTCTGTAATACCGACATTTCTTTCTGCCAATCCCTCATATAAAAATTTGTTTTTAGGACCTGTACCTATATGTAAATACAAGTTCATATTATTATAAGTACTTAGTTAGAATTTTATAAATCAAAATGCATACGCGGGGATGGATTTGATGGATCAGTTTCACTGGCCTGAAGTTGATTATCCCTTTCATCTACTCCACAATTATTATGTTTGTTACGATTCATTTTGAAAAATTGTGAAATTTCTATTAAATTTATTCTGTCTTGGAACCTATAAAACTAATTACTATATATTATACAAATTATACAAGTACTACTTATAGGTAAGGTACTTGAACCTAAGTTACTAGTTAATACACAGAAGAATAGATAATTACTTAAAAGTTAGGAATGAAAACAATAAAGAAACGCAGGTGGTGACGGCCAGTAAAAATGAAAATTAAATTTTTGTAGGTTAAAATTGATATGAATAAATGATATGATTTTTACCAGGATCGTGATAATAAATACTTCTAGGCATGAATTGAGATATATACAGTGGTGTAAGGGGATCGTAAGGCGTCAGAGATTGCAAAAAATATTCAGAATTTACACACCCCATATTGCTATATCCCTAACATTATAAAAATAAATAATACATTTTAAGTCTACATAATATTCTTCTTACCTATATAAGCAGGTAAGTATAAAATATTAATTACATCACTTAATCTATTACAATTAGAATACAAAATTCAGAATTTTAATATTGTAACTGTCTCACTGTTGTTCTCTATTTTAAAGTATTTATAGAAATGACTATAGAATTTATTGGTTGTTTCAATTTTTGTTAAAGTATTTGTTTTTACTTTTGAATACTTAATAACTAAAATGTTATGTTATGTTCACATAACAATGTATACAATTTTTGATTTTAATTTGATTTGGATATGGATTGGATTTGAATTGAAATTGATTTGAAAATAATTATTATTTTATGATTTTATTTAATTAATAAAAAAAGTACCTATAAAATCTAAAAGACAATCAAGTTTATAAAGCTAAAGCATTATTTTTAAGATTTTATATCATTAATGAAAAATATAAAATCTTAAGATTATTAAGTCCACAAAGTTAAATTATAATATTTTGTATCCTGTTATTTAATTAACAAACGATTAAATTATAAAAAAAATAAATATAAACCCTGAGGTAGAGGTAAAATGTCAATGGTTAACGGATTTAAAAGCAAGACTCTTTAGATATTTGAAAAAAACAAAAATAATATTAATAACTGAAGTTTCTTATGTTTATTTAATGGCAATCCCGCCTTAGGAAATAATCTTTCGCTTGGGGCAAACGTCGCAACAGGTACTAGATATTTAACGGCCACTTTTGATAGTATAGAATATACTTTGCACATATCCTTCCATTTTAGTAAAGGAATATCTGATAGTCGGGCATGACTGCTTTTCAGGTATAAATTTAATTCGTTAGGAAATCCACTATCCTGTAACTGTCCTCCATGGAATTTACGGCTGGTAGATTGTTGAATATATTTTGCATGATCTTGCCATGATAGGACCATAAGGCACAAGTCCATAACACGAGAGTGGATGAGTGATGATATGAGATTATGAGAAGCGTCCATGATAACGGTGTCCCGAGAGAAAAAACAGTGTGTGGGAAAATACAATAAACATGAAAACATGTGTGATAACTTTTGGTGCGAGACAAAATTGTAATACAAAAATTTCAAAACATCGATATTTTCTTCGATATATCAATGACTAAACACCGATGATTTGAAAACATATCCCCGTGGGTCTGTGATGTGTCTGTAATTTTAGTACCCCCAAAGTTGGTGGTCTATTTGATGGCCGATGACTTGAACGCCGACGGCGAGGGGAGAGGCCGACGTCCGCCGCGAGTGACGCGCAGCGGGAAGAAGAAATGTGGCGCGAAACCAGCCACAATAGTATATAATTTCAATTTTATCATTTTCAAACAGGTTTTTTTTTCATAATTAAATAATTACTTATCTATTTTAATTTTTTTTCACTTACGAAAAATCATAAATACAGAAATTGCAGGGGTTGAAATTTAATTGGTCACTTTTGTCATTTCAGTATTATATTTAAGGTCGCAAGTGCAATATTTTACAAATCGTGACATACGCGTCCCGATAAGAATTGATATGGAACGCAGAACAAGTATCTTAACAATCGTAAATAACCAACTAAATCGGGACGTATCCCAACCCTAACTGAAGTCTAGTAAGTTGAAATTCTGCATGATTTTAGCAATTATTTTTATAAACTATTTGTAACTATTATTAATAGGTTAAATATAAAAATCATTTAAAAAAGCTGTTCTAGGATAATGGGGATGGGGGCAACCACTGTTGTAGGTGTGACGTTGGGAAGGTAAGAAAAAACGAAAATTAATTTAGGTATATCTGTAAGTAACGATTAACCATTGCTAACGAAAAAAATGATTCTAAGTGAAGTTTGGTTGATAGTGTTGCTTTGTCAACAATATACATTTTAGGCCATTTTATGGCAATATAATAATAAATACATTAAACATTTTCTTTAATAATATTTGTTTAATATTGTACCTATTTTCCCGTTCTCCCGGTTTCCCCATGTTTATCCCATTTATTGGAAAAAATCCTGGGAAAATCAAAAAATAATTTCCTAAAGTACCTCCCCAGTTAGATTTCTTTTCAGAAAAAAAAAATTAACATCATTGTAAAACCAATACTCTTCTCACTCTCTTCTGAACATGACCTCTTAAGGAGCCTTTGGTGTATCAGGTGATTAATAACAGAAAAATTTTTGACAATTGAGTATCAAATTTGTAATTACAAATTTTATTTAAATTTTGTATATCGGAGCCGGAGCGAGACGGACTTTGCAAGAGCCACGTTGCTCAAATTATATTAAGTAGGTAGGGTAGGGATCTTATTTCTTGAGAAAAAATCATTATAGTTTCACTAAAATTAGTCGAAGAATTAAACCAAATCCGAATATTATACCGGTTTAAAGTGAATTTTATTACTGGGCTACACGTTTATATAATATTGTTGGGACATATTAACATATTATACTAAAATGTCATTAGTATGGGCGACCGGGGGAGGGGGCATCTGCCTCCTTGGAATTCAAAATTACAAGTATAATTTTTTATTAAGTACTTTTTGGTGTTTGATTTTATTATGCCCCTCCCTGATAAATTCCATGCGGGCACCTAGGGTGATTGGTGCACAATTATTGTAAATGATAAAAAAAAAGGTATACAAATAGGTAACACAATATTGTCAAATTAGTTAGGTCAACACCGTTTTCTGTTTATTAAGGTCTAAGATCTATTAAGTAAGGCAAAACAATCAATGATGCGATTGAATGAATTATCTTATTACGAAATACTATCCGACATATTATTATCAAACCTAATTAGATACTAACATAAAAAATTACCTACTTGAAAAAAAAACATCACTATACCAGGATGAAATCATTATTATGAGATCAAACGATCGAGTATTACCTTTCGATACACTACCAGCTATATAGTCTAGAACCCAGTTTCTAAATACAATATGCGATAATTAAGTCACAACGTTATAAATGAAGTCAATATAGTGTTACTACACCTAAAACTAACAACACGTAAACACTATTTCATAAACAGTAAATATTTCCATTTTCCATAGATAATCGTAAAGATATAATAAATCAGTAAAATTGTTACCTATATGTAAAATTATTAATAAATTATTTTATACGTGTTATAAAATGTGGTTTTTTTTTCGGATATTTAACTATAACAAAAAAGTTGATAATGGGGACGGGAGCAACCACTGTTGTAGGTGGGAAGTTGGGAAGCAGGATACATAAAGTTATTTCATTTATATCTGTAAGGAACGGTAAACCATTACTGACGAAAGACGATTCTGACGTAGTTCGATAATACATAATTTGAAGAGCCGTAATTTTTTTTGCGATTTTCTTTTAAATTTGATTTCAAAACGGTTATTAAAAAAAAAAATTAACAAGAAAGGTCTATTGTCATTTTTCAATTGGAGCCATATTTGTGTTAGAAAACGTGGTAGGTACTTATTTAAAATAACGAAATCGTGAAAAATTTTATTTTTTTCCCAGTTAATCGTTTTTATTTAAAATATCGTTTCGAAAATTAAAATATGACATGTGTATTTACCAAATACATAAAATTGAATTTCAGAAAAGGTGCTACATTTGTGCATCGGGGCAAGTTTTCTAGGATAAAAGTGGTCTACAGTATATAAAAAAAAAAATGTGCCATTGAAAAAAATTAAAATTCGTCCGATGATTTTAATATTTTACCCGTCTAGGTAAGTCTAATATAAGTATTATTACCAAGTTTCAAGTCTCTATGTGTATTTATAATCGAAGTACAACAAAAAAACTTCCAAAAATAAAAATTCCTTAAAAGCTCAAAAGTGGCTCAAAAGTTTTGGCAATAATACCGTAAAAAAGTTAATTAAAAAGTGAACAAAAAAAGTACCTTGTGATTTTTCGATTAAATTATTTTTTCTGACAGAAAACGTTGTCCGTGTATTTGTAAAAAAATGAAATTGTACGTTTTCCTACGTTTTTTCCCACTTAGGTGCTTTCATTTAAAAAAATGGCGTCGAAAATCAAACAATGACCACTTTAAAGTACAATCTAAACAACTTGAGCTTTCAGAAAAAATGTGAAAATCGAAGTAAGTTTACTAGGAAAAAACGTGTCCACAGACTAGAACAAAGAAAAAATAAATAAATAAATAGCACTGTAAAACCAATAGCTCCCTCGCTACGTTCGGAGTCTATAATAATGCTTGACTTTGTACAATCTCACTATATTGAAGGAGTTTCCGATTTACTGTTATTTTACAATAATAATGTGGACTAAGATATAGCTAATACTGCTGATGGGTTTGTCACTGTTGTAGTAGGGGCGGATTTATGGAGCCGGGTTATGTGACAATCACCCCACCTTAAACTTTTTTCCAAACAGATTTATTATGATCAATTTATTTAAAACCATGTCGTGTTTAAAACTACCAACAGTTTTATATTATAGTCAGCAGACATGTTTGAAGGTAATACATTTGACAATAGAAACATACCTATTGGTAATAATATATAGTAGAGATAGTAGATTGTTGACCGCTATTGGTTATAAATTATAATATTATATTACTAATTGTTATTGGGTGCAAATATGATGATGTCTATGGAGTAAAATTTTAATCTGATACTATGATAGTGTGATGTTACTATGATACTATGATACTATGAAAGGGTAAGCTTACTTACGTTCACAAACCGTTCACTTTGGGTTTATGATTTGCTTATTGCTTATTATAATATTGCTTATTTATTCACTTTGCTTATTGCCTTGTTTCCGTATTATGTCGTGCGTTTTCCGAAAATCTGATACCTGCGATACATTTTGTTCCGTTCAATATTTTTAAGCTTTTTTCTTGTAATAATTTTAGATAATATATGCTGTATAGGCCCAACTATTATTTTCCTAAGAGCATTCCTTTCAAAGAATGCAATAATAATCCTTAAAAAATATACATAGGTATTCAAAAAAAAAAAAAAAAAAACAACTTTATACTTACTTAACGAAATTGCTCACAGCTTAAAAAATGTTAATTTCTTCCAGAGAATACCTAGCAAACAATAATAATTCTATTATATTGGAGAAAAGTTCCATCTGTCGAATGTAGACCGTTTTAACATTTTTCAAATCGAAAGCTGTGTACGACACTTAGACTGGTTTGTTTCACCACAAATATGGGCTGAACCAGTTTAAGTATGTTTATATTGACCGACATAAATCGTGAGTTCGGTTCAATCATCGTTCCTTGAAGAACGTCAATTAAATATCCACGGCGACCCCGTTAAATTTAACTTAAAACACATTTTTTTTTTTTCGAAGAAATAAAATATAGGTATACATATATATTATAAGTATATAGGTTTTTTCTTTTGAATAATCAATTGTTTTATTTAATTAATCATTCACATCAAAAGTCATTATACATTTTAAAAATGTTGACACTTATTAAGAAAAAGAAAACGCGTTACTTGAAAGTTCATATCATGAAGAAGAAAAAACCGTATAATATGATTAAATACTCGTATAAGATTATAGATTAAAAGTTAATAAATATTAGGATATATAAGTAGTTTGATGAATATTGAATTATGCAGCTTTGACAACTTTCAACGGACCCGGTACATAAATGTCCATATGTTTTCCGATATACTGTAGTGTCATTTTCAGTATAGCCAATTCCTTTTCAATCTGCTTACGAGCCAACAGTTGAAACTTTGACAACTTGGCCTGAAATATAAAATATGTAAAGGTAATTTAGCATTTTTCAACAGCTATTAAAGTTACTGTAAGAAGCTATAATAAAAAGTAAAGTATTATGTTTTCTCCAAATACTAAATAGAAGAAAACGTTACATCACGAATACGTGTCAATAATTTTAATTTGGTAGGTAGTTTTTAATATATATATATATATATATATTATATTTTTAAACGCATACTATTTTAGGTGAAAATTGGTCACCTATTCTTCTACTCGAGGGACATAATTAAATCAATTTTCGAAATTAGTTTTAATGGTCAAAAACATAATAATATTTTATAACGTATTAATTTTTCGTTGTAAATCGCATTGTAACAAGGTATGTATTGTGTTCAATCACCATCACGCGCACCAACTCACCGTTATGGTTATTATCGATAGGTATACCCTAAACGGATGAGAATACATTAGCGTTATGTGCACAGAATTAAACCAATTTCTAAAAATATCGCATAACGGTGGTCAGCGTTACACGAAATGTTTTAAGAAAATAATTTGTACTAATATTATAATATCTAGAGAAAACCATACAACCGACATTTTTTTTTGTGAGTTTCAAATGTTACAGATCTCTAATTAAGTTACGAATATATAATATGTAGGGCTGTAGCCAAAGTCGGATTAACCCAAAGTTTACTTGCACATAATTTTCAATAGCTCATTGTAAGATAAAATTGTTAGGTCAATAAAACATACACAAAATCGGGTTGGCAAATTACACTCTGCCACCTGACTCTGTCCATAACACCTAGCCGAATTGACGGGTCAACAAATTAGATTCTTAGAATTTTAAGTGTGTGGCCGATTAGAGGTAAACCGTCTAAGATAAGGAAAGGCGGTGTCAGTGGCGGATAAAACCTATTAACTATTTGATTTTGAAATTCGCCTCTTTTTTATTATTTTTTTCTCTCAATCCAACTTATATTTTCTATATGCCATCAACATCACATCTCAAAAGTTTCTAAATTTAAGTTCTAATTTTTTTTTAGGTATCATTTATGGTCCCATGCTATGCTCTAAATATATAATTTTTTAATAGATCTTTTATAAATTATTACTTAATTAAAACTATATACATGTAAGATATACCATCAAAATTATAACACAAAAAAATGTATCGTAATATTTTGCAAATTTCTAAAGAAAACTACTGCAGCAGTACAGTAGAATTATTGCACAACTTGTGTATATAATATTATATAAAAAAAAAAAAACTATTTATACAATAAATAATTTAATCGTTATTCATAATATTTGTGTTTGTTTACAAGAATCTTATTTTTATTTTATTTTTTCCAGTAGCGGTAAGTTTTACATAAATATAATAATATAGGCAATAACGATGGTTGTGATGTAAGTATAACAGAAGTTTACGGATGAAAGAGTGACAGACAGTATTATAAAATTCTATACCGCAGTAATTTGTTGAAATTAATAAGCTGTCAATTACAGAGCACGATCGCCGCCATCACTGCATCATTCAATAAGGAAACTCTACAAAACGATTTTTTAAAAATTCTATAAATTTTTAAAATACCTAGTAATGAGCTTTTTATAGATTGACATTTTTTTTTCCATTTGGAAATAAAATATAGTAAACGGGTTTAGGTAGGTACTTACCTACGGGAAACTCGTTTTAATAATATATTATTATCGATTTATTTATCAAACATAATAAAACATACTATACTAATGCTTAAAATTATATAATTTTTCCACTTTCAAAATTGTCCTTCCATATAATAATAAATATCTGGGTCCGGGTCCTGAAAGTTACAATCCCAACAGGGTCGAAATTCCGACAGTTAAAATACCGTATCGGTTGAAATACCGACAGTTACATACCGTACAATATTGAAGGGGCTTTTTTTTGTCATTTTTTTTTTTTTTTTAATGTAAAATATGTACTCTACTCTATTATAATGCGACGAGTTATTGAATACATAGATTTTATTGTATTAATTAAAAATTTAAAAAAGTATGACTTACATTTTGTTGTACAATTTGATAACCAGTATAATTTTAAGGGCCATAATTAGGCGATCACCTACACAATCTCAGGGAATGCAGGTAATCAAGTCTGCGAAACTCAGTGTAATATTGTGTGTTGGAATTTTAACTTTGTCGGGATTGTAATTGTCGGGGTTTTGATGAAGGCCTTCCTAAATATCTAACTACAAATCGACTTTCCAATTTAAAAATAATTATTATTTGTTTAAAACGTGTTGAATTATTAATGTACTTATACTCAACACCCATGAATAACTCGCAGGATCAATAATTTGTTGTGTTTTTAAACTGATTACCTACATTACGAATAACTGCCCATTTGAGTAACATAATAAAATAATAACATAACATAATGAAATAGAAAATGATTGAGTTACTACTAAAATAATGTTCATATATAAATTTATATATATAATATATAATATACAGGATATGTCTTAAAAGTTATATTCATATATCACAATGCCATTTATGGGTCTATACAAATCATTAAACTTGAAATTATCTATTATGATACACTTTATTTTTTTTTTTTTTTGAGTACGGTTGATCTAGTTAAATTTAAGATTAGGTTTTATATTATCATATTGCACAATAATATAAACTATATACTTCTCAGAGACAAATATTTTCTCGTCTTAGCTTTTGTCCTTAAGTAAAGAAAAATTGCACTTATTTTAATCGAATTGCATTTGAGTTAAAAAAAAAAAAAAGGTAATAGTCGAACTGTACTTGGATCAATACTATAAACTCGAGCCAAAATAGGCGTTTCAACGAAAAGGTTTGGAAAAATAAACTTATTTAAAAGTATTGAAAACGTTTATTTCTCTTCTAAAATATAAGTATTAGCGTAGTGGAAAATAAGTTTATTTTTAAATATAATACAAAAAAACTCATTTTAATCGTTTTTATATATTATATAAAAAAAATTAATTTTTAATTACCTTATGAGTTCAGTTAATAGTGATGCTTTGTCAACAATATATATGTAATTTTATAGTCAAATAATTAAATAGGCTTTATATATTTTTTTTAATAATATTTATTTAATATTTTACCGATTTTCCCAATTTTCCTACGTTTTTCCTGATTTTCCCATGTTTTATCCCAGTGTTTCACATTTGCTGGGAAAAATTCTGAGAAAATCGAAAAATGACCTCTCTAAAGTACCTCCCAAGTAAAATTTCCTTTTAGAAATATTGCTATTAATATAAGTTGGTGCAAAATTGTTATGAGAAAATTTGGGAAAATCACCTCCTTAAATTACCAACCTACATCGATTTCCTTTCAGAAAAGGTGCTATACTTAGAAATCAAAAAGCAAGTTTTCTGGTAGAAAGTTATTAACAGATAAAAAAAAAAGAAAAAAACATCTTTGTAAAACCACAAGCTTCTCTTTGCCCCACTCAGAATCTAAAATGTAACAAGATTTGCAAGATTAGCGTACGCGATTGGTATAAGTGTGCACACGGAGGAATCAGGAGAGGCGGGCTGCCTCTCCTGCGAGGTTTTCTACCAAAATATCAAAAAAAAAAAAAAAAAAAACTATTTAAGACATACATTTTTTTAAAAATATTAAATTTATGTTAGTACCCTGCATTTTGTACATTTGTACAAATAGGGAAAGGGTGTTTGGAGGATTTCGAACCCTCCCTCCCTCAAAAACTCAACCAAGCCCCACAAAATAAAGTATTCATAATCAATATAATAGGGGTTTACGGCCTTCTCTAAAAATAGTTGATCTATTTGTGCCTAAAGTTTTTGTGTAAGGTTTGATTCAAAGATCGTTGCTCACTTTGCCAAGCGGACCCGCGCACGCTTATGGCAATTAGTATTGTTATCGTTCGTTACTTCTGCACGATTTTGAGTTCACCATGCTGCCGTTGGGTATTAATTATTGAGTGTTCCGCACGCTGACGTAGCAGAAACGGTATATTGGTCTATATCTTAAAAAAAAACCACACATGTCCAATATAATGTCGATGGTACGTGAGCTAGATGCGTGCACACACAGGACTGGTGCATTGTTTCAAAATTAATTTTTTCTTACGGCATAATAATATAATACCCACATCCGGTACTATTTTTATATGCGACACAATCAAATGTACCTGCCAATATTATAACAGGCGTCTCGTAATGATTTGTATTATTGAATATTATTGCCCAAACTGCAGCGCCGGCAATAATATTAAGTACGATAATTTAATATTATAATTGGTTCCGAAACCACGAGCTATTAACGTTTTAGTTATGGTTTTTGTCTCAAAAATACCGGTAGGCTAGGTACTTAACGGTATGTACGCTCCATTATCACGGTTTAATGACTGTTATAATATAGAATTTATTATACGTTTAAAATTTTTCGAAAAATAAAATCTTCGCGGTTGTTTCGAGAATAATATGTACAATACCGCACAGAGCGTTTGAGTATTTTTTTTTTTCTACAAAAAATGCCGTAATGTCAAAATTGCGATGTACTCCAGAACGGACTATTATACCTTACGGCTATATATAGTCAGGGTGTTAATTTAAAAAAATTAATTTTATATATATATATAGTTACTATAATAGAACGAACATTCTTATCCGGCGGTGGAGGATACTGCTTTATCAACAAATTGATTCTGACTTGTAAAAATTCCCAACATTTCTTTTCCAGCACGGGTTCGAGCGTGACAGAGCTGTCCATCAAATTCAAACAGTGTTTCTCTTCCATTCCAATCCAATCCTCCAATGTTTCTACGGACAAACGGCATAAATTCGAAATTATTTTGTTATTAGTACTTTGATAATAATATTATAATAATACTCGTATGTTCTTATATTAGGCGTTAACTGCAGGATACCGTATGTATATGTAGGATTTTATCAAATCCTAAGTAATTACAAAGGAAATTATCGGATTGAGCGGTTATACCGTGTGTAATATATTTGTCTAAAAACTGTATTTTAGAAAGTGAACTTCTATGTAGAGTCATATTTACAGAACAGTTAATTTTTGTTTACGGACGCCCAAGTTAACATTTTGACGAAACTGAAATGTAGATATACATTGATGTATAATAGAGGACTGCGTCCTTTTCCCCGGGAGTTTGCATAAATGTGTATGATGTAAATTCTGTTAATAATTTAAAAATAATTGTAAGGATACGTTTTCTCTTGAACCGCGAGAACAGTCGTGTAAACTGTCGAATTCTATGAAATTGTAGCTGTACCTATTGCACGAAAATAAAATATGTTTTTTTAATTTTTCACAAAAACGATTCTTAAACGTTTTTTAAATAATTTATGTTGGAATATGTTCGAGTAAATTGAAAGTATTAATATTTCGTATTTGTAGTCGAAAAGTTTCTTTTAAATAGCTAGGTTTACTTTTTTAGTCGTTTTCAATTGGATTTTATACTTAATTTTATAACTATACATTTCACATAAAATACTGTAATTTATTCAAAACTCAAATTTGTTTCTACAAAAAGCGATTCGAGTAAATTAAAAGTATATTTATGTATATATTTTGAAATTGTATTTTTCAGCTATATGAAGTGTTTTAATTATACTATATAAGTATTTAAAAGATATATTTACTACAGTTTACAACACTGCGCAGCAGCATAATTATACATCACAGTCGACTGATAAAAAAAATCGTTTGATCGTATGGTGGACTGCACAAAAATTGGGCAACCAAACGTCGAGTTTAATATCGAATTTTGCGCTGCCCCACACCGTATATATTGTATACAACTGTATATGTGACGAATGCGTATACATAGGAAATTTACCGTAAACTGCACAGAGAGGCATAGTATATTTTTTTACACACATACATTGTATATACGTACGTAATAAATTATAAAACACTTATGGATTTAGAAGAGGATGTAAGGTCCAAAATGGGGGGGAAGATGAAGTGTAGGGGACAGAGCCTGTGCTAAGAAAATTTTAGAACTGCAAATGTTTGTTTCGATGCTGTTATTCGAAAAAATGTTTGAAAACCATATTTTTTTTTTAATCAATTTAAATAAATTTTGATAAACATTTTCCTCTTTGAAAAAATGTCAAGGGGAAGGAACTCTCACTTTCCCACCTTCTCAGATTTACTGCGAGATAAAAATCGAATTAATTTTTTTTGTATGAAGACTTCACCATAGTATTAATGTATTCGTGTCACTATTTTTACGTTCATTATTTGTATAATTATTTCTCTTGTAATTGCTTAAGGGAATATTCATAACAGTTTTTTTTTAATAACTGCAAATTTTGTGTAGAATTAGATATTAGTGCAAACCTTGGATGGGGGGCGAAACACATACGCCCTCAAGTCCTTGAAAAAGCACAATAGATGTCAGGTTTCATATTAATATATATGCATCACTTACTTTGATCCATGTTGAAAATGCGAACGAACGCCAGTAGCTTGCCGTGGAGTGGTTGCGGTCCAACGTTCAGGTTAAATTCTGCCAGCGGGGGCAAGGAGAGCGTCTGGAGCAGCCGGAGCCGGAGCGTGTAGAACGGATCGGAACGGGAAACGCCCAGCCGTATCTTAACGGCGTCGTGCTTGTTTTCCGGATACACGAAACCGTTGTGCACCAGGAAGTCGGCATTTGTGCGCACCCCGTAGAATATGTACACTTGATCGTTGCATAAGTAAGATGAGTTCGCGTAGCAAACACACGTGTTGTCAGCTTTCACGAAATCGGTCGACAGCTGCGAAAAAAGATCGCCGAACGAGAAAACGTCAAGCACGGTCAATTATCATATGTATTCGATAACAATAAAACTTAAACTAATCGTAATGTTAACCGCCCATGTAAACGGTTAGGTTAGTAATAAAGCCAGCTATGTAGTTTATAGGTTTAGATCAAATTTGCTTGGACTAAGAGCGTGTCTCTCCGGAAAAAAAGGGGCAGAAATACAGAATTTAGAAAAATACTATACAGCATAGTCAATCCTTGATTAGACACTCAGCTCATTAACTGTTTTTTTTTAACTAAATTTTTTTCTTTAAATTTTAGAAGTAAGCAGTTCCAAAATGTTATAATATTACCATGATTTTTTTGTCACCCATATTTTTGGGGGTACAACCACTGTACACTATTGATTTTAAAATAGTAACCTGTATTAAAAATTTCATTAATAGATACAGTTTTAGTTTAAATGCATATTGGAGTTGATATTATTAAATTTCCGTCGAAGAGATATTCTAATTTTAAGTTTTGGTTGGGGGAAGAATAAAGTGGAGCACTATTAAAACGCCGCACTTCCTCCTCACACAAAATTTACACGCTCTACGAAGAAGGACGTAACTCAATTTTTTTTTTTTTTCATTTAGTATCATTTAATGATACTCCACTACTTTCTCCTACTTAAACTTTAATGTGGAATATTTCGTGAACGGGTTAACAGAAATCAAAAATGTCAACACTAAAATATATTGAAACTAATAGAACATCTACGTATTTAATTTTTAATATAGGGTAATTTTTGAAAATCTAAAGTCAATCAAAAATAGTCGTTTTACTTTCAAAAGAGAGTGACAAAGAATAAAGAAAATGTAAAATTTTAGAGCTGTCTTTTTCTTACATTTAATGAAAATAAGTTATTACTTCCGGAGATAACGAATGTCTTATTAAAGGATTGATAACCCGTATAAAAAAACAAATATAACATTTAAACAGAAATGAATAGAAGAAGGCGGTAATAATTAATATATGGCCACTGGTCAGTCTTTGATAATCCTTGTAACGGGCCAGGACCAGGGCCTGGGCCAGGGTCGGATAAAGCCAAAATATAGCCCTAAGCATATATTTCTGTGCAGCCCATTTCTGTTATCTATAAGTAATATAATATCATACATTCATAACCAACACCTGGAACTTCAACTGAAAATCTTATAAGTAATTTGAATATTGTACAGTACAAAATTATATTATTTAAAACATGCTTAATTTTGGGACGCTATTGTGGTATTACAATAGAAACAAAATAAATTGAATAGCCCGAGTTATTATTTAGCCCTACATACGTGTTTACCTGGCATATAAAGTAATCCGAGCCTGTTTTGGGTTATACTAAATTAGGTTAGATTAGGTTGTACGAGTGCAAAAAAAGGACCTGTGCAAAAGTCTGTGACTGCGATTGGTTTTGAAAAATATTAAAATGGCTTCGTAAAACGAAATAGTATATCTATAGGTACGATATCGGTAATATAACTGATTATTATATTATATCATTCAGTAGCACCGATCGAAAATTGCGGATAATCTCAAAAAAAAAAAGCCAATATAGGTGTATTGCTCGCCATTCGCTACGATCGTAATAATAAGGCTACGAAGCTATATATATATATTATACACATATATATTATATTATACAGGATATATTCAATTATCCTCAAATCCGAAACGGAAAGACAAAAAAAAACATCAATAACATGTATTTTATTTTATACACTATATAGGTACCTATTGACCAGTATAGGACTAACTATAACTAAATAACTAGAACACCGCAAACTCATAATACCTATTAGTAACGAGATACACGTAACGTGTTATGATATTTTATATTATAATAATATATATTATACAGATGTACAAAAAAAAAAATGTTCTTTTATTATATAATTTTTTAGCGTGTCATGTCGACCGCACATGTGATAATAACCAAAAAAAAAAAACTAATACAAATTTATTAATATTGTTTTTTTTTTTTTTAAACGTATATTTTTTTAACGAATATCCGTTTTGTTATTATTTACGCGAATTTTGATAAAAAATTAAAACTCTTAGTTATACAGTTATAAAATAATAACGTCTGATTAGGTATACGTTATACATTGTCACAATTTTGACTGCGTGTCTTCATAAAACGACCGAAATACGAAATATACGAAATTGTCTGTTACGCGCGTTATCTACTGTGGTTAAAGTGGGAGGGAAATGGGGGTAAAATTATCCTTCCTTTAATTTCTTTAATTAGTTTGAGTTTTTGAGGTCCGGGAGAGCGCTATGGTAACCATAGGCATTTTTAATGACTGATTTTAAAAACAAAAATTCTTTAATACTTTTTGGATTATGCATAATTAGACTATGTTTTACTATATTATTAATGAGCAGGCATATATTATGTAATATAATATCATAGTAGGGTGTTGCAGTTTATTTTCAAACCCTATATGGATACATTCTTTATGAACAAATGTGTGCGGGGGAATAATATTTATAGAATAAATATACCGTTTGATAATATCATAAAAATTAATTACGAATAAAGTAAAAAATGAATGCAATAATGGCGAAAAATTATTATGTTCTTACCGTTCCCTCGTGGTGATTGAACATATCCCATAGCGGTATAAGAGCACTGACGTTTGCGGGAGGATCGTCCGAGTTGGGAATCGTGTTTTGCCGAGACATTAACGTTGACACCGCCCATCTGAAACGAAAAATATTAAATTAGATCCCACGGGCTATTATAGTTTAACACCTTGGCGTAAAAAAAGACATATATATATATATATATATAACGAGATAAAGATTTACGACAAAGTGATTTACACCAGCAGACGACGGTTACTATACTGCTACACAAACGCGTTTCCATCACTGCACAGTTAGAGCAAACCATTATTAGCTTTAAACCGCCAAACAAAATACTTACATATACAAAAAAATAATACTATACATCGATAATGGTCTAATATTTGCTGATTTTTGTTATTCTTAAAAAAAAATGCGATTTATTTACAGATTTTCAAAATATAGTATTTAATCCATCATAATAGGTATAATAAATTTAAAAGTCCGTATTATTATTACTAAATCACGTATAATATATTATGTAGCTTCATAAAGGGGTTACGGTTTTACACGTAATGCGAAAACACCATTGAAATGTTTGTAAATTGGAAACAAAAAGGGTAGAAACCCACGGGAAAAAGCGATCGGATGTAATATAAAAAGCTTTCGAAAATCTAAGAAATGGATAGAATTGATAGAAATATTGTCCGTGATCGAGAAAAAAGTGGGAAGTAGTTTCGATGACAAAACTCTTACAATGTATAGTGTTATAAAAATCAAAGAAGAAAAATAAGAAAATATTGCTCTGCACAGACTTACCCGCGCGCAATACAAAAACATTAAAAAAAAAATAATAATAATAAAACGGTGAAGCATCACCGGTTGGAAATTCCGCATCTTACAAGGTACTGGGAGAAAAAATCGAAAAAAGTATTGAGAAATTCGAAAAAAAATCTTTTATTGGTTCACGTAATACATAGCCTCTAGAACAGATTTTAGAGTTCCTATAATTATGTCGTTTTCTCCATTCGTGGGTCCTAATACGGGCCATATAATATTTTATTAATATAGACTATTTAAAACTATAGTCGGATAAAACGATCGTATACTAAGTACTATATTTTATAATTTTATAATAATGAATAACTGTAAAAAAAAAAAAATTTTAATTCCCAGTTTTCCCTTCGACGACGACGGTCGAAATATTATTATACTGTCTTTATATCATGTCAAAAATTATTGAAATCGACAAACTATATAATACACGCTATTCTTTATAAATTAATTGAATATACAACGCGTATTGATTACTGAGAGGATTTTTTTTTGCACGTATATAAATCATTATTCGACCACAATGAAACCCACGGAGCCAACGGATTAAAATGTTATCGCTACTTTTAAAAGCACACACGTATTACAATTGTCTGCAATCAGTCGACCTTCCTGTATAACTGTGAATTGGCCCAAATAATATTTTACAATACAAACATTTTGAAAACTCACTCGATACATAGGCACTCGGGGGGAGGGACAGTCGGTTTGCAGGGGAGGTGCCGAAGGCATTGCCGGCGTCGTCATTTTACCGATCTATATATCATACAGAAACTAATGATAAAAAATATATTTTCGTTCCATAGATTATTGTCTATAATTTTATCATAATAACAATAATTATATTGTATTTTATATAAAGTCAAATTCAATAATAATCACCATTGTTTGTTTAAGTTAAATCAATGTAACTATAAATACACATATTGTTGGCCCACAGACGAATTACCTATTTTTTGTAACCATGAAAATACCGTTATCGATTTTACCATAGTATTTACAACAAAACATAATTCAGTCCAACAATTAATGTTCGAGATAGGTTACAATATTGAGATCGTTCGCATCGCTAACAACATTATATTATAGTGCAAATGCAATCGTATTTGTACTGGGAAAATTAAAATTAATGTTTTCATCATTTTTTTTTTATATTACACTTACGTATTATAATACCACGGCATGGGTATATAATTTATTGCGTTTTTGGTTTAAATTAATTCCAATTAAGTCGGACGTTTTGTTTCGATTTTCAACTATAAGATATTACTAGAATATATTTTTTTTTTACTCGAGTTTGTGGAGTGTGAAACTAAAAAAAAAAATCTTGCGTTAATAATTACCACACAACGATAAATAAGAGGGCTATGGCGATATACCCGCATATTCACTGCCGTCTCGGTTGCTTAAAATTGTGGCGTTTAGGTTGAAATAAATTGTAATCGAATTAATTTGTTCGCACAGATACCAACATAATATTTAAAGAAAAAGATATTTTAGAGAGCTTACTGTGGATTTGTTTCCAAACATATTGTTGAACCGAAAAAAGTAAAAACTATAGTAAAAAAAAAAAAAATTCTGAAATCCGTTAATGATAGAATATAATTACAGAAATACAAACTTCAATGCGGGACACAACGGTGGAAAACGCGATTTCGGTACATTTAAAATATAAGTTCTCATAATTTGATTCGTAATGTATACGGATGGCGCGTATATTACGAAATGTGAAATTGAAGTTTAGTTTACTCAACGAATTTTCTAAAAAACCTTCTGAAGTGGAATACGCGTTATTGTATTATAAATGTATAATATACGTAGGGTACAATAATAATAACATATAATTACCGGTGTGAATATAATATGATGATGGTAGTCGAACATAATAATATAATGTGTACACCGTGATGGCTTTCAAGGAGGATTTATAAGAGTGAATCCACCTTGCTTTGCTGCAGGTGTCGTTCACGAGTTTACACGAATAATAATTTAAATACTTATCGCAAAACAATATTATAATAACAGAATAATTGTATTATAGTAGTCGTAACGCGATCGTGACTTCGGCTCGTCGTCGTCGTCGAGTATACTTATTTACTATGGTATTCTGGAGCAGTAAACGTGTTTAAGCAATGGAATTTTATCGTTCGGATGCACCTCGTCGATTTTGAGTTATTATGATGGATAAACGGAAATCGCATTACAATACTAAAGAAAAAAAATCATTCATTTAAATCCAAGGGCGTTAAAATTCTAATATTTACTGTAAACTTTTAAGTCCAGATCAAAAAAAAATATACATATATATTTCACTAAAAATTTTAGCGGTAAAAAATATACCTGCACTGTTTTGGGTGGGAAAATAAAAAAAAAAAAATGTTCAAATAAAGTAGATACCGCCGTGTTGCGCCGGGCGGAAATTTCATAAATATGATGGCATATACGATGTATGAACTATTCATGGTTTCTATAAGAACAAATAACCCGAAAAGGAATGAATAAAACCATAACATATGATTATACAGAGCCATTATTTTATCATTAAACACTAATTATTTTGAAAAGTATTTACTTTTTTTTCAAAAAAATTGTTTTCGAAAATTTAAGAAACAAAATTCTCTAAAATGTACACTACAATTATTTTTGGTGATGAAATGACTACCAACTTTTGATTTTCAAATCAAGTTTAAGTTTCATAAATAGATAGATTTTTAGTTTAAATGAAATTCGGTGTAACATTTTTGATTTACGTCAACACATTCACGAGATATTCCACATTTAAGTTTGGGTAGAGGGAAAGTAGCAGAGTATCGTTTCTATGGCGACACGCGGCATTTGAATAGTGCTACCCCTTATTAGCATTTAAAAAGTAGAATATCTCGTGAACGGGTAGACAGAAATAACAAATTTCAACATTAAAATGTATTTAAACTATATAAAAAAGGGTGTCCAACCCACGGTCCACGGGAGATTTTAATACGGCCTTCACTTCAATTTCAAATCATCAATTAATTATATACAATATTACGAGAACAAATTTATTTTAAGAATTAAAACTACAAAATATTAAAAATTAAAAAACTTTAAATATTACTTAATAGTATATACTAGTATATGCAATTTTTATCTTTATTGGGACCCGATAGTGATAAAGAAACTAATATAACAAAAATAACAATTAAATAATTATTAAATTATATTATTTTAAAATTGTTTTCTTTTAATTATAAATAAATATGTTTTTTCTTGTAAATATGCATACAATGCATGCAATAGCTCGTTAAAATATTTCTACTTATTATTCACTATGGTAAAAATTATAAATAAAATTTATTATTATTATTAAAATGTATGTGACCCACAACTTCTATTTACATGATGCGGGCCAGTTTTTATAAAAGGTTGGACACCTCTGCTATATAATATGTTTTACCTATTTATGGAATTTTTAATGTAGGTAACCATTTGAAAAACAAACGTTGGTAGTCGTTTCTTCCCTAAAAATAAATTTAATAACAATAATAATAATATACATTTTAGATCTGCCCTCTTCTTAAATTTTCAAAAAAATTGTTATTTGGAAATAGTCAATACTTCGCTAAATAAGTGATCAACGATAAAAGAAACATATCCTGTATTATGGTTTCTTCGCTATACATTCAAAATTTAAAAATAATATTTCGAAAGGTATTTAATATATTGCATGAATACGCAAATATCTGATAATAAAAATGATCGTGATAACGGTATGCGAGAATATATCTATTTTTGGTCCCAGGAAAGAAAGAAAGGCTGAAGTCAATTTTCTGAAGTTTTCAATAAGGGTAAATTAATAAATATTGAAAATACATACAATTATTACTAAATTATGCCATTTAGACGAAAAATAAAAATTACATAAATTGACTCAAGCCCTTCTTTCTTGGTGCCAAAGATATATACTGTACATTTATGATCGAATAATATTCGAATAGGTATGTATTTTTGAGCCGAAAAACGTTGCAATTATTATTATTATTTTTTTTTACGAAACTATCGAAGAACTGCAGGACGTCCGTTTAAAATGTAAGGATTTTAGATGGAGTAAAAATTTCCCTTATTTGAGAGGGGAGGGGATGTTTCGCGGCGGGACGGAAAAGAATTATTCCGGCGGGCGTGGAAGTGGAAAAATACGGCCCGATCGTATTATACGCTATTATACCGCTCGTATACCGTATTACGGATACCGCAGTTGTGTTCGGTGAAAGGTTACAGTATTATTGTATACCGCGTTATTGTTAACGGCCGTGTCCCATCGTGTTCGGTGGTACCTATCCGTTTTCGCGCCGGAAACTCGTCTGTCTTCCGCGGCATGTGTCAGTGCGCGTTTATCGTCCGATGTTCGCTTGTGTATCGCCTATGTCTGATGTAGCGCCCGTAATAATAATTATCAGATAAATTCGAATTACTATTAACGAAAACGTTTAGAGTTTAATAAAACGATTATTGTGTGAGACCATTATACAATAACGATTGGCAAACACGCGTTTAAACATAATATTTTCGTCGGCTTCGTCATCATCGCTATATAGTACAAATTCTATCATATTATTATGCACGTGCAGCCGAGTTCGCGATGAAATGAAAAGATCTCTGAGATCCAACATCGCAAACGGATGTGAATCACAAGTTTGTCGATATTAATATTAATAAAATTCATTACACGCCGGGGCATTTTTTTAGTGAATATATCCACTACGTGTCCACTCTCTTTTCTCTTAAAAAAAATGTCCACGAGAAAAACCTTACCTTGACTTACGTACTTTCCTCGAATACACCTTCCTCCTCCCAGTGACAATAATTCCTTTAATATTTTGTAATATGAAATCTACTAATTTTATAATTTACCATTTATTTTTCTACAAAAAAGTGCATCCAGTGGGCTTTACTGTATGTCTACTTGGTCACAGAAAACCTCATTTGAAAAAAAATGCCCTGTTATACGTGATAATATGTTTAATATTTGTATTATATATTTATAATGATCGATTGTATAGATGTGAACAGTGAAAGGGCTAAGTTTTACTAAGAAGTTAACGAGTAATATATATTTACTAAAAATTTTTATTAATTTTTTTTGTAAAATATCGTCCTCTAAAAACGCTATTTGTGTCAATATGATCGACGATTTTAGAACACACGTGATATAAACTATTTCGAAATTAGTATATTTATTATTATTCTTAAAAACATTTGAAAACACTTAAAAACAATTGAAGAAAACAAAAATTATAGAACACATTATATTTTACAATATAAAACAATGCCTATATATCATTATTTTTCTTTTTAAATTTGACGTCCTGGAAAAATAAAAATTACCCGTCTCTTAAGTTCAATAAAATATAGCAATAACGATAACTTTAAATGTATGGGAACCGGACGTATTGAAAATATACTCACATAAATATAAAGTGCTCAGATTAGTTTGTTGTAGGTACAGCAAATTTTTCATATAAATACGCGAAAAAGATAAAAATGTAAAATGAAAAAGTTGTATTCAAAGGTATAATTTAAAATTATGTGTTAGCTTGATATTTTTAAATGCCTTTTTGGGAAGTAGGGGAGGAGGCAAATTTTGGGGTAATTTTTTTAAATTCAAATTAGAAACTACATTTTTTTTTGTAAATATATTTCTTTAATAAATTTAACTGGCTAATAAACATATTTTAATGCAAACATGTTTTGCCTGAAAGAATGATTAAATTTTTTAAAAATTGTAAAGCACACGCACAATTTTAAAATTTTATCCCGAAATTCTCCCAAATGGGATTTATTTTTAAGTTCTCATAGAGTTTTAAATTATACTATTAAATACAACTTTTTCATCAAACAGTTTTCTCTATTTTGAATATTTTAATATGAAAATCTACCAATACGATAAAATTCTGATGTATACTTGAAAATATTACGAGGAAGCTATAGTTTATGGTTTATACTATTAGGCACATCGAAAATACATTTTAAATTAGGTACTATCATTATTCGTCAAAAAAACGATTTCGCTTATCGAAATACGTGTAAAACGTAACGATTTTATCAAAAACATAATTTCTACTTATTCTAGTGCAGTTGTTTTGTTATACAATAATAATTTATATTATAAAGCATTCGAAAAAAAAGGTTTTTCAAATTGAAGAATAGTTGTGTTTAGATTCTAAGTGGAGCGAGGAATTTATTGGTTTACAATGATGTGATTTTTTTTTGTTAGTTTATGTACATTTCATTTAGTAATCTTGCTTCAGACGAAAATCAAAAATTAGCTTCTTTGTAAAATTTAAATTGTACAGACATCGCCAAAAAAATATGATTGTGAGTGGAACTTAATTTAAACTGTAAAATAATCACAAAATCGTAAAAATTACAGCATTTCACAACATGTTTAACCTAACTTTACCCAGAATTGTATTTCGTTGGCAATGATTTATCGTTTTGTACATATACAAATTATATAACTTTATGTATCTTACCACCCCAACTTCCCACCTACAACAGTGGTAGTACCAACACTTTGTATTTTTTTTAAGGTGTAACTGCAGTAGATTGTGAGATATTAGCATACATGATTTGAACATAAACGTCCAAGTTTGGAAAAAAGGTATTTCATTAGATGCCCTAAGATATATACGCGTAAGAATACTATAGGAGGAAAATAAAAAAAAAAAGAAAGAAAAAATTCAAAGTAAAACTATAAGAAACTAAAATTAAATAAGAATAATGGTAGTATAACCTTGTAATCAAATATATTTATATCAAATCGAGAATAAAAGGAGCTAATTAATTTATCGGTAATCAGTTAATATAATTTTGATAACAATGAATAAAATTCGTGCTATCTTTTCTAAATCAAATCATGCAAATAAATATGTGTAAATTCCCCTGCCCTTTTTACATATCAATGTGCGAATAAAATAATAAAATAATAAATAAATAAATAAATAAAATAATAAAATAATTTTGATAAAACATATTAATATTTTTATCCTTTGAAGGTTTTAAATGTTGTAGGAAGGTACGTTTTTCACATTTAATTTACAATAGTATGTCATACTTTCATACAAATTAATTATTAATAAATTTATGGATACTTGTATTATATAGTACACGATAATTATGTAAAGAAAAAAAATTATACGGATTTCTTATATTATAACCTCGTGATGGACTCAAAGACGTATGGAAAATGTAAAATAATTAATAGGTATGTTTAAGAGCTGTACAAAGAAAAATAGGTAACAAATTAAATTGGAATTTTAGATACGGAGTATAATAAGAAGTATTAAAAAGGTGCGATTATTTACGGTTAGTAAAAATGCTTAGATTTTTCACAGCGGGTACTTACCCTATGAAAAATGCGAAATTTACGGACTGTGATATTTTTTAGGTATGCTAAAATTTAGTAAATGCTAAAAAGCATTTACTCACTAGCCCTTTTCACGGTTTTTTTTTTTAAATTTCTTTTCTTGTTACCTTAGCAACAAGGGAAAACACGACTCTCTATTTCACTCTACAATAGTTTTTCGTTTATATGGAGTTATCGGTGCATACAGTAGGTATATAAACTAAATTACCCTCCAATTATTATATCTTATACTTGTACTATATATTACTTATATCTTATATTGCATCTTTCAAACTATTCATCTACAACAGTGGCCTACCCGAGGTGCGAAATATATACAGGTGTTTTTTTATTAAATTCAAGGAGGTATAAAACATAACATTTCAATATTGTCTATGATAATATTATATTATAATATATTATTGCAGTTTATAACAGAAAAACTTAACACGCAAATTAAGCAACGGTAATAATGATAATAATAATACAAAATATGAAGATATCTTATAGATATATACGTATAATTTTGGTTTTAATTTAACGAAATTGTTTATATTTAAACTTGATTCTGGAACTATTAGGTATATAGTTGAAAAAATGAGGAAGTGTGTATATTTTGATGTATTGGACGCGGTTGGCGGAACAACCTATTAACAGCGTTAAAAGAGTTCCGCGTTATGTGATTAATCAAAACTCAAAACATAATTAACGTCATTTTTTTTTTTGTTTTGTGTTTTGTTTCATTTCCAAGAGACGATTTCGTTAAGATTCGAATGTTATTAACCGACTATAAATACGCATAATACTACTTTAAGTATAGAAAACCGAACGATTTACTTTCTATAAGCATTTAAATTTTATTTGAAATTCCCGTTGCAGTGAAAATAATATCGTCATTTGTTTTATTATTTTATGTTCTTAATTCGTAATACAATTTATTTATGCGCGTCGCGAGATGAAAAATTATCATTATTATTATTTTTTTTTTATTGAGTTAGACGATTTCAGATCGTTAAGTTTTCGAAATAATCAAAATCCGCAATTATATATAAACGAATTTAAATACAGACGTGTAATGCATAAAATAAGTTTTGCTGTTCTCTTTCATTATAACTTTCAAATTGTTATACCGAAATCGATAGTAAAACCCCTGAAAAACAAATACTTTGGGATCATTTGTTACACATAAATATCATATAAGTATAATGTCACAGAGAATACGTCCGAAAATTGCAAGGCGGCTATATATAGTGTTACGTCGTTTTTTACGCGGTAACATTTTGGGCGACCCGTTAGATCGGTTGAATCTGGATTCATAATATATGTATTCTTTCGTCGTCCGTCGCATGTTAATTATTTTTATATATGTCGAATGCTAATCAAGGGGAAATTCGTCAACTTGCAACGACAATTCTAGTTAAATAACAAAATTAATTTAGATTATCGCATGCATTTTACTATAATAAAGATTTCAAAAAAACAACGCGATTGTTTTTGACTTCAGACGTTTTTAAATTAACAAACAAAATATATTAAACGTATTATTATAATTATACATGATAATTGATGGAAATATATTATTATAAGAGTGTTATATCTCTCAAATAACGCGATTGCGTTGCAAATAAAAATAACCGCAATAATGTATTATTTACGAATCGGAGATATACATGCACTGTGATACAGTTTGGTTTGCTTTCTAACTATCTAACACATGGGCACCTATAAACATACATATTATAGGTATATAGGTGTATATAAAATAATAATGTTTTATATATCATTTCAAATACTTGGGCGTCACTAGAGCGTATAATAGTAATAAGTACCAAACTATCGTTCTCGGTGGACGTAAAACCGATTGCAAGAAGTAGTGTACCAAATACAAACTGACGTTAGGTATAGGTGCCTCCTATATACACGATGATGGTAGTCATAGGCATGGTTTTTCTAATAATTTTTTGAAAATAATAATAAACATTTTATTGTATTGTATAAAATCGGTAATATTCCCCATCAAATTTAATCGTCGCAAATTACATATTATAAAACGATTTGTCACGGTTATTATTAAACGCAGCGACCGCCAGTAAAGTTATAAATACATATACATTATACATGCATACATATTACATACATATGCATACGTATACACGTATACATGCATGCATAAATACATACATACAAACATACATACATTCGTAAATACATACGATATAAAATCGACAGCAATACAGCGTTAATAAACGGGAAATTTCGTATTTTGACGTAAATTATTGTATATAAATCGTGTTGCTCGTAAGACTATATAATACATTATAGTACTCGATATTATAATATATTACGCGTGTTAAAGTACCTGAATCAAGCGAAACATTGTTGTACACTTTTTTCCTCGTACCGAATATATACGCTAATAAATTAATAAAAAAATGTACTTATTATTATCAATAGATGACTACTTCTCCCAAGCCTTCTGTCTCTAAAATAAAGTTCATCTAATTTAATTTATTTTACTTAAACCAAAATCACTTGTGCTAATTGTGAAAACTAAAATATTAGAATGTTTAATTATTAAAAAGAAAAATAATAATACAAATTATATTATTGACATTTATATTTACTATTATAATACTACGATTATTATTATTACCTATTACTTATTATATTATTTCTCTTTCAAATCCGGTTTAATATCGGTGTTAAATACCTCGTATAAAAAAAAAATAATGTATCCTACTTAAATCAATCCTAAAAACTATAAAATGGTATGCTACTTTCAAACGTGCGCATCAAACACATAAAATCACTACGACGCGACAATTTATAGAGTTGCTTTCATCGCGTCAGTTCGAACTAATTATGGAAAATATCCGCAGTAACTCTTTCAAATGAAAGTTATAAAAACTAAATTAAAATCAAATATAACGGTCAATATTTGTACAACGATAGGTCATTGATAATATTAATATTTAAAAGAGTAGCGAGTAAAATAAACTGAAAAACTGCATTCGTCTACAGTTTTTTTAGTTGTAATTTGATATAAACAAGGACATGTACAGCGGAATGTTAATCACAGTTATGCATATGCATTTATCACAATTGAAATTGCAAAAAAGAGAACATAAAATGTTTTTATATGTAGTATGTATAGATTATAGGATAAAAGAAAATAATTTTATGAATATTACTAAAATTGTGTCCAATTTATACGACTAAATGAGACATAATGTTATAAGATCTTAGTTTTAAATGTATGATAAAAGTACAGTAATTGTATACAAACGATACAAAACTGTGTTAAAAAAACATTCACTCAAATATATTATATACCACGAGAATAGAAATATCTCGACTTTCAAAGCCGTATCATTATTAATATCAGCCGTTTTCAAGTGAAAAAGGCATTTTACATAAAACATAATTATACAAAAATAAAAAACCACGTATAACCCGCTATTAAACTTTCTTATGTGAGTGCCAGTTAATGAAAGTAAAAATATTAAATATTTTATTAACTACATATTAAAACTACCTAATTAATTATTATAATGAGATACAATTAAATTATTAAACAAAACAAAACTGCAGCCTGTGTTGATGAATACAAAATGACTTATAAGTAAACCTACTTTCTAAGAATTAAAACAATAATAACGTTACTTTTGAAAGATTTCCAGTTAAATATTTTTAAATCATTTAAAATTTGCATAATAAAATATAATAATAGACAATTGCGTCTGCAGTATAGATATAGGTAATATAATACTAAAATAAATTACTAATTGCAGCGCGTATAAACGCGAATTGATTTCTAATTTAAAATATATTTAATGAGTCCCCGGTGATTATGTTAAAATTATTATTATATGGACCACAATAGATTTTTCGTTTATATAATCTACTAAAAAAAAACTAGTAAACTTTTCATGTTTGAAATAAAAGTAATTGTTGGAGCTGTAAAGGATACTGAGACCAAATTTCAAAAAAAAACAAGGAACTAGAATCACTTTGTCAGAAACCGAACTTCGTAGAAGCCAACAGAAGCAATAGATTACAATGGGCTGGACCTGGATAGCCAAAACCTATTGCTTCGTACAGTGTTGAAAAGGAATCCGACAGGGGAGACTTCCATATAGGAATACCGATAATTAGGTGAGGAAACGTAATCAAGAATGATGTGGAAAAACTAGGAAGAGGATTAGATTGGAAAGACGAGCATCAGATATAGGTGGATTTTGTACCACAAAGATGAAGATCATAAATACTAACATTTGTACTAAACAATTAGAAATCAATATAATTAAAAACAGTCACTAAAAACGATACAAAGAAACTAGGTAAACGCCCGAGTTGTTAATGCAATTCTCGATAAATTTACATTAGATTTAAAGAAAATAATACCAACTGTTAAATTAATAGCATATATACGACATCGGGTAATATGCAGAAGCTAGAGGTCTAAAAAACTATATATTATACTTTCTAGAATTTAAAATTTGTAATAACTGTAATATGATATATAATTATAATGATATTATATAGACCAATTATTATCTACAACAATTACACATTTTGAAGAGCCATAATGATCTGCAGCATGAAACGTTTTTGAAACGGTTTACTGAAAAAATTATTCTGGTTTCGAAAAAGTCAAATTCTTCCGAAAATCTTCAGTCATCGATATTGTGTATTCCACGAGGGTAAAGTGAAATAAAAATTGGATTATTGCAAACACCGTTAGGGTGCCAACAAGCCGGAATTATGTTTAAGTACCGTTAATTTTTTAACAATTGTAACAATCTCGAGGAATGACCACTGTTTGTCTGATTCCCCAAGTGCGGTGTTTTTATTTGTTTACAAATTTCGTGGCCACTTTCCCACGTGGAAGAAACGCACGTAACCCGTGGCATCCGTTATTTGCGGCTTATGATGCCTGAGTATAATATAAACGCAGTTTTCTGATTTCCGAGTTCGTCTCTTATTATAATGATAATAATTATTACAACGACGAAGCGACCGACGTTTAATTTTGATGGGATTCGGAAATTGAATTAAAATACAAATATTATACAAACGCACGTATATTACCCGCGAAATTTCTCAAGGAAACCTGGGCGCGGGTGAAAGCGCAAGTGCATTTATATACTCATATAATATACAGAAAAATCCAACATTATACAGTCCTTTAATAGGAAAACAACCACATATGCGTATTACTTTTTAATAAAAAACAAAAACAAATCTTCACATACAATTTTTTTTTTATTGTTTTATAATTCGCTAAATATAGGTGTGTGTGTGTGATGGTAGGTTTGTTAAGCAATAACTCGGTGCAAGATAGGTACTCGTACTCGTAATAAATAACATTTATAATATTATAGACACGCGAACGGCTGAAATTACGTGTTCGTTATGAATTCGCACGGTTTAGAAAATATAATAATAATAACTGTGCATATTATAAACCTGCTATGTATTACTATTTCGTGGACACAACGGTTCGTTGTTACCTGCATGTATAGGTACATCGTGAACAATGTCACGAAAGTAATTAGATACTTACACGCATATTTATAGTGTCAAAAGAATTGCATAATTTTTTTTTTACTTATAGCATATAATAATAAGAAATAAGATGTACGCGGTCATCGTTTCACCGTAGGTATACACTATACAAAACTGAAAAATATAGAACAGAGTATAAAAATATTCAAATATTATTCACTTCATTGTTACGCTCTAGGTAGCGACTCAAAAAACTTTTTTTTTTTTTGTAGTCTCCGTGTTCACTTTACGATAATATTTAGATATAGATATTATATCTCTTCTTAATTTCTTCGTCTTTCTCTACAGGCAACACACCTATACATACCTACCATAACCATATCTTGAACTATATGAACTTATGTCCAGTTTATAAGCCCGAAACTATTTAAATCTTCTACTATGTCAATCCATCTTTTTCTGAGTCTTCCTTATTGGTCTTCTTCTTCAGAGTTTCCGTTTCATTGCTGCCCAAATAGTCTACTTTGTCCTTGTAACGAAGTTTGTCACTGGTACTATAGTTCCACTACACATAACACAGATTTTTGCCAGTTCCCCATTATATCATCGAAAATATGTGTCTAACCATCGAAAAAATAGCAAATAATATATAGATAGTGTGATATAAAGAGTGGAAATACGAGAGATTAATACAGGTAGATTGTACAATGATATAATATATGGAATACGGAAATTTTGTATTTTTAGTTTGATTACAATAAATGTCGATAATAATAATTACACACTGCACACATACGTCAAGATTGATTGGATTTAAGTGAATGGTTTTAATCGCAAGGTACGATAATAATAAAACGAAAAACAAATGCAAATCACGTAGGTACTAGAAAAGTAATTGTACTGTAAAAACAGATATAGTACCCATACTACCGAGATGAAATGGGAAAAAAAACATATTATTATACGTTCTTAAATCTAAGTCACGGTTTAAGAGACTGTACCGGATGTGTAACGTGCAGTTCGACCAATCTCGCAGTGTTAACAAATAACAACTTTATTAGTAGGAAAAAGATGTACGACTCAAACCTATACGTTCACAAAGAAAGTTTTTTTTTATGCAGATGTACTTAATATAACGCAATAATACATGAAATGTAAAATTGAACATAAATTATGATTCTTCTGAATTAAAAAGTATACGTTAGTTTTCAAGTTTTTTAATTTTATAATCCGAAAATAGGTACGTTTTTTTAATATTCAATTTACAAGCACTTATTTTAAAACGCATAACTCATTAAACGACATTCTTAATAACATATTCGAACTGATTATAATATCAAGTACCTATAAGTATATATAAACAAGTACCTGTATATTAATCGATGAACCTTAGTCGTGTAAAGTTGATAATTTTTAATGCGAATATAAATACACTTGAAACTTTTTATTGGAAATCAGTGAAACTCAATAAAACTACACAATTATATACATATATTTAATTTCAAATTTTTATAAAATCTAGAAAGCCCACAGAAATGGGGGGAAGTCCAAAATTGTACTTATTATTGTTTTAAAAAAAAAAAAAATTGTATCCAAGTTATCGGTCTTTCGTTGTTCCCCGAACATTGCGAGCACCTCTGTATAAAATATATCAAATGGATAGATTGATAATTCAAATAATTGTGAATCAAAATTAAAAACATTTGCTTCGATTATAATTTGCATACATAATTAAGCCGATACATTAAAATACATCATAAAAATACATTATTAGAAAATAAATAATGAAAACATAAGCGGATGATACGACCGAACCCATAGGCGGGGAATAATATATACAATTTGGGAAGGTGAGTGGTGGAAGCTTAAACCCTCATAATATTAAAAATTATAATATCCCCACAAGGATTTGATTTGAGGGGGCTTGGCTGAGAGAGCTGGTAGAGAGATGGGGTTGAATTTTTAAAAATATTGTAAACACTAAACACAATAGGTATCTAGAAATATTATTTAGATATTATTGATAATAACTGTATGCAATTAATAATATCGTGTAATACCCGATGCGTATCTATTTTTCATTTTTAGCAAATTCTGGTTGATTTTATATTTGTAGGATTTTGTTATTGATTTTTTTTTTTTTTTAATCTTTATTCGAAGTATTCAATTGATGAAAATAATAATAATTACGATTTTATAGTGTTATTTCTTTTAATAGGCATTGGATACATACTTATTTATTTTTATATTTTTGATAGCAATCAGTTTGTTTTCAATCTAAATTATGTAGGTAAATTTGAATACACGTGCGTTTTTGTTACGACAATAATACAAACACCAAGGGCGGTAATAATAATTATAATAATAATATAACGGTTTGACTAAAACAAAAATTAATAACCGAAAAAAAGAGAGCGAGTTCTGACACGCCGCATGAAGTAAGCAGCACGACCTATGCCCTGTTATTTTCTGGTGCAAAACAGTATGATACCTATAATAATACTCGTATTTATAGTTTCTCAACACATTATTGAAAAACCTTCTGGAATTCAATTAAAATTATTTGACCACTAGATACAAAAAAAAATTCGTTCGTTTGAAATATCACACGACGATGTATTTACCTATATAAGGCGAAATTTAGAAAGGCGATGTTATTTTTACGAGATTCAAGGAGTTTACTAAGCTGATAACAAAGCAGAGAACATAGATAGTTATCTATGTTCGTTAACTAATTATAATATAGTTTATATTATCAATATTAATCGCACGCTTCATCTTTATAGTAAAAATACGATTGCATAATATCATTGCGGTTGCCATCGATGACAAGTTCGGATGATGTACCTATCTAACAATCATAATAATAATAAATCACCCGGGCTCGCTTCCGAATACCACAAGTAAGAATCATCATTAGATAAGTGTAAAATTGACATTTTCAAGATGTCATTAGTTGACTTTCTCTCCCGAATACTATAATATAGCTACCTAGTTATGTATATCGATGATAATATACGTATGCCTAAACCACCTAAAGTTATAATAATTCAACCATATTATACTAAAACGAAGGAGAAAAAAATAAGAAAAAGAAAGGAAAAATACACGTGAGCAGACATTAGGTTATTATATTATTATACTTCTCCGATCGTGTGATTAGATATATTCGTCGTGTCGTTATTTTATTTTTTGAATAAAATATTATTTTTTATATTATGTTTGCAAGGAACTAGGTAAGTAAACAAAAATAAAAAATATAATAATCTGTACACTTTCCATATGGTTAAAAATTAAGTAAACCTACCTATGTGGTTTTAAGTAATTGCTATATTGACTGGAAAGTTAATTCATAATACGTGAAGTGATGCCCATAACATCACATGACCATCGATTTGAAAAAAAAATAACTTTCATTAAACCGTTTTACGTTCAAATTAAATTTAGATTTTTAAATTATTATATCGTATATTACGATTTGCCAGAGTTAAATTGTTTGATTAAAACGGGTTTTATTAATAAATCATAGATTGTCGCGACGCATGCCATCGAAACAAACATCTTATAAAAATGACCTACAAAAAATTCGAAATTATTTAAATGTACCTGCTAGCAAAAATGGAATGATGTCCCCAACAAATACCTAACCATGAAAAGGGCCAAGTCCACTTCACAAAAAAAAGTCAATCTATCAAAGTATCTAGTGATATCAACATTGTAGTCAAGTCTGTTTTATGTCTCATTCGGAAAACAATAAAAAAAGGAAGAACACTGTTGTTCACGAAAGTAGAAGTGAAGTTATCGACTAAAAAAAGGACAGACTTGATCTCAATATAAATATCACTACTTTAATAAACTAATTTTATTAGTAGGAACTGTGCGACTTGGCCTTTTTTTCACGGTTGGGTTTATGCTGGGATTACCCTTCTAGCTACTCCGGTCTTAATTCTAATCTAACTTATAAACGATACCTATTACTAATATTAACATTATAAAGTGTTATAGACATTTGTATAAAGGTATTACCTTTTTCAATCTGGTTTAAAAAGAGTAGTTGATACTATTTGAAAATTAAAAGTCAATATTCACGTGTTTGAGGTATAGAGTACAGTTAAAAATTTAAAAATAAAGCTTAAACAACTATTATATACATATTATAATGCATGGTTGAAAAAAAAAACAGAAATCGAATTAATACTTAAAATCCTTTGAGAAAATCGTTGGATTGTGATAAACGGATCGCCTAGCATATTAATGGACAAAAGACGTTTTTTACAGTATTTTCTATACGAGCATATAGAAAATAGATGTTGGATAAAAACATGATCGGACGAAGTTAGTTTTTCTATAAATAATATGGCTGGATTAATTTGTTTACGAACACTTTGACAGTTCATAATGAATCGTTTTTAACGTTAAAACACAATATGTCATTTCAGTATTTCTTAGTTTTAAAAATACATATATATTTTATACATTTATATTTAACTCGATTGCAGCAGGTATTCAATCGGAAAATATCCGCGGGTTAAACTGTTTGGAAGATGATGTCTCGTAAATAAATACAGGAAAGTGGTTTTAAATTTTTAATGCAACGAATAATACTACGTAAATGGGTAATCCAGTTGTTATAGGATCCGGTTCTTACCGCCGGATCTTGTTTCGTTAACGTGACTCTGTTGTATTAAGTTTAATGAAACGGACCAGACGACTCTTGCTTTCTCTGCGGCAGGTATGAAATATTTACGATTAAACTGTATCTACCGGCGGCGTAGTTGTTCTCAAAATATGACGAGTTATAATTTCTTAACACTCGAACCATATTATAAATCGTATCGCCTAGATAAATTATTACCGTTACGTTACGGTATCTATTGTAAGCGAAAAAAGTAAAAAAAAAAAAAAAAAAAATTTGCGAACATTTTTCAAACTTACGACCGAAATCAATCATAGCATACAAAATTGTCGAATGTAAAATCAAACTTTCTCAGGCTGGCAGTCATCAGAATTATCATTGTTCAAAATTAAGATATCTATATAATATTATATATTATTTATATATAAAATATATTAATATATTATACTGTGCGTATTAAACACGATTTGTATACCGTCCAATTGAATGTTTTTAAACGATTATAGGGAAATTATTTAATTTTTCAAACGTTAAAAAAATGTTGTTATTAATTTGTTATAGAATCGAAATATAACTATGAATAGGTGTAATTATATACACCCGTAGATGAATTTGTCCAGTGTATGAAATTAGCAATTTTTGGCTCATTTCGTAAAATGGCCCAGTGAGTTGCATATTCATGGATTAGACTTCAAAAATACTGTCTATTTCAAGAACTTACTGGCACCTGGTACTCTTAAAAATTTGACTTGACTCTAAACACGCCGCCCGATTATGGTAACAGCAATGGAAATTAATATATTATCATTGATTATAAATACTAGTATATTATAATCAATGATATTATTTACTACAAATATTTTGTTATATCAAGTTGTTTGTGCATTCACTTAACAGATATATCACTTTAATAATTTTAAATAATGAAAAAATTTGTATCTTTTTAATTTTTCTGGGAGATTTATTAGTCATTTTTTCCCTGAATTGGACAAATTCATTACAGAATTACTATACTTACTATATATTATATATATATTAAAATTTTCCTATATTATATATATTAAATAGTAAGAATGTATTTTATTGGACAAAAATATTTTGATTTTTTATTTTTAGTTATGGGTCCAGGTGCCAGTGAGTCTTTTGATTCAAAAATATGTTTTACAAAAACTCTCACGAGTGGTTCAATTTCAATGATTATTTTTGGTTGACAAGTTAAATACTTTTTACAGACCGAATTTTCATTTCATACTACTCGTATGTTTATAATACGCATTTTAAAAAAGTCAATTTTTAATTGTTTAATACCATTATTTGAAAACAAATGAAAAATCGGAGTTAAAGCGATCTGTAGAATATTGTTTATCAATTTAAAAAAAATCGTGAAAAAATAAATAGGAGGAATAAAAAATTATGTTAAAAAAAAACCGTACCCCTATCCTTAAAGTAATAGATCAATGGAAGTCTTATATTTCAAGTGACCAATACACATTTTAAAATTTTACAAAATTGTAGAAAATTCGAAAACCGACATAGGGCCCCAAAATATAATAATAATATGTATGTAAAATTAATAATAGTTGGGTTTGCCGAATTCGATCGTGTCAAAGATATGAGACACATAACAAACGGAATGCTTTCTACAGGATGTTTTTGCTTGACATATTATTGATACGCGTTTAGTGCCAATAGTTCGTTTTATATTTCTACATAATATTTAACCGTTTCGCCAAACAATATTACTAGGTGTCAACCGCATTGTAACGTACGAGTTATACATATTATATGTAACGCATGTGGTCATATAGGAATTATTACTTAATAGCCGATAATTTTTTTTTTTTTTTTTTAATACACATTTGTATACGAAAAGGAGTATGTTTTTGTTAACGATAGCAAAAAACACTAAGTACAAAACAATAGGCTCCGTTTAATCACAATTATAACAACGAGACTATTTCCTGGTGAGTGTTGAATTCATTTATATATCCGACTCTATAATAATACGTACCTATACTAAATAGTAAATACCCTACAGTCTGAATTACTTTCTCTTTCTGTATGTGTACTGTTTTTAGTATCCATTGTATTTTAATTTTTAACTGGATTATCTCCCTATCACGTGTGATCTAGAGTTTTTTTGTTCATTTTTAAATTGTTTTGATTTTATTTCGACCGTAACATTCACGAGTTATAAGTGCAGTCTATTATGTAACAGATTGCAAGTGTCAAGGCACACTTCAATAGTGAAAACTCTTATCTGCATGCAAAATGTTTAATCTATATCATTAATCTAAGTGTATTATATTATATTATTTACGAAAAAAACATTAGAAAATCTTTGAAACAACAATATTTTGGATTATTTGACAAAACTGCTACTTGCATTTTAATGCATTTTTTATGTCTGCAAACTATAGCTTTTTATCAGAAAACTCGCTTATAATAAAACTAATATAGTATTAATAAACTAATAAAACTAGATATGTGTTTGTAGAATCTCTGATCTGATTGGTCCATCAAGGCGTACATTTTTTGAAATTTGTTGTACTTTTCCTAATAATGGGTAAAACTCGAAATATTTATACAACGTTAGTTTTTGTCAAAATTGTTGTTTTGTTGACCAGAAAAAAATAATCAGAGAGACCCTAATACCGAATACTTATGAGATCTTTCTAGTATATACGTTGTAAAATGTTTACAAATATTTTGACTCTTTTCGAGGTTTCAATATTTAATCGGCAATAACGGAAATATATCAATGATTTTAAGTAGACCTTGTAATTAAAATTATTTTTACTTATACGTTTTTTCTCGATTTGTAAGATTTTGAAAATTAACTTCTTCAAATTACTATCATTCCATTTCCCACTCTTATGCCAGGCTATGATGTCTTGTATTATTTCCTACTTCCACGAACAACATTCTTCTACTATAATTCCTCCAACGAGGAAATTATTTATTAATTAAATATTTTCCCTAGACTGGTATTTTTAATCTAAAACATTAGAGTTAACAGTATATAGCTTAAGTAATACTTCTTCATTATGATTCACTAAAACAAAATATATGAATTTTCATATTATCTATTTGAAATTATTTTTATAATTAGAGATTCATTGTCGAAAACACAATTTTTATTGTTTTCACAAAACTCCAACCGATAAATAAAAAGTACTGAGTTTTTCTTCGAAATTCAAAAATGTAAATACATTTTGAATGAATAAAATTAATTTTCCAAATCTCTAAGCTTCATAGATTATAATCTATAATATATTTACTCGTATTTTCTCCCAATAAATTAAATAGTTATAATTTTAATACAAAATACAAAACTAAAGTAGGTATGGTAAAAATTATATAATAAATCGAAAAATAAATTTTAGAAGAACTGTTGTTTTTAAAACGAGATAGTAATACATTTATACGTATTAAGATGAATAAATCGTTACATAAATATTTTGTCTGCACAGAAAAAAAAAAAAACCTGATAAAAGATTATAAAAGAATTATAACAATTATTATTGTTTAGAATGTCAATTGTCAAGTGAAATTATAAATCGTTAAAATTTTCAATACTGACAAATGAAAAAAGAAAAACATACAATGATCCAGATAACATTTTATACATCTTATGAAGATAATGAACATTTCTTCTATTTTCAATCCGTTCTAATCCACCGTGAAAACTAAACAGACACGACAAATATCACAACTATAGGTACCATGTAACTATTTTGATAGATATTTAAGATGGACACACAGAGATTAGTTTCACTTCTGTTATATCATATTTATTATATGATGATAAATAAAATGGTAATTGTGAAATAACTAGAAGTCCATTTAATAAAATCAGTGGCACATTACTATTCCCGTGAGACGTAGTTGGCTAGCAGCGCTAACACCTACAATGATTATGAAAAAACCGCACAAGTTTTTTTTTTCAAATACTTATTTTTATTTATTTTTTTCTAGAATTATTATTATTACTATTTCAATACGACAAAATCCAGTGTACCATGAACATTAAAAATGTCTCGCGTGGTAAACACACGATGACAATGAACTAACGCTGAGTACCTAGCTAACTATAGCTAGATAGATAAATAGATGAGTTTCGCTTTATTTGGTTTTCGAATGCACACGGTTTAGACAGAGAAAGTATTATTTCAAGTTCGAGATTATTATTCAACTGGTCATCAATCATTTTTGCAAGTTACTTTGACGTAAAGCCACTGGGGCGTATTCCAATTTAATTTAAAAACCATTAAATAATAACACTGTAACCGTACTGTATATTGATCGTTGCTCAATTAATCTTGTACGCATTATTCCTACATTTAGAATAATAGTAGTAATTCGATGACTATATAATTTGATATTATTTAACAATGCAATAATAAATTTAATATTATTCAAATTTTAACTTCAAACTAAAACAAATTACTCTCAGCAGTTAATATTACATTTTGTAAAATCGCAAGAATGCATTATTATCATTATTTTTTTTATTTTATGCTTTTTAGAAAAATGAAGAATGTTATGTGGATTCTTCTTAACTGCACTTTTATATTTCATCTAATCACAACCACTTACGCTATTGGAAATGACGACGATTTAGTCGTTTATCTGCACTCATCAAACTCTTCTGCTCAAGAACAACCTAATGTACGTATTTTATACTCTACTAATAATGATAAGAGATTTAAAATAATAATTTTAATATATAATTTGTTTTCCTTTTAGAGTCCAGCGCTTGACATTGAACAAACTACTAACACCAATAGCGATGAGTTTGATGAGCTCGAAGAAATTATTGACGAAGCTTCGTCAGATATAGTTGAAAGTCAAGTGCCATTTCCGACAGACAAACCTTCGGAAATTGATTCTGAAGTTCCGATAAGAAGACCACGACGTAAAAGACGTCGTCGACGCAAACGTCCAAGAACGTCGACGTACACGTACGATGGAGATATAAATCAACCGGTACGATATCAGGAACCACAAGAACCAGATTATTCGGAAGGATATGTTAGAAGACGTCCAATGAAAAGAAGAAGGCGACCAATGTATAGGAGACCTATAATTAACGGTAGTTCAGAAGACGATAATATTTTACCACGGCGAAAACTTATTCGCAGACCGGCTGGTTATTATCTAAATAAAACGAGAAACGAAGACGTTAAACAATGGGAGCCAATAACCACAACAGAGGAAACAAAATGGAAACCAGTTAAACCAACAACGACAGAAACCACAAATACTGTTTCAACAATAAGAATTACACCAAAAAGTACTTCGGTTACAACTCCTTCACCCACTACCACCACTCCTAAGACGAATGCCGTCATAACATTTTCAACACAAACATTTTTAGAAGAAAATAATAATATTAACCACAGAGACGTCGGATCGACAAAAAAATCAAATTCTTCACGTGCTGACATGATAGTATTACATAAACGACCAATAAATAGTAATTTACCGCCAACTTCTGCAGTAATAAGACGTCGTATAAAACCAAAAAATACAACAGAATCAAATAACTCTAAACCAAAAATGATTGTAATACAAGAAGAATTACCTTTATCATTACTTCCTCCGGGTTTTATTAAATCAACTGAAGATGCCCTCGCAAAAAAGTCTACAAATAATACCAAAGATTTTCGATTTAACGATGAAACACTGACGAAAATTATAAAAGAACAGACGAATCATAAAAATAACGATTTCAAGTTTAAATCGGCTGAAGATGTACCCGCAAAAGAATTGGTGAATAATACATATGATTATCGATTTAATGATGAAGCATTAACAAAAATTGTTAAAGAACAGTCAAATCATAAAAAAAACGATTTTAGATTTAAATCGGCTGAAGATGTACCCGCAAAAGAATTGGTGAATAATACAGATGATTATCGATTTAACGATGAAGCATTAACAAAAATTGTTAAAGAACAGTCAAATCATAAAAAAAACGATTTTAGATTTCAATCGGCTGAAGATATACCCGCAAAAGAATTGGTGAATAATACAGATGATTATCGATTTAACGATGAAGCATTAACAAAAATTATGAAAGAACAGTCAAATTATAAAAATAATGATTTTAAATTTAAATCGGACAGTATACCAAAGGTTAAAGACGAAATATTGAGTCTATTGAAAACTAAAACTGGATCATTATTATTATCAAATATTTTATATCTTAGAAATATGTCTTTAGAAGAACTTCTACAGCACAGAGAACGAGGATCGAGTCAAAGACATCAAGAATTAATAGACGCAAAAGAAGAACAACTTCAAGAAGAAATAAGTTCTGGTGAGCCAGTAATAGTGACAGAAAATACTAAGAACTTTACAAATTATTTAATCGAAACTAAACGTTTAGCACAAAATAATAAGGATACTCAAAAAATAGAAAAAACAAATGAGTTTATATTATCTACTGAAAATAGAAAAGAGTTCAAAAAACAAAATATTCAAACTTCATTAGCTGATAAAAATTCTAACGAAGAAAAGCAAAATGAACAAGATGTAAACAGGCCTACTGAACAAATACCACAACTCAAACACAAAGATTTTGATAACAATAAATCAAACATACAAATTCAAATTTCTAAAGAAGAAAATCATGGTCACAAAGACACAAGTGTTTTTAAATCACCAATAATTGAACCATTAAATAATGTTAACATAGAAAAAAATGAACAGGAGAAAGAATTATTTAAAATTCAACTAGATTCAATTTTTCAAGAGCAAAAAGTATTTAGTTTTCCAACCACAACTACCTACACAACTACAAACAAAAACAATAAAGAAAATGAAGCCACTTCATTTGTATCGAAAACACCAAAAACTCGAATAGTTTTAGAAACTCTTGAACGTGAACCCCGTCTTTTTGATAGTATGCCTGATTTTACATTAAAAACTACCTTAAGACCACTTATAACACCAACTATTCCATCACAAGTATTATTTATTCAAGACACTAATCATTTAGACAAATATCAAAATAATGGTGAGAAAACCATTGATGAAGATAACAATTTAATATACCGCCGTTTTGAAATGAGAAAATTGCCAGTAGGTGTTAAATCGGCCATTATAGCAAGTGCTGCAATATTGGCAATAGCTGTCCTAGGATTTTTTGTATTGCTTATATCATGTAGAATGAGACAAAAGAAACAAATGTTAAGGAAAAAATCATCAGTGTTTTGTCAACATAATATACACCATGATCCAGATCTTCGGTCTAGTGCCCGGAGCACAAGTCCTGTTATGGACAAACATTGTCACGAACAATATTATGATGGATATGGAGGACATATTGACGCTCAAACAACTGCCAATCGTCAATATTACTTGTGGAGAACATTGAGGAAAACATTCCGTTATGACTGATCAGTGTCAAAAAGCTGTCTGTACTATGGACAAAATTTAAATTATTCTTAATACTTATTGTTAATTTTTTTTACTATAACAAAACATATGCAGTTTAAAATAAATAGTAAAACATGGAAAATTCTCAATTGTTTTTCCATTCAACAAAAAAAACCTTATTTATTATTAGATAAAGTTATTGGTTCCTGTATTATGTATATTCTTTGAAATTTGAAATTTTAAAAATGTTGCATTATATTTTAATTCATAATTACTTATTATCATTGAACTTAGTATTATAACACACACTAAATATAAAATTTAAAAATAAAATTAACAAATTTAATAAAACCTGAAATTGAATTATGATTAATGGTAATGCCAATAGCATACTAATGAATCTGGCTTAACCTTATCACCAAAAAAAATTAAAACTTTAATATTCTATAAGCTCAAATAAAAATCAAAAGCAAAACTGGGTAAATATAATAAATTGAAAATAGTAAATTATAATGGTTTGGTAAAAAATCAATAATACCAAATTACTAAGAATAAGTTTTGATTCTAAATTGTAAGCTTTCCGGTATAATATAAGCACATAATAAATAAACACAATCACTCAAAATATACTGTAAACTTTTTAACTCACCTATAATACTCATAAGTAAATGTATCTTTTAATATTACACTAGCTGGATCATCTGACAACTGAAAACATAAATTATAAACATTTATTTATCAATTTAACATTGAAGGTGTTAATTTCAACATTCAACTCCAAATACAAATTTTAATACCACCAATTGTTTTGTCAATTGTTCCTATATTTCTATTAATTTGTGATTTTGGACACTGCATTTAATTAAACATGATAAGAACATTTTTTGAAATGTCCAAGAAACAGGATATTGTACAAAGAGTAAAGCTTCAAAATTATTAACAACAATTTTAATCTACACAAATATCTCCATTATAACTGGGTATATAAACTTATTTTATTTCATTTATTCATGTAATTTTTAAGTAATGTTTTTGTTGAATTTTGAGGATTATTGTGTTTATCCGATAAAGTTGCATTAATAATTAATGACAGACTAAATCAAGGAAAGTTTCTGATGGGTCCCATCCATTTTCATGAAAATAAATTTTATTATTAAAAACTAGATAAAAAAATTCTATATTATAGGTACATTCGCCTATGGCCATTTTAGGAAATTTGTCTATTCATAAATGATTTAATATATCTATGGTTAATGAAAAAAAAATTAAAAATTGTACCATAAATACATTAAAAGTTTACCAATACATAGTTTGAATTTCAAAGTTTAATTACATTAGAGAATAAAAAATTGGTATTAATATTTTAAAATTATATTTCCCTGTTCTATATACCTATTTACTTATGGCAATCCTACACTATCTGGTTTTGTAATAATTGATATCACCCAGTAAATTAATTAACACAGATAAATACAATGATAAATATATGGCTTATCAAATTATAAAATTACACTATTTATTAATGAAATAAAAATAACTAGCCATAGTAGAGACATTGATGCACAGACTGCCCCTACACAGTTAGCAATGATTCAACTCGAAAAAAAACAAAAATTAGTGAATGTTATAATAATCTATAGGATATTTTTTTTCTAAATAAAATAGGTACATCAAAAGAAGCTTAACTGATTTAATATAGAATTGTATTTTATTAAAATGTTCAGGTTTTTTTTAAGGTAGGTATCTACCTATTGTAATTATTATTTATTTATAATTACTACTAAAAAATGTTTAATTGGATGTTTTTTATATGCCTATGTTCATACATACCTACCATATATTAGTATTCAATATTTAACAAAACAAAATTGTTTAAATATCTTAGTATTTGTATTCATGGCTACGGCCGAATTAATTAAAAAAAATAATATTTAGTTATAATTACTTGAAAGAGTTTTTTGAAGTATGCATATTGCCTTGCTATATTTCTATTTAGTTTTAGTGCTGCTTCTAAATTCATAGAAAACAAAATATATGACTTATTAATAATAAATCTAACATATTTTTAATAAAATTATATTCACCAATATACAAAATACCTATACCTAATAAAAATATAAATACTATGATAAGAGTGAATTGAAATTAATTTGATCAAACTTGCTCTATTAAGGTATATTTAACCAGGTTAAATGATTTGTATTTATATTAAACTTTTAATAACTAGGTAGGTACATAATATTATGTTTATGAGCGAACTTCAATTTTGTACACAACTTGAGATAGTACCAAATGCAGGTGATCCTTTCAAAGCTTCGAGATCAGCCACTTCAAAATACACTGGTGTTGAGTAAGTCTCCGGTAAAGTAGTTAAATATGGATGCCAAAAACTTTTTTTATCCTTTCGTAAACTTTCGACCAAGATGAATATTGCTAAAGCAACATTTGGCATATTACGCAACATCATATCTTGTGAGTGCAATTTCCCTAGACATAAAATTTTAAATTTTAAAATTATATAATACAATAATTACAATAATTTATTCAATATATTTGGTTTCTAAATTTTTATTGTAAAAATCTTACATAGAGGAGATGCAGATATATTTTCTTCAGTCATCATCAAGGATTTTGGAACAGTCACGAGCTTATCACCTTCTGTAATAGGTTTATTGGCTTTCATACCATACCCATAGTCTTGAAATTGATGAATTTCAACCCCGTTAAGAATAGCACCATTTTTTGTAGCCCACTTGGTCAATTTTTCAATAGACTGATCGTTTCTCTGGGACAGTGGCTTCAAATCAAATTCTGCTTCTAGTTGATTAATTTTAGACAGTAGATTGACAATTACCAAATGTATAGACCATTGTTCTTTGATTGATGGGGTATTAGACATCATACTCGTTGCTGTAAAATAAAACAAATTATTTAACATATCATATTAACTTCAAAGGATAGGTAGATGATTATTTGTTCAATTAACCATCAAGTAATTGGTCCACCAGTTTCAATACTATGATCTTGCAATCATTTAACTTGACGCTTTGCATTTTTGCTAAAGTCTTTTTTTGACTAGTACTAGTAATCTTAGTTTTTTTGTCCATACCTAACAACAACTACCTACAATACAGTTTTGTATTTGTACTCGGATTCACATATATATAATTATTAACAAGCTCTAGTATGCAAATGGGTAAATAAAAAACGAATGCTACAATTTAACATAACAGTGAACTAAATCTTAAAGACGAAAACTGAATTAAATAAAATACTACTAAAATTAACCACAATATTATAAATAATAATAAGTACTGTGCCTGCGCGCTACGCTAATAACAATAATTATTAATACTAGTAGTAATATTAATAATTGCTAATTATTAGCTAAACACTGGAACGATTAACAAGTAACAACACCCGACACCGGGTGGCGAATGTGTATTATTATTGTGATAACGACTTCTGAAACCACACAAACGTTATCATTAACATTTATTTTTGGGTTTAAGATGCTAAAAAAAAAACAATACATATTTTTAGTAAACAACGAGTAATGGAATGGTACTTTTCTTCCAATTTTGGCTTTTTGCTACATCACTTAATTCATATAAATGATGTAAAGTATTATTAATAGGTTAGATTAGAATTGATGATAAAAATACTATGATAAAATTGTAAGTGGGACACCTACTTAAACTTACTAAAAAACAAAATAAATATTGTCTGTAGAATAAAATGAAATATATTAAAATGGATTCAAATCTTGAGAATTAAATGATTAGTCAATCACATCAAATTGACTTGTATTATCAAGTTTGTATTTCTTTACTTGTTACTTAAGTAGATTAAATATTTTTCAGAAAAAAAAACAATTACAACTATAGATTAAACATATAGGTATAGATATTACACCTATATGTTGAAATATAACTGTACAATAAAATATTCTTAAACAATTTACTACTTACTTTAAATTATTTTCTGGTTTTTAAATATTTTATTTATTTGGATAGTAAGTATTCAATAAAAGCATCCATTTTTTAGGTTCTGTAGTTAAAAACGGTTACCCATATTTTAACATGTCCTTCCACATGGAATGTGGAACACAGGGATAAAAAATGTATTTATACACTTGAATATTTTGTGTTATATAGGTAAGCTTCTAAAGTTGATAATAAAATAGGTAATCTAAACTATAAGAATATATGTGCACTAATTAAAACAAATCTAAAAAATATATATCCTAGTACATTTTTATATAATATATATTACTTATAACATAAAGAACTCTAAGTTTATGTGTATATGATACACTCTTGACCTATTTTTGTTATTTCAAAGTTTATATTTGAATTTCATAATAATGAACATTTTCACTAACGAGTTAATCTTAAATAATATTGATTATAAAGGATTGAAATTAGGAACAGTAAATATGTTAAGAATAATTCAGATAACATGCATGACTTTTTATTTTTTTAACACAAGACATTTATTTCATTTTTTAGTATACAATAATATTAATAATATGTATTATTATGATAATAACAGTAATATAATAAAATAAAAAATATATAATTAAAAATTCAAATGGTTAATACAAAAATGAAATGGAATTTAATGAAGGTAACAAAAACTATAAAAAATATTTTGAACAATGTTACTGTTAGCATTTGTTTTATTACTTAGACATTAAATAATAAACTTAATTGTATTTAATAATGAACATACATTATATATTATTTTAACTAATTTATGTTAATAGTTATTATTCGTTTTATACATTATTAAAAATGATTTTATTGAACATTGACTTGGTGAAACTTTACATTAATATTATAAGTTTAACTATATTTTTAACATGAATAATACCACACAAAATATCATTGTGACTTCCAGAGTAAAACAATACAATTTAAAAACAAATATTTTGATTTATAAAAGTGAATCTGTAATTTTAAAATACATTTACTAGATGAGCATATTTTACTAAACAAGAATCACATTACTAACTTTTATCCATGAATTAACCTATTTTAAAATTAAGAAATTAAGGAATGTAGTATTGTGATTACTTTTCTTATATTTTAGATGTATAATGTCTTATTGTTTGAAAAGTCATATCTACAGAAAAAATGTGACAAGAGTATACTAATAACTATCCACACTTCTGTTTTTTGATTGTCTAATCACAATCAATCGTTTTCTTGCTTCATCTAATTCTCTTTCAATTCTTAACACATCTGATCGAGCATCTATTTCCTGAGCCATGCCACCAACTACTCTTTCATTTAATATAAAATTCTTAACTTCATCTGTTTTCATGGCTTGACGAGCAGCACGAACAACATTCTCAGTTGCACGTTTCACTACATTACCTGAAAAAAAAAATCAATGTTTTTACATAATATAAAAAAAAATACTTCACACAATGAGTGGGCCACTGTTGTAGATGTGAAGTTGGGAAGGTAGAATACAGAGAGGAATTTAATGTATATTTGCATGCAATGATTGTTACTAAAGAAAAGCAATTCTGAACGGAGTTCGCTTATACATATTTTGAAAGGTTGTAGGATTTAAAATTTTCATAAAAATTTAATAAAAAAAAAAAACTACATTAAACTTATCTTTTTCCTATAAAATTTATAATGAACACAGAGTACCCAGTGAATAAAAATTATATAAAACTTGCAAAATTAAAATGTCTATAATTAACTCAAAAATGGCTCAAATGTTTTAAAAATTTTACCATATCTAGAAAAAGAAAATATAAGTTTTCTGCTTGTTTTTCAAGTCTCTACAAACATTTTGAACTGAATTATAACAAAAAAACAAAATTTAATATAATAAAAGCATTATTTTCATACATTTTCCAGTTTTTCCCAATTATTATAAAAAATTGCTTGGAAAATCAAAAAATTACCTTCTTAAAGTACCAACTAGATAAAATTTTCTTTCAGAAAAGGCAACACACTTGATAAATTGGAGTAAGATTTCTGTAGAATTTTTGTACAGTATAAAAATAAACATTATTGCACATTTCATGCTCCGTTCAGAATCTAAAATTTAAATATATTACCTGAAGCTAAGAGTCGCTTCGTAGCATCACTGTTTGGATCTGATTTGACTTTACAAGCTACCAAAAGTTGTGTTGTGCAAGAAGCCACCTGGTTAGCAGCAGATATAAGTTTGTCTTCGCTAGAGAAACCTTCAATTATTTCACGAGCACATTCTACTAAACTATGAGTTGCTGTGGCAACCATTCTAGCTGCATACACTAAACCATCAACTCCCTCATCAACTCCAATTTCATGTTGTGCAAGTGAAGCTGTTTTAACTAAAGCACAAGTTGCAGCTGCAATTGATTTCACTGCTTCCAAAATAACTTCGTCAGACTTCCAGCAACTTTCATCAACTTTAAATTCATAGGGTCTAGGTTGTATTGTATCAAGTTTTTTCACCGCTGTGTCTATTGATGTTGCTGAATCCAATAAATGATACTCTATGGTTTCAATGTGCTCAACAATTGTAATCAAATATTCTACTTTTGTAGACAAGCGTTGAGATACTTCTTCTAAAATTCTTTTTGTAGTTGTGCTAGGCCTTTTAGAATTTTCCAGAATCGTAGTTAGAAAAGTCTTAAATTCTTCAGCAACTTGACGGCCAGCGTCTAACACTTTTTCATTTAAATTTTTTCCTTGACAAGCAATTAATAATTCACCAACTGACTTACGACTTTCTTGTACAGCGTTAGTAACATCTTTTGGTTTACCTTTATATACAATTTCCAACATACTTTTAGTAGCTTCATTAATATATTTTGCAGACTGTACAAGTTCTTCTGTTGTTGTTTCACAATTTGTTACAAATGTATTTTCTTCAAAATCCTTTTCAATTGCTTCAACTGTTGATTTCATTAAATCGGTATTTTTTGTACGTTCATCGTCTACAGATTTGACCGTTTTCAATAAAGTAGTAACATTAGTTACTAAAACTTTTGCTTTATCTTTTAATTCATCCATAGAAGGACTATCAAAACATCCTCGAATAAGTTCCCCAAGAGAACTAGCAACATCTTTTACAGCATTAATCAATATAATTTGAACTTCCCGATCCTCTAATGATGCTGCGCCAGACTTTACAAGTTCTACAAGTTTTGTCACTGTCAATACCGCATTTTTAGAAGAGTTATCCAATTGTTCCTTAGAAACTCCAACTCCTGCAACTAAAGACTTGGTATCTTCCACTAATGTTTTAGACGTTTTTAAGATACTTTCTCGGTAGTCTGAAAACTTTCGTTCATTAACTTCCATTTCCAAATTATTATTTTCCATCATTGTTAAATCAAGATCTTCTAAAACTCCAGATAAGGCTTCAGTGCAAGTTATTTCAATGGAAGTATATTGTTGTTCAGAAATGTAACCAGTGGTATAAGATGTAGGTTCTTGTGGGATCCTAAGAAGAGTTGGTTTAGCAACTGATTGAGTTTTCACCTTTTGACCATGACTTTCTATCACTATTGCTTTCAATGGGCTAACCGTATCTTCCATAACAGTCGAATGTTCATTACAATCAATTTCAAAGTGATCTTTAGCTTCTTTTTTTTTTAAAATTATGTCAATATAACCAGATATTAATTGTAATATTTGTTCAGCTTCAGTAGTTTGTACTGAATAATAACGATCAGAGTAATCACCAAAATCTAAGGTAAATGTATGTGGTGAAGCTCCCCAACGTCTAACACTTGTTAAAGGCCAATTTTGTAGTATTTCTTTACTACGTTCGTCTAAACGTAAAACAGAGTCTTTAGTTACTCCAAGAATTCTAGGTACCAGTTTATTTTTACCTTTCATTTCTTCTTTAACTAAGAAAAATGTAACACCGTATGTTGGAAGTGCTCTAACAGTTCTTGTATATAAATCTTTGGCTTCGATTTCAACTAATCCAATATATTTTTTGTGTTCATTAAGTATTTTTTTTTCAATACCTTTGATCTTTATATATGATTGTGGCAAAAATTCTTTTAAGTCCAATAGTGGAGATTTATGTATAGTTTCTTCATGATTACCAAATTGAATATGAGTCTGTATGCCCGCTAATTGAATGGCAAGGTTCTCTGTGACAGGATGAGTACCTTTTAAAATAGCGTCCCTAGTTTCTACATACAATAGATTTAATTGAATTGGATCATGTGTATCTATATTCCCATCTGAAAAGAAAAATTTACGTTTTAATAAAACTCCTTCCCTTTCGTCAATTCCCTGTTCTCTTAAACTTGCACCCGAATTGATCCAATTGATATCTTCATCTGTCTTTAACTTTTTACGTAAATGCTCCATTTTGTGGTCTTTTTTAATGGAATTTCCGACATTAATATTATTTTCATCACCTTCAGTGAACTCACGTACTAAACTATATTCATCATGGTTAGTTATACCCAGTTTAGCACAAATTACAGCCATAAGGTTAGCAATAGGTTGTGTGTCATCTATCATTAATGTTTTTAATGTTCCATCAAGAGTACTGACCTTAAGTGGACGTATTTTTTTACGGTATTCTAATAAATCTCCATTTCGCAGTATATAATATTCAAAATTCCGTGTAGGTTCCAAGTATATACCTTTTTTCGAGTCTTCATCGGCCAAAAATAATGTATATTCTAACAGATGGTGAGATGATGTTTTTCCACTGATCTGACAGCAAGCTTCTGCAATAGAAATAGATGGATCAAATTGCATTGTTTTTGTCACCCCATCATCCACCAAACGAATACGCAAAGAAAGCATAGCCATTTTTGATGGTCACAACTAAAGCACTGCAAACTTTTAAAAAATCACTTAAAAACCGTGGGTTTTTAACATTATGAAACAACAGGTGAACATTGCCTTTTATGGGCATTGCTATATGTGTAGGTACCTACTTTCCGTTTTGTAAATACAATAATCAAATATACAAATTTGACTAAGTTTAATATTACTTGACTAATTATTAAAAAAAAGGTATTCTCATATAATTTGACTTTCAAAGTCATAATTAACAGAATCTAATAATTATTATAATATTACAATTGAGAAATAATTTCATACCAATAGTATTATTGTTAAATGGTGTGATGTTATCATTTTCTTATCTGATAACCATAGATAGTACTATGCTAATAACATATATAATAAAACAAAAAATTGATAAAACTAAAACCATTTATCTTGTAGACTGTGGCATTATCTATGATTATTGAGTATAATTATTAAAAAATTCAACTGCAATAATAAAAAGCGAACAAGAGAAACCATTTACTTATTTATTAATATGTCAATAACTTCTAAAGTAGTATTTGGACTGTCTTGTTTAGCATCTGTAGGTATTGTTGGATTTGTGCACTTCCAGCAACAAAACGATTTGATCAAACTTCACGAAGGTGTTATTAAAGACATTGAACGACAAGAACACAGACGTTTACAGTTGGAAACTATTAGTGACATACCAACAACCAGTAATCTTCAAAATGGCCAAAAAATCGCATAAAAAACAACACAAAAAAAGAAAACACGTAAGTAATTTTAATTTATTAATATAAGTTAGAGCAAGCATAATATTATGGTGTTATTTTACCAGAGATCGCCATCATCCTCTAGCAGTTCAACTTCAAGTGATGAACAATGGGTAGAAAGTTCACCACCTAAACAGGTTTATAACAAACCAAAACAGGATACAGACAATTGGATGGACTTTATATGCAACACATCTACAGAAATCGAAAAGAAAACAAGTTCGAAAAATAAAGAGTTAGAAGATGCTAAAGCTAGAATGGAAAAGGTATGTACTAGTATTTTATCAGTATTAATGTTGATTTTTATTTGAATAATTTTGAATATTACTTTTAGCCGGGTCAATCAACACGAGAACTGAATCCTTATTGGAAAAATGGAGGTACTGGTCTTCCGCCCCCAAAACCAATGAGTCAACATAAAGGTTTTCTTAAACCTAAAATAGATGATGATGATGATGATGATGGTGATGATGATAATTCCCGTCATTATAGTAACCATCATTACTCAAGTCATACAAAAACATCTTACAACCGCCAATCGTGGAAAAAACCAGACTATAAAAATGTCAAACCCTATAGTAGACATGATGATGAAGAACATTACAGACACTCCAGAGAACACAATGAAAGAAAAGAAGAAAGGGACAGGCACCATAGAACAAATGACAATGAAAGAAAAATAGAACGAAATAAGCGGCATGTGACTTATAACAATGAGAGCAAAGAAGGAAGAAATAAGAGACATCAAGAATATGATGAAAGAAAAGAAAAACACTATAGTGATAGAAGAAAAGGGGACAGAGATAGACATAATAAAGAATATGAATATAAAAGAGAAAATAGTAATAAATATTGTGTAGAATCCACTAGTAAAGAAACATATACAAATGTTGAAAAAAAAGATTCACATTATAGTCTTAAAAATGAAAAATCTGATGAAAATGCAGAAAAACCTTTAACTCGATTAGAGTTAAATGTATTGGCTGCAAAACAAATAAAAGCCGAGTTGATGGGAAATACGGTGAGTCACTTATATATAAAATTAAACATTCATGGGAAAAAATGTTTTATCACAGATGAATTAAAGTTATAATTTTGTTTAAATTCAGCAATTGGCTCAAGAACTACAGCAAAAACTAAATGCAGCACGCAATCATAGTTTATTAGATAATGGAACATCAAATAAAGTAAATCAAACGGAAGAATTTGTGTTACTTACTAGGACATCATCTAAAGGTTATAGTTATCCTGTTAAACAAGGTCATGGCGATACAAATTTCGGTAAGAAAAGAAGAGAAAAAGTTTTAACACATGAAGATGGTAAAAGGGTGAGATATTTTGATGATGATGACAAATATTCATTAAAATCTATGGTAAGGAAACAAATTAAAGACAATAGGTACTTTTAAAAATGGTTTCTACTTATGTTGATATATATTTTAGTTTGAAAAAGAATTGACGACTACAGCTGAAGACAGTAATATGGAATTTGTGAAACTTTCAAGAAAGGTAATATTTTTTTAAAAGATAATACTGAGATTATTTTAGATTCTGAATAGAGCGAGAACCTCTTCTACCAGGGATTTTTCTCTGATTTTCAAGTAAAACATCTTTTCTAAAAGTTAATTTTAATGGTGTGGTACTTTAGGGAGGTCATTATTTAATGTTCCCAGGGATTTTCATAATAAACAGGAAAAATCGTAAATATGACGGCCTTTCAAAATATGTATTACTGAACTCTGTTCAAAATCATTTTTCATTAGTAATGATTAATTGTTGCTAATAGATATATACATTAAATTTTTTCCCCTTTTTCTTCTCAACTTCTCATCTATAACAGTGGCCCACTCATTATATGAAGTATGTCCATATGGTTTTTATGTGATATGTAAGTCAACAAATGTACATATAAGTATATTTATATATATATATATTTAAAGAAATTAGGTGTAAGTGTGTGTGATTTTTAAAAATTACCTTGTTTCACATTCCTCAGTACAGAATAATGTTACATGATTATTTTGAATTTTTATCTAATGATTATTGTGTTAATAAAAAAATAATTGGGAATTAAGTTCTTAGATAATAATTTAATAAACTATTATTTCCTTGCACTGTTTTATAGGTGTTTCTTAATTTGACTGTTTATACTTAATTTAATATACATACATAAATCAAAATTAATTTATTTTGTTTTCACCCAGATTATAAAGTTGACATGAATTTTTGATTATTAATATATCATTTTTTCAGAACTGTTCCTTTATAAACATTTGGACATTTACATATCATTCATCATTTGTGTTTAATTAATATGGAAAGTATTTCTTAAATAAAATGTTTTATTTCAGGTAAATGCTAGAGATGACGAAGATGATGTATTTGTAGAACGTGCATCAGAAAAACGGTCAGCTAAGGCATATGAGAGAGAAGTTAAAAGGGCAATCAATGAGCATAAACATACTGAAAAAGTTTTAAACTCTTGTCGTTATTGTTTTGATAGTGAAGAAATGTTGAAACACTTATATATCGTTAAAGGAGAAAAAGTATGTGTACAACTTTATTTACAATTTTAATATTAATTTATTTTATCCATTTAGTGTTACCTGTGTTTACCGTCTTACAAATCCTTAACAGAAGGGCATTGCTTGATTGTACCAATTTACCACTATGCATGTGCAACTGATATTGACGAAGATGTTTGGACAGAAATGCAGGTAAATTTTAGTCAGTTCTTATTTTTTAGAAATGTATAATTTTATCATCTAGTTAATGTTTTAGGTGTTTCGAAAAGTGCTAACATCTATGTTTAAAGATCAAGACGAGGATGTGGTGTTCTTCGAAAGTGCTATGCGTTTAAACAATATGCCTCATATGGTTTGGAACTGTGTACCTGTTCCAATTGAAATTGGCGATACTGCGCCAATATATTTTAAAAAAGCTCTTTTGGAATGTGAGACAGAATGGGCAATTAATAAAAAAGTTGTAGATTTAAGTAGTAAAGATATACGTAGAGCAATTCCCAAAAGTTTGCCCTATTTTGCTGTTGATTTTGGAATGCAAGGTGGATATGCCCATGTTATCGAAGATGAAAAAATGTTCCCAAATAACTTTGCTGAGGTAGTTATAAGAGTTAAAAAATATTTTTTCTTTAGTTGAAAACAATTTAGGTAATTTTTTATTAAAATGTTTTATTAACAGAGATTGTATATTTATCTTTAGGAAATTATTGGCGGTATGATGGATTTAGATCATAACACATGGCGAAAAAAACAAAAAGAACCAATTAATGAACAATTGGAAAAAGCTACAAAATTCTTGAAAATGTGGGAACCCTATGACTTCACAAAAAAATAATGTTTTCATAATATTCATAGTATCAATAAATTAATGTGTTCTATTTGACATACCTTATAAAGAATATTTTGAATTTATATTTATATTTATACATAAATTGTATGGAAAAAAAAAATAAATAAATAAGAAATAGAAACTATATTAATTTTAAATATTTAGACAATTTATCTTATACACAACTTTCAGTTATTTAAAATAATCAATGTAAATCAGTGTGTATAAAATGTTTTATGATTATACTATAGTTTCCAATTCCTTTGCATAGTGAATAGCGTGATCAGCTATCTGTAATGCAGGCAAAGGTTCTATTGCTTTCTTTTCTTCTTCAAGATGGAATACATAATATCCATCTTGTCCCAATATCCATTTTTTCTAAACATAAAATAATAATAATACATTTTTCAGTTTTTTTTATTGAAACTTAACATAAAAATAATTGAAATTCACCTTAATAGCAAAATCATTCATTTCGTTAGTGCTGTTGAAATTTAACATTTTTGTAGCAGAGTTAATTGAAATTTTTTTGTATGCCTTTTGCAAGCACTCAGCTATCTCGTTACGTAAAGTGTTGGTTAGTATGCTCATAAAAAAATTATATGTATCTGATGGTACATTTGATTTTGCTTGAAATATCTAAATGCATATAAATATATAACACCAAGAACAAATAAAAAAAAAAAAATGAACAGTTCAATATGTTTATTAATTACCTTATTATAACTACCCTCCATCAAATACTGTTCTAAAGCCACCGGATGCTTAATATAAGTGTTGGTTTGAACAATATCATAAGGGAGAAGTTCTAATTCAGTATGGAACTCGGCTACTCTATTTTGTGATAGTAAAAACAGCAAGTTCAGACCTAACAAATGATATTGGTTTACAGATTCTGGTAATTTATCCCTATATAAAAACAATGGGAATTTTGAAATTAGTAGATATAATTTACAATCAATATCATTAAGTATTGCATACCTGTAGTCCAAATAATAACACTTGAGTTGTGCCATGTATCTTTCAAAAGATGGTATATCATGCATGGCGATACTACATTGAACTCCAACTTCTAATATGTCTCCTAGAAAAAATGATAAAATATTATTGGTATTACTAATGAACAGGGTTTAGGACTTAAAGCGCTTAAATTTCACATAAAAACGACAAAAAACCTTAAAAAAAAGCATTTTAAGCAAATATTGGACCTAATGGTCCTTTAACTTATTAAATACGATATTCTAGCGCTATAAAAATTATTAACTCAGTTATTTTTTTCTATAATACACAGAATTTTATTTAAACAAAATACTTTTTTGATAATAATTTATGTCCCCTTAGAAATTTATATTTAATAATTTTGGTCATTAGACAGACATTTAAACCTTCTACTATTTGGTCTGGTAATATTTTCTTTAAGTGCTTTTTTTTGTGAATTTTAAATGCTAGAAGTCCCAAACCCTGCTAATGAATCTTGTTTTAAATTTTTTAATAAAACTGACACATATACAGAGTGATCAATCTATCATAAAACACTCATTATCTCGGAAAGTATTAACTTTTTTCTAAATTTGTTTTATAGAAAACTTTAGAAACAGGCAGCTCTGCAATTTTACATTTATGTTATTTTTGTCACCCTAATTTTTTGGGGTGAAACGACTACCTACTTTTGATTTTTAAATGGCGACCTATATTAAAAATTCCATAAATAAATGGAGTAGTAGTTAAAATAAATTTTGGTGTTTAAATTTTTAATTTCCGTTAATCCGTTGACAATATATTCCACTTTTAAGTTTGGGTCAGGGGAGAGCAGTGGTACATTATTAAAGCGCTGCGTGCTGTGCCGTCACACAAATAATACTCCACAACTCTCTTCTGACCCAAACTTAAAAGTGGAATATATCGTCAACAGATTGATGGAAATTAAAAATGTATTTTAACTTCATAAAATTATATTACTTAACTTATATTACACAACAACTTATTACATTATATATTTATGAATTTTTTAACACAGGTTGCCATTTTAAAATCACAAGTAGGTAGTCGTTTCACCCCCAAAAATTAGGGTGATAAAATATGAAGTAAATGTTAAATTTTAGAACAGCTTGTTTCTTAAATGTTCTTTAATACAAATTTCGAAAAAAAAAATAAAACAAATAATTTAAACACCATTATAAAAATTATATTTATTTTTCAGTATTTATAACCAATAGAATAAACTAACTTGCTATCAGATATTCTTTTTGTGATGCTTCAACATTAGTAGTTGGTAGAAATGTGTGTTTAGTCATTCCAATCTGTAAAATGTAATAATTATTAAAAATAATAGTATAACTAAAATGTAAATACCTTTATAAAAACACTAACAATATGTAAGTAAACTAATGTTGTTAATTAATAGGTTAATAATAGTTTAGATGAATGTAGAAATGTATCATTATTAAATTTGCTTTGATAACTAATTTGTAATAAAATATAAATGGATTGTAGACAATTCAAATAATACATCTAATAAGAATTAAATGGATATTTCACTAGACATATACGTTTTGAGAATCTAGGAAAAAACGACAAGATGAAAAACATTCAATATGGGTTTGCTTCTATATTTATCTATATTAATAAATGTAGTTTGGAGAATTAATTTTAAATTTTCTTATGTTGAATTCATGCATCTAAATGTACCACTTACAAAACTGTTATCAAAATATTCTAAGACAGGTAAAGCATTATATTATTTAAGTGTTCCAATTCTTTAGCTACATCAGATATTAGTAAAAACACTAATGGGACCAACTATTAGCAAAATAAGTCATATTTTAGTGTTTACTTTTGTTTTAAACATTATGTACATATACATCATACTTATCCATTATTTGTGCATTATATATGTAAGATTGAATGGGAACCATTTATTTATTCAATCTTACAAGTCATATGAAGTAATTCTCACCTTGATTTGCAACAATGTATTGTTACATTGTTTGAAATCGGGCTTCTTTTTGTTCCATTCAGTTTTCAGTGTCTGGTACAGAGTTTTGATCTCGTCAAAAGACGTCATTGTGTTGTCCAGTGTATAAACTTCGTGATCGATTGTCCTGCAAAAACATAGAATTGAAGACATAATTAGTCTTGGTAACAAGAATTATGTTAAAATAAATATTTCGAGGAGTAACTCACGCAGAACAGCGGAATGAACGAAAGTCGGATAATGAACAGGCAAAAAGCAGCGAACAGTGAAAATGAGTAGTTTATAGGAATAAACCTTATGCTATATTTGATAATAAAAACTTATTAGGAAACATTGCATTTTTGATATGTCATTTAGGGCTGGCGTAACTGTGGCGTCTCTATGTTTATTGTTAATACGGTCCAATGAAAAAACAGACTGATATAAACTCTGCATTGTTCTATGGTAGCGTAAGTAAAACGAACAAACCAAATACAATAAATAAAAGCGAGTGCTACCATATTTTGGTATCGTCATAAAAATAGAGATAATACATCATTGGTTTAGCATGAGTATTAAGTAAATTATGGTAATGGTATTTTCTTAATTTATGGTATTGAGTATATTCTAGTCTATAATCTATTGTATGAACGCATGACGAGTAACTAATTTGAAATTGTTCCATATTTTTATTTAAACCAAAAAAAAAAAATAATCCTATAATGGCCGATGAAGAGTTTGAACATGACGAGTGAGTATTTAAGTTTAATATTGAATTATGTTTTACAAGAAGTTGAACATTTGAGTTAAAGTCTAGCTCTTGAAATTAAAATTTAAAAAAAATTCAAATTATGGAAAAACAACAATTGCATATTTTTTCAGTGCGCCCAGTCTGATTTATATCCCGTGATTAAATTTTCGATTTTCCCATTTACTGCTGAGATACGACAGGTTTAGAGGTTGCACGTTTGCAAACTTGCAAAAATTGCATTATTCACAGTAGCTGTTAGGTTCTGGGGGCCAAAACTAAACTTAAAAATATTGGAAAATGCTATAGGGGTTTTCTACTAGTTTAATGACCAAATATAACACCGAACAGTCAGAGTTTTAAAATTTAAATTTTTTTAACTTTTTCAGACATTTTTTGGGTAGGTAACGAATGATTGTTAAAATTTAATTTTTACAGGAAATTGGAAAATCTAAATTCTGATTACAGAATGTTGATAAAGTGAGAAAGGGCTAAAAATATGAGGTTGATTTTTCTACACTGACCACAGACTTTCAAAATCAACATTTTTTAAGAATGCAACTCGCACTTCTAAACAGATCATATCTGCAGGAAATGGGGAAATCAATAATTGAATCATGAAACATTGGTAAGACGGGACACGAATACTATTTGTATTTAGCGTTTTTCGATATTTCGACTTTCTACCCTAAAAGCCAGTTTTCAACCGGTTAAATTAACTATAAATATATCAAAGGTAACAACAAAATGTATAAGACATATATATGTATAACAATATATATTTATTTATCACCCGATTTATCTTAATAGTTAATTCAAATTAAATGTATAAATTCTGCCGAAATTAATTCAAAATTACTATTAATGCATCCGTATTATATTTATGTACATAAAAAATAAATTTATACATACTTAATACAAAATTATTAAGTAAGTATACTCGCAAATCAGTGGTTGTAGATTTTTTTTTTTCATTCTTCCTAATTTAGATACCTTAAAACTCAAATAATCTTTTTTATTGTTATTACCTTTATTATAATATAATTATTATTTATATATTTTTAATCCAAATCTATTATTCATTTTTAGTGGAGGTGCTGACGATTTCGATGAGGTTGAAGATGATGCAGATTTAGATGAATTAGATCAGGCCGAAGTAATATATACCTAATTATTTATTTGACATTTAACAGTTACATACAATTTAGCATAAAACCTTGAAATTTATTGTATTATATTGTTATAATGCAGGGGTGGCAAACCTATTTTGAGTCAAGTGCCAAATTTTTCCAATTAAGGGTTTTAGAATTTTTCACGTGCCCAAACAAAAACAAATTATTTTCTAAGAATTGATAGGAAAAATAAATTTACTGATATATTATAAATATTAAGTATTTTATTAAGTTTGCATTTGTTTTTATTTTATTAATTATGTATTATAAAATATCTTTAAATTAGGTGTTAACAATTATATTGTATGTATTAAAAATGATAATTATATTTCAGTGTGATTTTTGTTGCTGTTTCTTAGAAGATAAAGTTTTGATGTCAGGAGTGTAATTTGTAATTTTTGATGAAACACAAGCAGCACTCGTTTTATCGGTTAAACCATTTCTTTCTTTCAATTTAAGTGAATTCATTATGGAGAAAAAACTTTTACATGTGTATGACAAAAAAATTGAAAGCATGGAATGAGCTACTTTTTTCAGTGTATAAATTGTATCTAAAAGCGAATTCCAGGCTTTCAAAATTGTATTGTCTGCATTTTTCACCCAGTTTGCTTGGTTAAATTTTATTTATTCCATTAGTTGTCTTGCGTCAATAATTTTTTGTTTCGAAGTGACAAGATAATATAATTATAATAATAAAAGAGCTGATACTGAAGATGGGAGCAACCACTATTTTAGATGAGAAGTTGGGAAGGTAGGATACATATAAGGTTATTTCATTTTTATCTGTAATCAATAATAAACCATTGCTTGACAAAAGACGAAAAAACGTGCCCACAGACTAGAAGAAGAAAAAAAATAAACATCTTAGTAAAACCAATAGCTCCCTTGCTATGTTTGGAATCTAAAATAATAAATAGTAAACATTTTATTTATGTCCATAAGAATATTATCAATATTAAAACCTATACAATTTATTTCTTCGAATTACTTATAACTAACAAAAATAAAAATAAATTGTTTTTTCTTGCGTGCCACTTTTGGCATGCGTGCCATAGGTTCGTCATCCCTGTTATAGTGTGACCATAATATATTGCTGATCTAACCTATCCTTGCCGATACAAAATTTTTTTTGTCGTTTAAACTAAATTACTTTTTTTTTTAATATAAATTTATATTAGATTTCACACCAAAATGTATTTATTTATTATATTTACATTACTACATTTTAACTTTTGGTAAATAATAATAAACTTACTATTAGGGATGGGTTCTCAAACTCAAAAACATTTGAACTTTGGTTGAAGTTTGAAGTTCATTAAAGTTGTAGTTACTACCTATGGTCATCTTAAGATCTTTATTCAATGAATATTTGATTTAATTTTTTTTTTTTTTTCAACCTATATTAGGTTAGGTTACCACTTATCATTAGGTACAACGTTTTTAACTTCGCTCTCCACTTATCATGATCTTCAGCAAGTCTTTTTAATCCAGCGTATGTATCAAACCCTACGTCATTTTTCAGTTGAGATATGTACGAGTTTCTTGGTCTTCAATTGCACCTATTATGGTATGATGCAATTCTTCGTCATGACGTAAAACATGTCCCATCATGTCCCATCGTCGTCGCTTTATAGCTTTAATTAAGGATCTTGTTTCTCCAACTTGCGTCAATACATCTTCATTTGTTACTCTTTCTGTCCAGTTTATTTTTTTCATTCGTCTCCAACACCACATTTCAAATGCTTCCAGGGATCTTTTTTCCTTTTCATTAATAACCCATGTCTCGCAGCTGTATAAGGCGACACTCCATACAAACGTTTTTAAAAAAGTCTTTTTTATTGCTCTGCTAATTTTTTTCGAAACCAAAATTTTCTGTTTCTTGATAAAAGTTGTTTTTGCTTGCCCGATTCTTTGTTTAATTTCCTGTGAACTTCTTCCGTCTGATGTTATTAGACTTCCCAAGTATTTAAAACTAGAAACTTGGGAAATAAGTTGGTTTTCTAAATAAATATTTGCGTTAATTGTGGGTTCACGAGCACAAACTAAAATTTTTGTTTTACTTGAATTTATAATTATTTTCATTTCTTCCAGAGCTCTCTGAAGGTCGTGCTCTGTTTCTGCTAGTATTACGATGTCGTCTGCAAACCGGATCATTGGAATTAATATACCACCCACTTTGATTCCAATCCCAAGCCTGTTAAGTTTATCTTTAACTTCCATAATACTTTTTCTATGTAGCAGTTGAATAATAATGGTGAAAGTGGACACCCTTGTCTTACACCTCTACGTATTTTCGCACTAGCTGACTTATTATTTATTTTAATTTCTGCGCTTTGATTTTTGTAGANCGATATCTATAAATGATAAGCATGTTATTTTATTTCGAGATATTTGTTTTTCTATTAAGATCCTAAGTCCTAAAATTGCCTCTCTAGTTCCCTTTTGTTTTCTGAATCCATACTGATCATTTCTAAGATATTGGTTGGCTTTATTAAATATCCTTCGATATATAATTTTTATGAGTATCTTTGAGGCGTGGGGGAGTAAGCTCAGAGTTCTAAAATCTGTACATGAGTCAGCTTTATTCTTTTTTGGTAATGTTACAATTCTGCTGTTGCAAAAGTCCTTCGGTATTACTCCTGTTTCATATATATCTTTCATAAGATAGTACATCGCGTCTATTATGCTTTCACTAGCGTTTTGTAGTAGTTCTCCGGGGATTTCATCTATTCCCGGGGCTTTTTTATTTTTCAGATCTCTAAGACTGGCATTAAATTCACTTCTTAGTAGCGGTGCACCATAAGAACACTCATCAGTTTCTTCATTGATATCTTGTAACTCATCCCCTTGATATAGTTCTTCCGGGTACTCTCTCCATCGGTTTACCACCTCTCTTGTATCCAAGAGCAATTTACCATTCTTGTTTTTAATACTATTATTGCGAATTTTATTTGTTTTGAGGAAACTTTTAATGGTTCCATAGGCTCCAAATATTAATTTGATTTAATACATGGTTATTTCAAAAAATTCAAAATTAAACTATAAATACATTATATGTTTGCCAATATATAATTTGAATTTCAAAGTCTTAAGTCTTAAGAACATTATAGAATTAAAAGTTAGTATTAATATCTTAAAATTTAATTTTCATGTTCTTTGGCCAACTTATGACATATATGTTTTTGTAATAATTAATATCACCCAATAAATTATTTAATGTAGACGAATACAACAATAACCGTATATTATGAATAAATTATAAAATTACACTATTATGAGTAAAATACAAATTAGTGATCATAGCTGGGATATACATACATTTTTTTTTAGGTTATACATTTTTATTTTTATTTTTTATTTTATCTAAATATGTAATTTTACAGTTGGTGTTGCTGTATGTGTAAGCTGAATAAAATTTAAATTATTTGGATTATATTTTAATTTATAAGAACAAAGTGTCAACAATGAATAATTTAATAATAATTTGTTAGGGATAATTTTATTATAAATCCCAGTTACAATAATTACTAGAGACTGGATTTATGTGCTCTTAAAATCCACAAAAAAACATTTGAAAATATTGAAAAACACTAAAAAATATTTATATAAGTAAGAATAATTGATGGATTTAAAAGACCCCTTCTAACGAATTTAGCTTATAAATAAAATAAATGTTCTAACATTACAAAAATGATTAATAAAAAGTAATTCTTTTTTATAGTATGTACAATTATATTTAAAAGAAACTATTTTGTGTGAATAATTTTACTAGTATTTAGAAAATTTAATTTAATAAGTTAGATCCATTAGTGGGGCACGTTTAAACTCTTATCATTTTTGTTTTTTTAAATGTTTGAAAGAGCTTTTTTTAGGGAGTTTTTGATATTTTAAAGTGCTTTTTTTGTGGATTATAAGAGAATACAAATCCAGTCTAACATTTACATTATATTATAATATTAAGTATATATCTATCATAATAATTACGCAAAGAAATTTTCTTGAGGGGGGTGAGTCTAATTTTATTTACACACCACAATGCTTTTGATGATGCACTCAAATTTAATCATAAGAATTGTTTAAATGCATCTACTAAACCAAACTGGTAAAATGAATACCTATTTAATTATAAATACAAAGAAACAAATGAAAATTGTATACATTATAAACTTAATACAATTATTCATAAATATTAATAACCATTTTTTTTTTTAAAGTTTGAAAGAAAATCAGAGTTTGACCCATTCTTATATATTAGCTATAATATATACAAGTTTTGCAATAATTTATATTGAAAGTTTTACTAAATGACTAACACTAACAGTAATTATAAATTATTATTTAATAATAATACACTGTGCCACTGACTATATATAGTATGAAATTATGAAATCCATTACCTTAAATTAGTTGTGAACATACTGTATTGAAATAAATAAGTAAATATAACCTATTGAAATAGCAAAGTATTCAAAATAAATACATACTATTTTGATATTAACATAGAAAAGTAAAACGGTTAAATCATTACATTGCATTTGGTACCTGGCGACAGCTTATTGTTAGTAATTATATATTGATATACATAGTTATAATTTATTAATTTATGATTCATAAATCCCAAGGACTTAAAATTTATATATATATATATAAATTATATTATAGTTGGGAAAATATTGAAAATTATTAACCTTATAAATATTATCCAGTAATACCAAATTTCTGTACAAAAGTAATTATTTCCAAATTCGTATTAATTTTATTTTAATTAAAAATTGTATTTGTGCTACTAATCATTAAATCTAATTTATTTATATAAATTTAAAATATTAACAGGAAAATGAAGATAACATTGATATATTACCAGTTCAAGAAGCACAAAGTCAAGTCCAAAAATCTAAGCGTATTACTACCAAATATATGACAAAGTATGCATTTGAGCATTATAAAATAAAAATGTTTTATTTTAAGAAATATAGTATACTATGTGTTTTACTTATTTTAGGTATGAAAGAGCTAGAGTATTAGGTACAAGAGCTCTTCAAATAGCAATGTGTGCTCCTGTCATGGTAGAACTTGAAGGTGAAACCGATCCATTACAAATTGCAATGAAAGAATTAAAGAAACGTAAAATACCAATTGTAATCAGAAGATATTTGCCCGACAACAGTTATGAAGATTGGGGTATTGATGAACTTATTATTGTTGATCAGTAAACTGATTTTAAAACTATTTAACTATAAGTAATGGAAATAAAATTATGAGAGTGAAGTAGCACGAAAGCAATTTTTTATAAATAAAATACAGTAATTTAAAAGAATTGTTATTGTATACAATAAATAAATATAATTTCTTGTAAAGTTTTTATTGGGAATTTATTTACCACCTGCCCTGATGTTATGGGTACTAAAAAGGTGTACTATTTGACAGAACATTCACAATTTTTTAATTTACTTCTCTTGTGTCTTGATTCAATTCTTATGCCTTATGTCATGATTTTTATGCCTTTTATACTTTCCCTGTCTTCCCATGCAAGTGAGCAGGACAATGAAATCCCTGTTTTATTTATTATGTCTAAAATCAAAACAAATAATGAGCAGTTTTTTTTCAAAATTATATTTTTCTTATCGTATTCTATAGTGCAGTGGTCTTCAATCTTTTTGGACTCGCGACCCACTTTTTAGGTGTACATTATTTATGACCAATATAAGGCATACATAAAGAAAAACAAGAAAAAAAAAATATCAATGGGCTTAACGTGCAACGGATCTGAAGAAGAACCAAAACCTCAATGTGTGATATGTTTTGAGGTATTATCAAACAAGGCTTTAAAACCATCAAAACTAAAAAGACACCATGAAACTAAGTATAAAGAACATGTCATGAAATCCATTGAATTTTTTAAAAATAAAGAACAAGAATTGAGAAAAAATATGAAATGTATCAAAAAAAATTAAAACTGATTGTATAAATGGAAGTGCTGTAAATGCATCGTTTGCAGTTTCTTTACTAATTGGGAAATCAGGAAAACCTCACACGATTGCAGAAGACTTGATATTACCTGCTGTGAAAGCTATGGTTTCTGCAATGATCGGCGAAGAAGCTACAAATAGCTTTAATAAAATTGCATTGTCAAATGATACAATAAAACAACAAATTGATGGTTTATCAAGAAATATTAAAGAACAGTTGTTGAGAAGAATTAATAAAAGTGACTACTTAAGTCTCCGACTTGATGAAAGTACCAATATAACTAATAAATCAGTATTACTGATTAAGATACGAATACGAAAATGTCATTTCCGAAGACATTTTATTCGTAACCACTGTGGTACACACAACGGCAGAGGAAATATTTTGTAAAATGAATGAATTTATTATGGCTTTATTAGAGTCTTCGGCTGTCAAAGAAGAATTACGATCCATTTCCAAATATCAAAAATGTTATTGAATCAACTGAAGAAGAATTGTCAGATAAAAATTCTAAATATTTCATAAAACATATGAGTAATATGCAACGTAGTTTCCGTGATTGCTTTCCTGTTCCAGATATAAGTAGAAATTGGATTCGACAACCTTTTGAAATTGATATTCATCAAATAAATGGACTGACATCATTGGAAGAAGACAGCCTTATAGAAATTTCTACAGATACTAGTTTAAAAATTCAATTCAATCAAAAGTCATTAGAAAAATTTTGGTTGCATGTTCGAAAAGGATTAAACACAATTATCAAGTAAAGCTCTAAAAATTTTGATTTCATTCCCCACAACTTATTTATATTAAAAAGCCTTCTCCGCCCTCTTTCATATTAAGAATAAGTTTCGAAACCGAATAGAAAACGTAGAAAACGAATAGAATCTGAACTACGATTAAAGCTTTCGAGTATTGAGTCCTATGTTCAAAAACTCGTAACTGAAATACAACATCAACCATCGCATTAAGACTTAATAATTAACTAAATAAAAATTAAGTTTTAAGAATATTAAGAATAAAATAATTTATATTACAATTTTTTTTTAAGTTTAAGTGTAATGATGTTAAAGTTTAAAATGAAAAATTAAGTTTAATAAAAATAATTATAAATGTGTATATTTTGTTATGTCTACTTCTATAATTTGTAATATAAAATAGTTATTATAATTTTGGTTATGATAACTTGATATGTTTTGTAAAAAAAAGGTATTCGACAAAAATCTTTCATCGGGGGTCCGTGTTCTACAAAAGGTTAAGTACCGCTGCTATAGGTGATATATTTTAGTCTGTACCCTCTAGATTTGTTAAGTCCCATGATAAAGCAATTTGGGTAAAATTTGGAAGGCATTACTCAACCCCTTCTGTTGCCGACTTAGGATTGAAAAATGGTAAAAGTTGAAGTTTAGTTGTTTTTAAATTGTATGTAAAAAACTATAGAACTTTACATAAAAATGTAAAGAACCTTAATTATAGAGATTAATAATTTCTATACAAAACAATAAAACAATTTTTTTTTTTGACAAAATCAATTTTTTCAGTTACTCTAATATATTTGAAAAATATTTGGACACCATAAAATATATTAAGCACAAATTATGTTAACTAGCCTTACGAGCTATACAATTTATAATTGGTTATGGTTCGAAATAACACATAATTTTCCAAAAAAGTCAAGAACATGAATAATCCCTATACTGCGTGGGTTAAAATAGCAATTCGCTTTTCGAACTCACTTCGCGACATTTTTTCATACAGGTAGTCATACGAGTATGTGTTTCAGTGTTTGGTCTATTGTCTATTTGTCTAATTCGCAAGAATAGAGTTTATGTTAAAATTTTCTCATCAGTAATATCAGTAATTTGAACAATTGGATCCAAACAATTAAATAAACTCATTAAATAGGTACGAACATTAATTTAAATGCTCACATTTCTATTAAAATATGAGTACTTACAAACTAAAACCTCACCACGAAAATGATTAAATTAGAGTAACTCAAATAAGGTTTTCAGCAATCGAATTAATATCTTAGTACTTAAAATAAAGAGCCGAGTGGAAAAGGTATAATATTCCAAAAATAGGAAAAATAAACTGAGATAGCGGCTATTAATGGCTTTTATTTAAAAAAAACCCGATGTTTTTTATGATATCATATTTTTGGAGTTTAAAGGTTATGTAGGTACTAGTTAATGTATGTTGTACAGACAAGTTTTTTTATTCAAATAAAACTTTAGAAAATAAACAGTTTTTTTTAATTTTTCGAAATTTATGTATTGAGGAATATTATCTTTTTTCCCCTCAGCAATTCAAATGTAGAATTATACAAGATTGAACATTTATATGTACATATTTATTTTTTGGATCCAATCATATTTGATAAGAATTTTTATCACATAGTGACTTAATATTATTCTGTGATGATTATACACTATTCACACATTTTTTTTTTTAGTCTTCATGGACATAATAATTATTCTGGAAATTCCGAATTTGTTGATACAAACTGATATACCAATATATTTTATACTGGTTGGTGGTTTATTAACACTTGATACCAATTACTTTACACCAGCCAGATATTCGACAATGGAAATCAGTGTATCCCAACCATTGTCCAAAATTAACAACAATAAATAATAATATCAATTAAATATTGATTAATTATTATAAATTAATAATTAAACTTCCAATTTCCTGCTATTGTAAGGTAATTTTATTAAATTGTCGATAATACTGACATTAAAATTAATTTTAATATTAATTGTTAACAATTAAATTATTATTATCATTTATCTGGTCGTTTATTATTTTGAGAGGGAATGAAACCGGTGTAAATAGTTTGCACCATATTTACGTGATGGTGCAGAAAAATTAAACCGGTGTCGTTAATTTTAACCCCAGTTACTATTGACATAATATATTATGTCCGGTTTGTACCAACGAATTCCTGAAAGGTTAGGTTAGGTTAGATAAGAACAAAGAACCACATAAGCAGAGCTGAACGTTGGCTAACCTGAACCTCTCCACAAGCCCCGCCACCATAGCTGCTGACTTTTTGACCGTTGACAATACTGAATTGTATTGTACTACAACTTGTACCTGAACTGCTGTATGCCATCTGTAGTGATTTAACTAACTTTTCTAGCTACTGCCACTACCACAGATGGTCGTTCTTACACCTTTTACCTCTCAAAATAGTGGGCGACCATCTCTCCATCGTTTTTGTTTTGGATACTAAAATAGCCGAGTCGTATTTGTCGGTGTTTTATCACCGTTTGACGTTCACCTACACCTAATACCTACACCGCGCCCGTCGAAATTACCGTGTCGCCGGCATCATCGGCAACGTTGATTGTTCCAATTCTCCAGCAGGTAGCAGCTGTCCATTCCATTGCATGGTACCGGTAATAATATTACATTGTTCAAATTCAAATCCTTATAACCATAGATAATTAAGAATTGATAGGCCATTCCTATAGTTTCAATGTAAGTTGCCGTGTTCCTATCGAGTATTTATCCCTATCTTTGATATAAAGCTCCCTTTTACCACAATAGTTATGGCAGTTAATTGCTTGCTTAATAATTTTTATCTTCATCACTAATATGATAATATTATTAATGGTATAAAGACTAGAATAAGGAGATCAAACTCTTACGGCAAATTGCATAAAAACACGTGGCGAAATTAGTTGCTTGCACGGTTAAGCAGGTTGCGCTACGTATGCTAGGGTTGCTGTACTTCAACTAACGTAGTATAGGGATTATTGAACATGGTGTTTGCATTTTTTGGAAAATGTATGTATTATTTCTAATCGTAACTCGTTATAAATTTTATAGCTCATAAGACCACGCATTCATATACGTTCATATGTGTATATTTTATAAATATGCATGGTATTGTTTCACGGCAATAACAGACAAACATTTCTATGAAAAATTACCCATCTACATGAAATACTATTAATTAACTGTAATCAAACATAAATATGATAATATATTGTACGGTTTTCATGCATATAATCCGGTAGATTTCAGCATATCATTGAAATTAATGAATGATTTATCAATGGTGTACTTCCCTAAAATTTATGAATTATGATAATAAATTTATGTCTTGTGTACCATAAAAATAAAATTGAATTGATGTACCTTTAAATGGTTTGTATTCAGATAGCAAAGATAATTCAATTATTTTATTTGTAAAACTATAAAATACGGTTGTTGCTCACATGCAACAGTATGCATTTAGCATTACACTCTAGTACGCTTGCTTATATTGAATTCCGAAGTATCTATTGCTGTGTTACGGGCGTCATTTCCTGTAAGTATATTATCATATTGTAAAGCATAAAGAATAGGCTTACAGAGCAATAATAGGTAATTTATGCTTTAGGTCAAGATTGGTTAGACTCAATTAATGTACAAAAAAACCACGCCGTAATGCGAATGGCTATGGTGAGAATTATATAGGTATTTGTATATTAATGTATTAATATCAAAGCTTATATTACGGTTATTTTCTAAAGCATGTTAAGCAAAATTTGAATAACATATGGCCCAACTATAATTTACACTTAACTTAGATATCTGATATTGTGATAAATATAGCAATAGTCATGATTTATGTAGACTAGATTATTCTACAAAGTTTGTAGTGTAAAAACATGAAATATATGCATATTATGCACATGTATGAATGTATAATTTTACTAGCTATATAATTTTTGATGAGTCATGGTTTAAAATAATGCATATATTTTCCAAAAAAAACTCAAAAAACATGATTAATTGCTATACTTAAAGGGCTAGAGTAGCAACCTTACTATACGCAGTGCAACTTGTGGCTGTTTATTTGTGCTACTCATTTCTGACTGCTATTTTATGGCAGGTGGTCGTACGAGTTTAGTCTTCTTATTTTAGTCTTAATAGTATATATTTAACAAGTTAAAAACCAATAACGTCTCGTATACAGTGTGTAAATTCCAATATCTCAAGAAAACTTATCCAAGTATATTATTTTTAATGTTGTGTACCCATTGTCAGGTTGTGATGTGTGGTACCCAAAAATGAAATTGGCCAATGGTATATAGATATTTTGACCTAGGACAACTTGACTTCTGAGAAATCACTAAAAAGAAACAAGTATTGCATATTAATTGATGCTATATAAATAACATCTGAAGAATATTCTTGACTAATGTATATATTTATTTTTTAGATTATTTTCACTAAAAGACCTATATGAATATTATAGCCCTGCCATATGATAAATACGAATATTGGATGACGATTTATTGTTGCCTGATATGGAAATATTTTAAAAAATCGAACCATTAAAATCATTACCTAGTATGTATATGATCAAAACAATGACTATTAATTGTGTTTGCTCTTATGATAAGTTTTCCCCTTTTACAGGTACAGGTGGTTCTTTTAAATCGTTAATGGTTGAATTTATTTCCATAAACCTATGCCACTATAGTCATGCAAGAACAAACTTAAACGAATACTTTGGCCTATAATCAAGCATTACTAGTAAATACTTATAATTAACTTCATACCTTCACTTCAAATGCACAAGACCATGACACAGCAGAAGCCATGAAACATATATCAAAGGGAAAAAAAGGTAAAATTTTATTATGGGATATACAATTTGCAAATAATTGGTTATTATTACTAATGTTATTTCAACTATCGCATTTTGATAACAAATTTAATTTATTAATGTGAATAAAAAAGTTATCATTTATACAAGTATATTGTTACTTATAAAGTCATATTTTATTTTATGTGATTATGAAACAAAATTATGTAGCAATTGTCAATAAAAATTAAAATAATAAATCAATTGGTAGTGTATCTAGGATTTTTTTCGGTGGGGATGTACAGATTTTAATAGACATATTCAGTATACACATATATTTATATAATTATAATAAAAAGTCTTAATTTTCTTGAGGATGTAAATTTTCAGCATTTAGGATTGTTTTTAAACCATAATAAAAAAAATATATAAAACTAAACGTGTATCTCAAAATATGTATTAATAAATTATTTAGTGATAACTGATAAATATCAACTAATTTTAATAACTAAGATGCATTTAATAAATTAAATAACAACCAAATCAAAAATTATTGTTTGTCAAAAATAATTTTATTTGCATATTATGTCATTCACAGTTTCTCCCCATTTTTGCTATGAAACCTTTATTTTTTTTTTTGGATACACTTCCTATTATGTGTACTAAGAATTGGTCTTGGGAGATTTAAATTTATGCTGATGATCTTGGATCAGGAAAATCTATAATGCCTATAGGAACTTAATTTTCTTTTGGAGATTTTTTAAGGTTTGGGCTCAGAAGAATTTGTAGTGTTACGGGTATATTTTCAAACTCAGGTAAAGATTTACTTATGACCGAAGTCAGAAATATTGTACTCAGTAATTTTTATAATTATATTTATTGGTTGAAAATAATCAAACACTTTTTAATTTTATTTTGTAATTTATCTGACATTAAGGTGCTCACAGTTGATAGATCAAGACTCATCTGAAAATGTCTTTTTTTTTTTTTCTTAGTACACAATAATGATTTTACATCGATTCTATATGGTATCCCTGTAATATTAAAGAATGTTACCAAAGTAATTACTGATTGCCTAGTATTTTAGAGATAAATTTGTAAAACTAGATTATTATATATCTTCTTCTTCTTCATTGGCATCACAACTCTTCAAGAGTTTTTGCCGCCACCGACACCTCCCTCCACTCTTCTCGATTTTGTACCTTGTCTTCCCAATTTGATATCTCTAATTTCTCTAAGTCCTGTTGTATACCATCTATCCATCGCTTCTTTGGACGTCCTCTCGGTCTCTTCCCTGTGGGTTTCCATTCGACCGCCGCCTTAAGGTAATCTGAGTTTGACCTTCTCATCACGTGCCCAAACCATTTTATTCTTTGTGTTTTTACAAAGTTGGTTATTCTTGGTACTCNAGCACCCCAGGTCGTTGTCATATACTGGGCCGCAGATAATTCTTAGTATTTTGTTTTCGAACGACATAAGTTTTTGTTCCATTTTGAATGTTAAAGGCCATACCTCACACCCATATGTTAGTGTTGGTCTAATTATCGCTGTGTAAAGATGTACTTTGGTTCTTCTAGAAAACAGTTTAGATTTTAGGTATTTGGTTAGCGAAAATGATGCCTTTTCTGCCTTGATGATTCGGCTATTTAATTCGATGGACCAGTCATTATTACCACTGATAGAGGCCCCCAGATATCTAAATTGATGCACTTTTTCAAATGTATGTCCTTGAATCACTACATTGTCGACATGGTTGTTTTCTGGTAATAGCTCCATCACTTTGGTTTTATTATCATTTAGATTATTATATATAATAAATATAAATTAAATTTATAATATTAAAAGTAAAAGTGTTGATGAAAAAATAAAAGCGGATTAGTATACAGTTTATATTTATTATATTATTTTTGCAAATGTTCCTATTGTCATTAGTACTGAGTACAAGTTTGCTGATTGTTTTTGAATAAACAAAATGATTTTTTAAATAGATAAGTAAAATATTGGAACAGTGCTGCCAACCCATAAACAATAAAAATCCCGGCGTTCTTAAAATGTGCGCTTCTGCTAGGACACTTTAGAACGGTAGTTTAAATCATACACAAATGTTTTGGATATACCTTGTAACACTTTTAAAATTGATATTATTTATTAACTTAACACATTGTTTTTCATCTGATATCAGCTTTATTTGCACTGGGTTTCTCAAATTAAAAAAAATTAAATTACAAAAATTAATAATATACCGAAAACAGTATTATTCATGAGTTTGAAAAAATCTTTTTCAAAGTCATTTTTCGTATTTCTTCTCATGGTGATGTTTAACTCAATATTATTTGCAAGCCATGGAGATTGGTTAAATTTCAAAATTATAATAAATTATAAATAATTTGTATTAAATACAATAATATGATACATTGGAATCATTTTTTATTTATTATACATTTTTTAACACCAATCTTGCACTCAGGGCCTGTTTTAAAGCCCTGTAGTGTAATACATATTTTGTTTTGTCGTTTAAATTAGCAATCAATTTATTTATTTTGGAACCCGGCAGTACCATTCTCTCTGGAAGGTATGGCAAATCATTATAATAATTGTGTAATAATATTGGATATGTTATGTCTACTTCCCAGATCAACCTTACCGGAGAAGTTTCGTCTATTCCATCCAGCAGTATTAAAATATTTTCTATACTCAAGTCCTTGTCATACCATTCAAATCCATTATTTAACAAATACTGCATCATAGCCTAGCCATTCTTAGAATAATTAAATTAAATGAAATAAATACAGATTCGTTGCGTCTAAATCATTGATTCCGGTTTCGAAGTATCATAGTCAGGAACTTTATTGTTGTTGGCTTTTGCATACCGTTTCACAACTTTTGTTAATCTACCACTGATGGCCGCTTCCATTATTTTCGTAATCAGATATTAGTTTGAGTTCTATCTTTGTAATTTTTAGCGCACAGTCGAACGCCATGCCAGTTGCTGTATAAATAGTAATTTGAATCTACGCCATACGTATATATACATAAATTTCTAAAATTCTCAAACACAACGCACAGTAGCATCACGTTAACTTTCATATAGCAATCGCTATATTCTCCTAAAGAATTGAACCCGAAGTGTTCTCATACATGTTCTTCATATTTGTAGTTCTCCTATTTAATGTTTCTCTAACAAATTATTGTAAAATCCATCTGTGGGTGGTAGTGAAGGCGCATCCAATTTTTCCCAACTATCTGTGTACTCGTAGGAGTAAAGCCCTTTTTGAGTCACATATTCCATGTCAATAAGATGCAAATATTTTTGCCATCTCTCTAAATTTAGATTTCTCAACTCAAGCTAAATTACTGGAAAGTATTTTCAAACTCGATTGCATGAAACGGTATGTATCAAGAAATCTTATTTGAAATTTGGGTGAAATATATTTTGTAAATGGTATTAAATTTTATTCTATATTAGGAATCACAGTGATAGGTTGCGTGTCGTTTCCTAATTGCGTAACAATAAAATGTGAATCATAACCCGAAAGATTAGGAAAAAAGCACGGAACAAATTGCGGTTGATGCATTAACAGATTGCATTTACTACAAATAGTACCTCAGTAGGTCCTGTTTAAATGATTGTGACCGCGAATTGGTAAATTTTCACTGTTGAATTTTTTTTTGCACAGGGGGAATATTCCGCGGTTAGCTATCGCCCTGTGATTCTTATTGTTTTCATCGGTCATCATGAGTGGGCCATTGGTTTTTAATAAATTTTCAATTATTTGGGCAACTTTAAAAATTTTGTCCATAAATTTAGCAACAACTTCACATTTGCTCATACTTGAATTTCCCATAAATACAACTGGACCAGTCTCTATTTTATGCTACTCCAATAATTTGCTCAAGACGCCATCTGTTGTTTTAATGTGATAACAAAAGCTCATGACTTCATGGTGGTGGATTATTTTTGTATTATTAGTTTGCTGAGCGTCGGATTCTTTTCCCAATAAACACTCAAAAGGTGTATATGTTATCATTGTATGATAGCACAGTATGATAAAATTGTAAAATAATAGTAATATATATTGATAAAAGTTTTTTTTTTTCAACAATATGACTAGGAAATAGAATGTTAGATAGATAGAGGATTTACCTAATTGATTTTTAATTTTACACCATCATAAGGTTGGAGAGAATTAGTCAGTTTTATTAATAAATTATAGTACATATTATTCTAAATAGAAGTCAAAAATTTGTTCAATTTTTTCAATAGTAAAGTAAAATTAAAATTAATTCTATGGGCGGGCTGTATTATAGATCGTACAGAGCTCGTTTTGATGTTGTTAAGTTAATTGAATATGTTCAAGCTTATAGAATATTGAATCAAAAAATAATAATTTTTGAAAAAAGGTGATTATAATCCTAATGAAAACTTTTAACCTATTCACGTATTTGCGGTAAATATAGTGGTATAATGTATTGAAAATACAAAATATGAAGACTGCTGTTTCCAATCATTTGGGATTTAAATTTTTAATTTATTATGCAGCAATTTGTTTTTTTTTTTTTTTTTTTT